ACTGTGTTTTCCTTTATTCATAATAACATGCTGTCTCTCGTCCATGACAATTTGTTATTTTGGTCTAGCCACTTTAACTGGACTCAAACCCCCAAACACTGTTCTCCGGCTGTGTCGAAGGTGGCATTGATTTTGGCAGCATCTTACAAACCATCTGAAAGAGCTCCTGCTGACATACACTTACTGATCTGTTCTCAAGTGGAGAAGGATCCCAGGGACAGGTTCCACTTTATCGCTCTAGTGGCTGGGACTCCAACTCTGTATTTCCCTCCCCTGTGCCATCACTTTGCTGCTGCTGTGACCTGTCACTATGCATTCACTGTGGCAAGCAACTTGGAGATGGCTTCTAGACATAACCAGGGGAAGCTTTCCTGACCCATTTGTTCAAACCACTGTCTCACCAACTGTGTGGGGGCATTGCTTACATGCATATACACAAAAGTGCTCTTAAAAGAGTGCTTCTTCTCTGCTCCAAAGGACTGAGCTACCGGCACAATAGTTCTCTTTCCAGAAAGCAGTGTTCACAGTCTTTTGTTGAAACAGATCAGAATGAACTCACACATGCTTTGCAGGCTCTTCTAGGAGGAGGAGGTCAAAGCCAAGCAAAGGCGGCTGCTGTGTGCCAGAAAAAAAAATGTTTCATAATCCTAAACTTCCTGTTGCACCCAATTAGGTTATGGAATTACTTTCTGATTGTCAGCTTATTCTAAATATTATCAACCTCTACTGACCAGTTAACCAATTACAGGAAATTCAACAGACAGAGTACAGTCTGCATTACATTATCTTTATTAGATACATTTAGTCCTAACCAAGGTTTATATAAAGCCCAGTGACTCACCATTCCTACAGTTGGTATGGCTGATTCGGTTTATACAATTTGATGCTATTGGTTGAAGGGAAAGTTAGAGTGGATTTGTGCTTGAATTTTTGCTGAAAACTTGATTATGAAAATTACTAATTTCTAAGTTGAAGATCAGAGTAAAAGCGAAGATGAAATGCCAAGTCTAGATGTGTTTGGGGGTTATAATCCTGACGTTTATCACACGTTGCACACATGGTCTAGAAAATCCCATTTTTTTTTCCACTGAGCATATATCCCTTAAGGATTCATTACTGCACAAAACTAAGCTATACATGATATCTCAAGCTCTTATGAAAACATCCATAGTCATGATTTGCTTCTACAACAAACGAAGGAATCTAGCAATACTGACACAGGTCTGAAACACTAGAAAAAAAAATGGAATATAACATCATGAAATGGAATGAGCACTCCATCTTCTAAATCTGCTTGTGATTTTAACATATTCTTTCCTGTTGCCTTATCGACTATATTAGGAACCCCCGGAGACAGGGCAAGACACTGTAGGAATATGTTTGATATATAGTTGGATTAAATAACAACCTAATATATCAAACATATCACACAGAGGCCTGCAGAAAAGGCATCCAGGTTTGACTGGGCTCGAGAATAGGCACCGTACTGCAGGCTACAGATGCAGGGGGCGGTCACCACTGCAGGAACTTCATCACCTGTCTGTGGAGCACTGGCCGTCTGGAAGTGTGGAAGCGGCGCCATTAGCAACATCAGAGGCACATGCACCAGAGCTCACCGACCTTCCCCTTTTGCCTTTAAGCCATCTTCCCAAGCAAACAGTGTATTCAACAGTGCGAGTTTGTTATTCATATGTGGGAGATTCTAGGCAAAAAGAGGTGCTTAAATTTTAAGGGCCTGAGCTGGGAATATACCAGGAATCATCTTCATAAACCATGGAGCATTCTACTTTTAAGACAGGCGACCTGAGAATGCGGTGAGCAAAATAATCTGAACCAACAAAGCAACAAAACCACGGCCCTTCCCCAACACTGTTCTTCAAAGCAGTATAAATGCTCCTTGGTTACAAAGGAAAGCATTATTTACTCTATGCTGAGAGCTGGTGTGGTTGTATGTAGTTATAGGGGTAGGGATGTGATAGCAAATGCTTATTCATAGTATCCTGAGGATTCCTTATTTATTTCAGTTATGGAAGGGGGATGGAGAGAACCAGTTAACCACAAAGACTGGTCAATTTTGGTGTTAAGATTGGAGATTCTTTTTTTTAACCGGGGAAATAAATTCCTTTATAAAGGCAAGGAAGATATTTTAGTTCATGTAGTTATTTCCACAAAGCAGATGGTACTCTGACACAGGCAAAAACCATGGTTTGGGTTGATGGTTTCTTTAAAACAGTTTTATAGAAATATAATCCATGTGGCAGGAACCTCTGGCCATTGGGTGGAATGGGACCTCACATCATTGTAAGGCACTCAAGAGATACCAAGCACCCTTCCCAGTATGAAGAGGGGAGGGATCTAAAGTAGGCATCCCCAAGGAAGGGACTTGAATCAAGAGTTATGTCTACTTTGACCTTAACCAAAGGATTCCTTGGCTTTGTATAAAGACCCACAGTGCAAATACAAAGACTAGATGATCAAGGAAATGCAGGGAATGCTCACTGGTCCATCTCAGTAGCCATCACTCATTTTTTAAGTGCTGTTATTTTTAAAACATTGTTTTATAAAATTTTAAAACACAGGGCTCCCCTAATTCTACAGTCACACTTGTACATTCCCTACCTGCCTCCTTCATATGCAAGTGTTGTTTACAGAGTTGTAATGAGCACATAATTCTGTATCCTGTTGTTTTTTACTTTACATTTATCCCTGAGCACCTTCTTCATACTACACAGTTCTATCAAGCATTATTTTCAATAGCCATATACTTTTTCTTCAAGGAGACACTCAGGTCACATCTAACTTCTTCCTACTACAAACTAAGCTATAAGGAACAGCTCTTTCCCCCACATAGAGCTTTTTTTATCTCTGGATTTACTCCTCAGCACAGATTCCCAGAAGTAGCATTAACAGCTCAAAGAGTACAGGCAAAACCAAAACTTCCCCTGTGGGGCTACACCAACCTGACACTGACTAGACCCAAAGATCTGCCACCCAGAGCCCACATACGCTGCTTCGAGATCAGTCAAGCCATCTGATTCTGCCAAGGTATTTTGCATGGATAGAGCAGGGATGGTAATACATGTTGCTTTGTGGACTTGATGCAAGGCCCAGATGAGTTACTCCATGCAAAGCACCTAGAAGACTGCTGGCACATGCTTAGGTACTCAATCAATAGGAGTCTTTTTTTGTTTGTTTTCTGTACCCCCCCACCCCCCACCAAGCCATCAGCTGGTCCATCTATGGAGTAATTTTTATTGCAGGCATTCTCCTAGGAGGTAGTAGATAAAAGTCTCTGAAGTATATTTTCAGTGATGGCGACACAGTTACTGCTTATTAAGTTAGGCACTGTGTTCTTAAGTTATCTCATTTTATTGTTGTAACAACAATCCTATGGGGTAGGGCCTTAATTATTTTTTTCAGCTCAAGAATTGTAAGATAAATAATGGCTGGACAAAGGGCAACTAGGATTCAGAGACAGAGCTCCAAGGGATCCTGCAAAAGGACAAAGGGAGAGGAATTGAAATAGGACTCTCAGAACCTGGTGAAGTGCTAATGTTACATGAGCACCAGGCTAATTCTCCAGAAGAGCGCCAACTGACATGACTTCAGCATTAGCAGACGAAAGCTTTCCAGGAGAGGCTACTTGTGCTAAATCAGATGAGAGGAAGAGGAAAAACCAATTGCGCACAAAGCCTCTAAATCTTAGTCAATGGTTGCTTGCTTCTTAGCTGAAAGTAATTTTCCATTCGCAATTAACTTGGTTTATAAAGCAGAAATAAAGACACAGAAAATGGGAGTTGCCGCTATATACACACTCAGTTCTTAAGCTTGTTCAGAACAACTTGGACAATCTCAGATCACATAAAGCCCTCAGGTTAGAAGCTAGTGGAGAGAACCCTGGTAAACCCCCAAATCAGAAACCATTACTCTTAAATTACATTTTAATGAGAAATTTAAAGAATGTCTGTACCAAGTCCAGGGCAACTATTAGGAGATTGGAGATTGGCTCTAAGAATTTCATGGTTTTGAGAAGGTTTCCAAGCTTAATACATGTACTCAAGCTAATGTCTATTTTACATACTACATGAACCCAGGCGCTGCTTTTGAGTGTATTCTAGTGCTCCATCCTTTGGTCTTATAAAATAGGTAGAATTTTTAGGTATACCTAATCTGATCCAACTTTTTTGTAGCGAAAAACCCAGATTTTACTTCCAAATGTATGTGGGTCCTTGGAAGGGAAGTGAGGTTTTAGGTACCTGCAGTGACTTGCTTGAATAGAAAGAAAAAGAGGCCTCCTCTAGTCCCACCATCTGCTGACTGAAGACAGCCACAGAGGGTGGAGTGACAGGAAAGAGTGTCCTAACAGGTTGGGCTTTGCCCCTGGACAGCACTAGCTCACTGTCCTTTTATGTAATAATTGTCCTCTCTACTGCCCAATCTTAAAATATTTCTTTAAATGGCTGTTAATCTTAGTATCTACTCATGATCTTAAGTTTCAAACATTTATCTAGATGACAAACACAGATGAAGGAAACATACAGCCCACCACAGCCTCCAGCATGTCACGGGGTCCACTTTTGAGGTACACATTGTCCTCCAATGATTTTAAGAGAAGGAGAGACCCAGCATTGCTATTTGCATTACATTATGGAAACCAGAAAATTGGAGGGTGATGATATCACGTTCAGTGACAGGAATTTTCCATAGTAAGCATCCAACACCTGCTTTATTATATATAATGAAACTAAACTCAGATTGTAAATGCCTGGGTTCTTCCTCTGGATACCCAAAGGTATTTTTCTGGTGGTTAACCTGAAGGATCCACACGTGGGTTTTTTTCTATACCCTGTAAAAAAGTGCTAGGCCAGTAGAGCAGGTTTGTAGCTTGCTAGTCTAACTACAGAGGAGATAAGCTTCCTGTGGCACACAGAGCTCCATTTCACAGCCATCCACAGGAAGACCTAGTGACATCAGACAAGCAGCCACACATGGACACTCACTTTTGGTTTTGCTCTTGGCTTCAGTTGCTCTAACTTCTTAGCAGCAGCCTCAATGGATGCTGCGGCCCCCAGTAATTCTGTTTCTGCAATGACGGTTGGGTCTTCTGGATCCACCCACTCTGTTCCTAAAATCAGTCCAAAGAGGGTCATTCTTGGTAGCTGTGACTGCAGGGCACTGGCTTCATTACAAACACTATCTGGATTGACATGTAGGGAAGCTCCATAAGCCTACTTGCTGCATGGTCCTAAGGGGTCTTCTCTAGCTCTCACAGAGATCAGCTGGGTACAGGGGAGCTCCTGTCAGCTCCTATTTTTCTAAGTCAGCTGTGGATACAGCTCTACCACAGGAGTAGTCATCAGTGATAGTTTCAAAAATCCAGATCTCATGGTCCAAGGCCAGCTCGAGCCTTATTCTGATTTCTAACTTAAAGCTCATAAATGCAAATAACCATTTTCAAAAGACTTGAGACTATGCGGACCACTCAGATTTGCCATTCTCTTCTCTCAGGACTCAAAAGAATAGCCATTCACCTCAGCTCAAAGGAAGGAAATTGGTGAGAACACCTTTCTCTGATGAGGGGACTGCTTCTAATGTTACTGCGAAGGGGTGTTTAATCAATGTACCCAGAGAACATCGTTTCCTAAACATGAAGTGTGTCATTTGAACAAGGATAAATATTCTGAGGAATGAAAATACAGATAAAAATAAATAGCAAGACTCTTTAGAGAAGTGAGCAGTTCTAGAAGGATTATATCATTTAAGTACTTAACAAAGACTGGAAAAAAAAGCTTTGCTTTGGGAGGGTATAACTTTGAAAATCTAACTCTATTCCCATTTGCTTTAAAAAAAAAAAATAGTACCTCACTGTATTCCTTCTGATTGCATTTGCCAAGAAAAGGCCCGGGTTGGCCCTGCAGTTTCTCTGCTCAGTTCATTGTGCTAGTGCTGTCTGGACACAAGAGAATGCGGCCTACCTTTCATGGCTTCTGCGGCCTGGATCAGCTCAGTCACGGCGCCAGCAACGCGCTTGGAGAAAGCAGCCAGTTGGTGCTTGAGTTCTGGGCTTGGCTTCTGAAGGATCTATGGATGAAGACAAATGCATGAGAGAGATGGTAGCCGTTCTGATAGAAAACACACTCTTCCTGGTAGATGAAGAGTTGGCCATTCCGGTGTTAAGTTGCAACTCGGTTGTCACCAAGTGACTTCAGAAACTTGGGGGAAATCACATAAGATTCACTGGCCTTCAGTTGCCTCACATGACAAATGAAAAGCTGGGATCCAGGAGTTTCTTTAAGGTTCTTTCTGACACATTTCCGCTAAGATCATAAGTGAGATGAGATCCTTACTCGTCTTTTATTTCTACTTTCATGTGTACATAAAACAAACACCTGCACACAAAAACTACCCACAGTGTAAGAACATTCTGAGAGAACATGAAAGTCTGAAGTTACAGGTCATCTGGTACTTGTGACAACATAACAGTGGGACCAGGAGTATGTGACTCTGGTGGGGTCTTAGAGACAAAGTCCCCAAGAGAGCAACCAACTGATCAGAGGGCTGTTCCTGAAGGAATAATCCATCGTCACAGTTTTGACTACAAGCTCTCCTAGGGGGAGGTCTTGAGGATTTTGCATCTTTCAAACTAGTTCAAGGTTTTTAAAATTTTTTTTGCTTTTTGGTTATTTTTATGGTATTAAAAAAGATGTTGGCTATCCTGTGTGGATTTCTTCTCAAATCACTCAAGAATGAAACTAAGAAATGAATTTACATTCTGACTTAAATCATCTTGCTCCTTCTTAATTTTGAAATTCTTCTTCCAACATTCTTTTTCTCCACCTCTTTCCTATGCTTCACAGTGGTAATCTTCAGATTTAGGAATGCAAGACCATTCAGGAAGAAAGCACAAGTGCTGTGTCTCTATGGACAATTTTCAGGCCTCTGACCCAGGGACAAAGCATAGGCTTTGAAGCTGGACAAACCTGTGATCACACCTGGCTTCACTTGCTCTCTGTTTAAGATACTAGGCGGATTACTGAACCCCTCAGGACTTATTTCTCATCTGTAAAACTGGGATAATGCCTATCCCTCAGGACTGGCATAAAGATCAAATGGAATAACACACGAGAAGCATCCTGCACAATGCCTGCAACACAACAGGCATTCATCCAATGTTAATTCCCTTCTTGGTGTCCCATACCTTTTTCACTTGGGCTAGGCAGCATACTCTTTTCTTAGGAGTCTGGAAAAGAGGTCTTTTGGACCCCAGAGCTAAAAGAAGACTCTAAGAGAAGCTTGGCAAAAAAAAAAATAAAAAATAAAAAAAAAATCTGGGGTTGGGGTAGTTAATGGGATTATACTTAGACCAGCCCCAGGCACACCAGGGCATAGAAGACATTATATTAAATGCTCAAACTGATTAGTCATAGATTTTTGAGCACCACTTTACATGCATCTATCCCCATCCTTCTTCCTCTTGTGATCTTTTACACTTCTTTTATATTTTCAATTATTCTATGAATTTAGCTGCTCTGCTCTTATTGTTCTCACCCTTGGACTTAGATGTTTCACTATGCAGATATTAAGAACTCAGTATAGGGGTGTCTGGCTGGCTCAGTCAGTGGACTCTTGATCTCAGGGTTGTGGGTTCAAGCCTCAAGTTAGGTGTAGAGATTACATAAAGCTAAAATCCTTTAGGAATAAAAAAAGAAATCAGTATAAACATGTGAATAAGCAAACATGAATGGATGAATTAAAACAAAACAACATACTATTGGGACAAGTTCTAAAATGATTGCTTCATGGAACACTTCCAAAACAACACTAGAACCATGGAGAGGTACAGGTTATTTATCTTCTCACTAAGCCTCAGTTTAAGTAAATTGCCTATTAAATAGGTATAGTAACAGTCCTTTTGTTACAGAGTGGTGGTAAGATCATATAAATTAATATGTAATTTAATATATAATCTCATCAGGGCTATTGACAGAATTGGGACTGATGTATAGCCTGGGCATCAGGATTTTAGAAGTCCCCCATGTGATTCTCATATATAGTTGTGAACCTATATATGAGTTGTGAAGCACTCTAAACTTAAATAGTGGCATTTGGCACTACTTAAGTATAAAAGGCTTGTACTAGTTTTTTTCTGAAACAATGCATGTTGTAAGGCCACCAAGTGAATTATAGTTATTGGCTCAGGGTTTGAAGAGCTAAGTGGTCCACAGGCCTTGTTCATTGGTTAATTGGTTTATCCATAGTGGTCAATACAACACAAATAAGTCAAGTATTAAAGGTATGATGGGGAGACTCATAGTAAATGATGGACTGAATGTTCTCCCCTGAAGATCAAGAATATGGTAAGGATATTTGGTCTCACACTCCTGTCAATATTATACTAAAATTCCTGGACAGTGCAGTAAGGCAAGAAAAAAAATACATGACACACAGAAAAGAAGTAAAATAGTCTATTCATAAGTAACATGAATGTCCATGTAGAAAATTCTGAGGCATCTGTAAAAAAAAAAAAGTTTCTAGAACTAATAAGTGAGTATAGCAAGGTTACAGGCTATAAGGTCAATATACAAGCAATTATATTTTTATATATAATAATAAAAAATTGGGAATTTGAAAAAGGCAGTATCATTTATAATAGCATAAAAAATTATGAAATACCTAGTGTTGGGCAGCCTAGATGGCTCAGTGGTTTCAGCCCAGGGCATGGTCCTGGAGACCCAAGATTAAGTCCCATGTCGGGCTCCCTGCATGAAGCCTGCTTCTCCCTCTGCCTCTCTTTCTCAATCATTCTCTGTGTGTCTCATGAATAAATAAATAAAATCTTAAAAAAAAATACCTAGTATTTAATGTGACAATAGATGTGTAAGACCTGAGTGCTAAAAACTATAAAAACTGTTGAGATTATTAAAGACCTAAGTAAATGGAGATATATACCATGTTCATGGATTAGAACACTCTTCAGATATCAATTATCCTCAAATCTCCCTCACAATCCCAGTCAAAACTCCAAGTTTTTTTAGATATTGACAAGATTATCCTAAAATGTATATGAAATACAAAGCACACAGAATATCTAAGACTACTGAAAGCTGTTGAAGTTTTAAACTAATTGATTTTAAGACTCATATAAAATTGTAATGAGAATCAGGATATGAAATTGGTATACACTGATATATAGATCAATGGTCAACTGATTTTCATTAAAGATGCTAAAACATTTTTATTTCAATGGGGACACAATAATTTTTTCAATGAATGGTGATGGAATAATTGGGTATAGCAATAATTGGAATAATATGTAATAGCATGAACTTTGACTCTTAACCCACACCATATGCATAAATTAATTAGAAATGGAATATAAACAAATATAAAAATTAAAACTATATAGAAGAAAACAGGAAAATAATCTTAGTGATCTTAGATTTGGTAAGGATTCTCAGAAGACAAAACATAAATTATGCTTAAAAATTTCAAAAACCATGAATTTGGAAGTTTATGCTTTAGAACTTTAAAAACATTCTAAGTTTAAGAACCAGGCACAAAAGATCACATACTGTGTGATTCCATTTATATGAAAAGTCTAGAACAGGCACATCTACAGAGGCAGAAAAGAGATTAGTGTTTGTGTAGGACTTGGAGTGGGGATGAGGGCAATGAATGACTGCTTAAGGGTATGAGAGGTCTTTTTGGGGTGATGAAATGTTCTATTATATTATGATAGGTGTATCACACTGTAAATACAGCAGTCCCCTCTTTGAACTTTGGTCTTTTCATCTGTGAAATTCGGATATTTATACCTTGCCAGCACAGTCCACAGGCTCTAGTGGCTTTCCAGTAAATAATGGATATAAAAGTTTTTTAAACTGCAAGTCACTGTATAAGTGTGAAGTATTATTGTCAGATCAAATCAATGAGCAATGTCATCTGAGCTAAAACTTGGAAGGGGGGCAGCCCCGGTGGCTCAGCGGTTTAGCGCCTGCCTTCCGCACAGGGCGTGATCCTGGAGTCCCGGGATCAAGTCCCACATCAGACTCCCTGCATGGAGAATGATCTTGGCAGCTTTAATTGTAATAATCAAAATCTGGAAACACCCTAAATGTCCACCATCAGGTAAAGAGATAAATAAGTATGGCACATCCATTTGATGGAATTCTACTTAGCAATAAAACAGAACAAATTATTGATACACATAATAACCTGGATGGGACTGAAAAATGTTGATGCTGAGTAAAAGCCAGACAAAAAGGAGTACATGCTACATACTCCATTTGTATAAAAGTCTAGAAAAATGCAAACAAATCTGTAGTAACAAAAAGATCAGCAGTTGCCTAGAAATCCTGAGGAGTAATGCACACATTTGTTATTTTGATTGTGGTGATGCTGTCACAGATGTATTCAGAGATCAGTATTCAGACTGTACACTCTAAATATCTGTTTATTGTATGTTTGTTAGGTTTCAATAAGGCTAGGAAATGCTAAGGGTGTGGTGGGTAAATTCACTTATATCGTCAAAATGGAGTGATTAAAGACTTCTGTCTTTAAAAGAAGAGCAGGATGGAGAGACAGAGAGAACCACTCCTGCATATACTCCGGCTCTGAGAAAGGGACAAGCCCTATAGTAAAGTATCGGATTCAAATATAGCAGGTGGAAAGGAGTTCTATTTTTATTCTGCCATTAAGTCAACATGATTCCTAATAGCAGACAAGAGACAGAACCAAATTAAAGTTCTGCTAGTGGAAGCGAGGGTAATTTTAAGCCTGTCAAAGATCTCACATTGTGGTTTAGATGCAATATTGAACTGAATGCTGCAGAAGCAATGAGGCTGACTCTTGCCCTGCAAAATCCTCCAGGACAAACTAGCAAACGGCAAATACAGGAGGCCAACACTGCTTGAATGGCCACATCTAAAGCTTCAGAAAGCTCCTTGGGTAGCAGGTCAGGGCTCTGCCTAAATTGGATCCTATTATTTATAGATCACTAACTGGATTCTCTAAAGATCACCCAAGCAGGGGTTCTTGATTTGGTCTCTCAATTCCCAAAGGACCCAGCTGGGCATTGGGACCCTCTTAATAGTTTAAGGAACATTTTGTGTGCTTGTGCTGCTGTTTCTTTGATGATGGTAATGAGAGGTAGGAAATGGACATTCAGCTCCAAAGGGTCTAAGGATGCTAAAATCATGAGCGTTACTTGCACCTAGATAGAGAAAAAAAGCAGAATGGGAGTGATAAATGACACAAAATTTAAAAATATGTGTATATATATTCTTAAAAAAACAAAGATCCAGGGGATCCCTGGGTGGCTCAGCGGTTTAGCGCCTGCCTTCTGCCCAGGGCGTGGTCCTGGAGTCCTGGGATTGGGTCCTGCATCTGGCTCCCTGCATGGAGTCTGCTTCTCCCTCTGCCTGTGTCTCTGCCTCTCTCTCTCCTCTCTCTCTCTCTCTTTCTGTCTCTCATGAATAAATAAAATCTTTAGGACAAACATAAACAAAGTTAATTAATTATACATGATGGGCACATGGATGTTGATATGGTTTTCTCTATTTTTAAGCCTTTTCTAAAGTAAACCTGAAATATACAAACCAGCAAAAAAAAGTTAAGAATTCTTGGCTCTAACATGTTGAAACTGAACAAGGCTAAAGCAGTGTAATCTCTTCCACATTTTTATGTGCCTAAATTTAAGAAAAGCAGCTCACTGAAGATCCCTGCACGTCCCTGTATCACCTGAAAGTGACTTGAACTTATTTCCGTAAGTTGCTGGACACCATCTCCGAACCTTAATTTCTAACTTCTCTCTCTTTTGGTAAAAACTGGACAAGGATCTAGCCTCACTTCAGCTTTCAGGAATCTTATCAGTTCTCTTTGATCAATTAAACCAAGAGGTCACCTTTACAAGAGATCCAAGAGGACTAACCTAAGATCTCCTGCTACAGTTTCGACTTAGGTTGACTTTTTTTTTTTTTTTTCATAACAGAGATGCTGTAGCCATCCTAGTACTCATGGCCTTCCCATGAAGACCAGAGAAATGAAGGAGTGAACAGGATGCTGTGCATGTGTTTGTTCATATGAAAGTCTCTAGTTTTTTAACTGCTTGTTTATTCATCACCCTCAAATAGCAAATCTTAATATCTGAAATGAATGCTAGTTTCCCTGTTTGTGTGTCTCTGTTTCCCCTATCTCTTGCTGGGTTCTCCACCAGCTCTGGCCTCAACAGTCTTGTGGCTCCTGAGCTTCTCACTGCTGTGCAATCTTCCTTCCTCTTGGCCTCATGTTAGCCCAGATTTCTTCCAAGTCTGTCTGGGAGGAAGAATTAGGGCTAACAATGCAAGACATGGACTTATTCTCAGCTGCAGGCCCAAGAAAACCACAAATGTCCACAGCGTGGGTGAAAGAATGCTGTCACGAGGCTTCTGCAATTTCCAGTGATGAATGAGTATTTTTCCTATGGTTACGATAATCTCCTCGGAAGGCTTGCATTCTTGCTTTATTTTTTGTGAGAAAAATAACCTCCAAAGAGTATGACTTGCTTTCTAAAGAGACAAAAGTAAATATATGAACAAATAAATGTATGATGCTAATTCACTCATATTTCTCTGAAAGTCAGAACCATCAACACATGTCATCAAGAGGCAAAAATATCCTTGGAAAAGAGGAGATAAATTCTGCATGTTTTAATGTAATTTCCAATGCCATTCAGCTTTCCTTTCTATTAACGGTTCCATTTGCGCACTAGCTACTTTTACACCATGTACCTCAAAACAGCTATGGGGAAACAGGGCATTTCTCTTTCTACCAGGATTATGGGTCACAATGATATGACTGTTTAGAAAGATGAAAAGAAACTCAGATGGTAGGCTTTTAACGTAACCATCTGAGTCTGCAACACATAGGCTTAAGAGTCCTGTTTCCCTAATAAACACAAGGGAGAATTCATAACAGAAAATCAATCAACTAATATGAGCAGCCAGAGGAGAAGCACATCAGCTATAAAGTGTAATTGTTCTTGCCAGGCCCAGAAAAAGGAGGAGGTGGTTGCTCCCCTGTCTTGCCAGCCTCTGGCCCCTGAAGTTAAGCCTCACCAATCACACATGATGTGGGGGCTTCCCATGGAGCAGGTGTCCTACCTTCTGTTCCAGAAAAACCTTATGATTATCATTAGGGCTGAAGCCTGACATAGTAATCAAGTGGCCATAAAGCTGGGGTCTCCGAATGTGTGTGCTGGGTGGGAATGGCTCCTACACCTTCCCTAATGTTTACGGAGGCGCCAGATCTCTAGGCCTCTTCTTAGACAAAGAGGTCCACCATCCTCCCACCCCCCGGAGGCCCTGTCTTCTTTTGTTCAACCAAACAAGGTGGGCATGGAGAGGAGAGGTCAGGGGGAGAGGAGGTGCCTTGGTGATGCAGCACCTAGTTCCCAGATACTGGAAAAGGGTCCAAAGTTGTCCTGAGGTCAGGGAGGGGACCTGAGGGGGCTCTGCTTTTCCTCCCCACTGGGGTTAACTCCTCGCACTGGCCTCTGCTCACCCTCATGAGGGCAAACTCCTCTCCCAGACAGAAGGTGTCTTGTTGCTGGAGAGTGAAATGGGAGACCTGCCCTCCAATGAACACCCTTAAAGGCTGTTGCCTCTTTTTATTCAGGTTTGTGGATTTGTCAGGTGCACAGCTGGAGGTAAACCCCTCTGTGATAACACTCCTCTTACACGGCTCATCAAGAGCCAAGGTGGAATGTGACAACCTGAGGGCTATTTATGTGGCCAAGCTGGGATCTGAACTCAGAGCTTCTAAACCTAAGCCTACCACTGTTTCTGCCATAACTTTCTAATTTTCATCTAGAACAAGGTTCTATGTGACTAAGACTATTGTCCCACCAAGAAAGAAAAAACACCTGTTGGAGGCCTTGCTGGCTTCATTCTCCTGACCCTGAATTTCCTGCTAAGCATGCTCATAAACTGACCACTTTAACTATGTTCTAACACAGAAAGTGGGTTTGGCTAGAGTGGCTCGTGCCAGTGAACGTTGACTGGCCAAGATGTTCTTTCCCTGGCCCTCATGCAATACGCTGCTGTCTGTTTGCAAGGGTTCAGGCTTTCGAACTCAATGTTAGGAATGCCAGCCTGCCCCTTCTCACAGAAGGTACACTTTCACATGGACCACACTTAACGTGGGTGAAGAATAAAAATATTGCTCCCTTAAGAGACCTAAAATGCTTAATATCATAAGGTAATTTAATTAAAAATTTTTAATTTAAATTCTATTTAATTAACATAAAGTGTAATGTTAGTTTCAGAGGTAGAATTTAGTGATTCATTAGTTGCATAGAACACCCAGTGCTCATTCTATCACGTGCCCTCCTTAATGCCCATCACCCAGTTACTCTAACCCCCCACGCCCCTCCCTCCAGCAACCCTCAGTTTGTTTTCTATAGTTAAGAATCTCTTATAGTTTGCCTCCTTCTGTTTTTGTCTTTATATTTCCTTCTCTTAAAAGGTAATTTAATTTTAAGGTGGCAGTGAAATGCTAGAACAAGCACATGGCTGGACATAATAAGAATTGTGACTTGGTTCCGGATCTGTCCTGGTGGCTGGGTGACCTCAACCAAGGGGCCAAACTTCTCTGGATCGTTCCTTTGCTCTGCTAGCCTCATGGTAGTGCAAGGACAAAATGAAAATTTTCAGTGCTCCACAAATGAAAGACTTACAGTTCTCTGTGGCCTGTTGATTTTTTTTTTCTTTTTAAGGTTTGGGAAGGAGCAAACAGTGATGGAATGTGGGACACCATCAATTCTCTTCTGGGGTTGTCTCATTCCTGGACAAATTCTCTTGGGGACTGCCCCAGATCTCCCACGGTTCTGAATGTAGTTCCCATGAAGTGACAGAGACATACAGCAAATATATTTCTCAGCTGTGTATGGTTTGGCCCTTCAGGCTGCAGGAAGCCAAGCCACTCTATGAGCTGGGACTGTCAGTGCAAGCCTGGGGCTCTCAGGCGGACAGTCTTCCTAGCCATGATCACTGAACCCCCGCACTGGCCTCTTCCCTATCAGCCCTCTTTCCCAGCTCCATGTGGATATTCCAGGCTGGAGGAAAGTCATCGGAGGGAGGGAAGCATTCTCAGCATGATCCACAGTATTCACTCAAGGACAAGGGGATATCCCAAGAGGCTGGTAGGTCACCTGGAGCACTGGTGATTTTTTTCCTTGTCATGGAGCCTGGTGTGGCTCTTTCTGGAGGCTTCCCTGTCCTTGAAGGACTGGGCTCTTTCTAACAGGACCTCTTAACATTATTTCAGAGGGGGCTTTGCCTATCCCACCCTCTTGCATGCTATTCTTGCCTCTCTGGTGTAAAGAGAAACTTGGCTCTCCTGGATGCTAACAACTTCTTTTAGACCCTTTGACATCAGCATGCTGGAGCAGTGCGATATTGGACACATTTCAGCTCAATCCAGCCCCAGACTCACAAGTGGAGCCTGCACAGTGCTCTCCGAGGTATTTTCCTGATGAAAGGATGGTCTGTATCTGACTTAGCTCTTCCCAGCCCTGGCCCGGCCCATGCCCCTCTCCTCACCACCAAGACGTGCTCGAGAAGGTCTAGGTAGCCAAGGGTGCACTCCGTCCCGTACCGCAAAGCTCTGGTGCGCACCTCCTCGCTGACATCAGGGTGGAAAGAGGCTTGCTGCAGAGAGAAAGGAATGTTGATATCTTAAAACAGGAAAAGCCAGTTGGTGAGCGGACCAAGGGGTGGAAGCAGTTACCTGACCAGGAGTGCAGAGAAGCCCTGCACCCACAGGTAGGAGACCTCCATTCTGGAATACCTTCTGCCTTGCCCTCCATGACCTCCCTGAGAAACGTTTGCTGATTCCCTGGATAGAGAAGGTGGCCCTCCTCCACTTTCTCTTGCTACCTCCCACCTGTCTACACAGTAGGTTCTCTGACAATGTTTTGGGTCTTGCCCTGGAGCCAGACAAAAGCACATGAATCAGGTTCTTCATTCCTTCCTTTCTCCCTGCCCTCTTTCACTGAAATATAAGAAACTCCACATGCACTAAAAAACCCAGGAAAAATTCATGGATGAGGTGCTTACAGCAGATGTACTCTCCCAGGGTCTGCCTGCCTTTCTTCAGTAGCATGAGGCGTCCCGAAGCCCCTCTGTGTTCACAGGCTGATCACACTCAGATCCTCATTCTGCGACCTGACCACCTGTACTCACAGTGTTTCCCAGCCAGGGTCCTGTGGCTCCTGGGAAACTTCAGACCGTAAGTTCCCCACTACCCTCAGAGGTGCCATAAAGAACTCATCTCACATTATACACGGTGAGATAAGCAAACAAGGACATATGGTTAATACAGCCATCTGTGCTTTATTTATTTATTTTTTGCACTTATGACCTGTTGGTTTCATTCACTTCTGATATATCCGATGGCACACCCATTCATGGGGTTACCAGATTAAGTACAGATAACCCAGTTACAACTGAATTTTGAATAAACAATAAAAAATTTTTAACGTAAGTTTGAGAAACTCTATTTTTTATTTGCTCAATCTGTCAACACTACCCAGCCTTTCTTCCTTCTACGGCCTTACTCTGGAAAGAACGTGGGGCTTCTCAGAACACATAAAAGAGAAAACTACAAATAAATCCCAAATCAAGACACATATGAATCACATATTAGGATAAAAAGTCAAAGTGGAGGGGAAGAGTGGCTAGCCTTCATGTTTGTTCTACACAAGCCACACTGTCTAGGACTGGGGAGTACTGGTGGGAACACCTGAGGGCTCTCCCCTCACCTGCTCCCCCAACACACCCCAGAATGAGTGGGGACAATCTGAGTGGCCAGCATCTATCATTTATGAGCTCAGTTTTGCCCATCTGAGGACTAATGGGCCATGCCTATCACTACCACCTTTTTTTTTTTTTTTTTTTTTTACTTGTCCTTGCTCCCTTTTGTCTCTAAAGGTGAGGATGGAACCCACATCTGGGGGAAGATGTAGGCTATAATGCTACCAAATGTTACCTCTAATAGGCAGCGCGTACAACCCCCATTTAGAGTCATGTGGAGACTGAGGGTAGACACTCTTGTCCACTGCCGGTGGCTCTAACTTTGCAGAACTCTTCAGGATAGCCATCTGGTAAGAATCAAAATGTCATACCATCTGACTAATTGTACTCCTGGGAGTCCTGCATGAGGAAATCATCCAAAGCAAAGAAAGTACAGGTATGCCCAAAGATGTTCATGGCAGTAGAGTTTAAAGTACAGATAAAAAGTGCAGACTATAGGGTAATATCTGATAATAGGGTAAGATTGTATTCATTAACAAAGTATTTGTGGTCATGAAAGAGTCACTTATAACGACTCACAGCAACATAGAAACAGCCATATGACATTAGTTGTAATAGTTGGTTGTCATGTATCTAAAGTAGATATATATACACATGCAAGTAAGACAAGACACACAGGAGAACTAACTTAGGGTGTAGGGAAGCCCTTGTCTCCACCTGAATAATTAGTGTAATCCTTTCCTTCTGATAAAATGGGCCAGGATGTAACTTACTGCACTTGCATTTTTGCCCTTGCCACCCTGCTCAGCCCCAAAGGCAGTGCTCCAATATGGCAACTTGGCCCTCTGCCTGGATATAAGGGTTTCTTCCTGGTCTACCACTCGGTGTCCCTGATTTTCTATATATTCCTTATTGCACGCCCTTTCTGGCAAGCTGCTTCATTTTCTTTCTGCAAAAGAGACAGGACCAAAGGAAATGCAAAAGTCAATAAGTCTGTTACATAAGTCCTATCCTAACAGGAGTCTCAGGGCTCAGCGCTAGCTCTTGTCATCAAAGTCTGGCTTTGAGGTGTAAAATTCTGACTGTTATTTCACCCTGTAAAGTCAGGATGGTCTGATCTGGGGGCAGGACAACAGGGAGGAGCAGAGGCAGGGCAAATCGTGCCTGTACCTGGATCCTTGTCCTCCTCCCCTAAACACAGGGGTATGTGCATTATCAAGAGACTTGAAAATCTAAGCTGCCTTCCACTGCCACCTTAATCTGTTTAATTTCCCCTTTTCATTTCTTGTCTGTAACAAGGAGACAAAGCACTGGTCACTCATCACCCTCAGTGGCCCTAACCATTAATAGCTGGGAGGCCATGGGCAATAGGAACAGAGTAGCCGTGAAATTAGAGGACCCGGTTTCAGTTCTAATTCTAAGAGTAAACAGCTGTGTGACCATGGTCGTGCCACTTAATCTCTCCAGGCCTGCTTCATCATCCATCAAGTTGGGATAATTCCCCTTGCCCTTCACAGCCAGGATCAAATGCCCGAATATGCATGACAGCCCTTCCACAACTGTGAGGTGCCCTATGGAACACCATAGGTGGCATTCGGGCTCCATCCTGCTAGGTAAGTACTATTCTCTGGGTGAGGCTGTAACCCCTCTGGGAGTTGTCACTTCTGACAGGGCAGATTCCATGAAGCACACCATAATTGCAAGTACTTGTGGCCTCAGGAGAGTCTAAACTCCCTGGCCCTGTGGCACACACGGGCCCCATGAAAGTGTCCCTACCACCTTATCACCCTCTTCCCCTCCCCGCACACCCCCCATGCTCTGGCCTCCATCATACCCAGGAGGCCAGTAAATGCAGTGCTGTCTCCCCTGCCCAGCCCTCCACGCCCATTCCTTCAGGCTGGCTGTCTCGCCCTCCTGCAACCCAGGTACCTCTATTCCATCCCACCTGCTCTGAGGAACCCGAGAAGCCATCAGTTGGACCTTGCCCTGCTCTCCCACCCAAGCGATTTTGCCACAAAAATGGCCCTGTCTCCTCAGACCCCAAAGCTGCAAGAGCTGTTTTTTCAACTTCTGTGACTCCTCTCCACCTGTTCACCATGGTAGGGAGTTATCAAACCATCACTGAGTGGAAGCTGGGGTCCCTGGGACACAGATGTCCCTAGAAGGCTGAAGGTCTGGTTTGGGGTGCTCAATGGCGGGGGGCCTCTTTCGGCTCACTTTCTTAACAGACAAGGAAATAACAACTCAGGTCCTGCCCGCTCCTTCACAAAGGTTGGGCTCAGCTGAGGCAGCTACCCTGCTTGCTTAGCCAAGGATCAGAAGGGTTTCTGCAAAATGTCTGGCACAGATAGGAAAAAGGCAGTTTCCCAACACTCTGTTTTGTTCTCCCAACTCACTTTCTCACCCAGTTATAGCAGCATCTCTCCCAGCACAGAATGCTGACCCACGGAGGCAGGACTGGAGACAGGCAAGAATGGGAGGCGATTTTTGTTCAGAGGGCCAGGCACAGAATGCTACGGTCCCTCCTTGCCTCTGTCAGAGTGGCTCCCCTACACCCTCCCTGAGAAGGCATCCTGTCTACTTAGGAAGAGGGAAAGTAGAAGAGTTAGTCAGCAGGCCATGCCAAGGCCATTCCCTCTGAAACACGAAACTATTCTAGAGAGTCACTTCCCATGGGCTGGTGTGTGTACCCTTCCAGCATGTGTTTCATTACAGAGTTAGAGTACCGAGCTGCTCCCTTCTCCATGTGGCCGGCCTCTCCCTTCCTCCACACCAAACCAAATACTCAGGCACAACATCGCCTTCTCTCTCCATCCGAAACAACTCCAAGGCCTTTACCTTACAAGCTGTCAACATATCTGACACGGCTTTCCGGCTCAGGTTGGCGGTGGCAATCACATCCTCCTGCCTGCATGAGTTCCCAGCGGCCACGGCTTTGGCTGTCGCCATGGTGATGCCTTTTGTCATCCTTATGGATTCTTCAGGTGAGGAGGTCTTTTCAGGTACTTCTTTGGACTGGAACACCTGAAAGTTCGAAATACAACAGGTGAAAAACAAACAAACAACAAAAAAAGGAAGGACAAAAATAATTTATCTTCTCCGACTGGGCTGCTGCTCACAGTGTGAAAACTGAGCCAGTAACAGGAAGAAACCATCAAAAGGCAGGAAATTATAAATTTAATTTGAGTAATATTATTCTTGCTTTCAAGATTCTAGCACGGAGAAGCTTTGTACACCTGTACTCAGCGTTCATGGTTAACAATCCAGGGAGAGGGAGGGAGACATGTCTACAGCACTAACCGTTCATCTGCAGACAGACACTCAGCATTTGTAAACCATCCTGGGGAAGGTGGTGGGGTGGCTTCCCAGTTCTTGCCCTTCCCTGCTGGTGCTTTAGCAGGTCCAAGAAAGTCTGCAGTTCTGAGGCTGGTTCCTGCGCTGGATGGACCTGGATGCATCCCTGTGGACTCACCTCTTTCTTCCTCTTTAAGAAGGTGTGGGGTTGGGGGGAAACGGAGCATTTGGTTTCTTCTATTCTTAGCCTGTCTTACAAATATAACTGCATAATTGTGCAGAGGCGTTCGTGTCAAGCGCACCACAGTGACACTGTGAATTATTTAAAACCACACACACACACACACACACACACACACACACACACCCCTTTAGAGAAGCTGAAATAAATTAACCATGGTAAGTGAATATCCCACTTTAAAATTCCACCTGTGAGTCAAGGCAGCCATTTCTGCTTCAAGCCCATCTGTCTTGTCTCTCTAATATGAGTGACTGGTGCCAGGGCTGTATGTTCACTGTGAGGCTGTCCCCTGCAAGGAGGACTCCTAAACTGGTTGGGGCCACTCTGTTTTTAGCCCTAGGCAACCACCTTTCAGCCAGCTAGTTTTTCCTGAGGCAAAGGAAAGAATCCAGCCAGTGTCCCTATCCCTGTCATGTGTTAAGGAGCGTCAAACATTACCACCCCCCTAAAAATGGGCAGCTCCAATCAAACTGCCCAGGGCCACGCCTGAATGCTAACCTGGAATGAGGGCGACCTGTACAGGGCCCTTCACACTAATATGGCCCACGTGGCCCATGCTCCTTTGGAAACTTCCTATATCGGTGGAAATAATGCATAACCTGTGTCAGCGCCAGACCACATTGGTCTATTTAGGTTGACCATGTGTAACTTCCCAGGAGAGCTCTGAATTTCAAATTCCTCCACTGCCACCATGAGCCCCACCCATGCCTACCAGAATGTGGGCTCTGACTTTTGATAGGAACCATTGAGCCAACGCAGGTGGGTAAGCCTTACGTCAGGCGGCAGGGCTTAAGGACATCACCTGCAATTTTTAGTTCCTTCTTTGTGTGAGAACCCAATATAACACCGACCAAGACTGGGTTCGTTAAAAACAGGACAAGAGAACCTAAGTCCCCAACACCAAAACCCAACAGAACCGCTGGTTTCTGTGGCTGATCCACATGGGCTTTTGGCCTTCATAGGTGACCCTCTAAAGATGCAGAATAACTGGCAGCGAGGCAGGACTTCCACTCCCCACCCCAAAAGAGAAACTGAATATGTGATTAGACCTCCTATTGGAAAGAAAACTCCATTTGAAACCACTCATTTTCAGCATACTTCTATTTCTAGGGATTAGGATAAGTCAATCCATAACCACTATGGGATCAAAAGAACAGGGATAGTATCCATATCTCAGGAACACCAGGACACTCTCACTCTATAACCATGGAACAAGGCAGGAAAGAACGTATGGTTGATCTCTCTGAGATCACAAGGATCACCAACAGAAGAATGCTGAATTTGAAAGGGAAGTATCTCAGGCAAAGGCATCCAGGTTTTTCTAATAGGGAACCTCCAACTCCAGAATCTGTATGGGTGCAGCAGTGTGAGCTGTTCCTGACAGCAAAGGGAATCAAGAGGTGCCATGTGTGGCTCCACGTGGTATGCACAACATTTAAGCTCAAGGTGAGAGCAAATAGTCACTTTCTCTTTCCCAGGCATCTTCTGTAATGCTTTTGTTTCATGCTCTGATTTTGGTGGGATTAAACCTAAATAGTCCTAAGTGACACATTTTAATTAATTTCTTAATTACACATCAATCATAGCCAAACCCTGATGTGGTGAGTTATGCCTGGGGCCTCAATTATACAAAGCTACCAGCAGGTAGGTGAGTGGGCCTCCCTAGCTCAGGTGCTCCAGGTAAAACTGGAGCTTGATGCTATGAATCTTAGAGCAATCTGTTTTGGGTGTCGACTCTTGCACAGGGGGCCTGAGGGAGGTGACTGCTGGCTCCTTACCGTGAGCTCCTGTTTCATGTACTCGATTGTGGCCTCAAGTGCCCGTGTACCTCGGGTGGCCTCGTCTTCCACTGCCTTTACGGTCTTGAGGAGGGAGGTGACATTGGTCACCATCACCTGCATAGGAAGGAGAGGCAGAGAGAAAATGAGGAGCACACTGAGGTCCGCTCCATCCTTTTTGTTCTGGATCTGATTCCATGAGCAAAACTATTGCTAAGTAAGGAAGGAGCTCAGATGCATATGCTTCTGTTATTCTTGTATATGCTTCTCTCACTATGCACTCCCCCTTCCACACCTGCCCCTGACTTGGGGCCCCACTCTACCTTGGCCGCCCCCTTGAGCTGGTACATGGAGGGGTCATCAGCAGGCTTGCTGGCAGCTCCTTTGGTAGCGCCAATCAGATCCGAAAGGGCCTTGGCTACATCTTTGATGGCATTGATCAATACCACCTGAAAGAAAGCAGAGAGTCCAGGTGAGCAGCCCCAGCAGTCACCTACTGGCCTCCCGGAGAGCATATGGCCAGAGGGTCAGGTGGGGGTATCTGGGAGGCAAGGTCTCTATCTCTGCAGCTCTCAAGCCTGCAGCAAGGAAGATTCTCCAGGAGCCACCCCTGAAGATGCTGATGCAGGAGACTCCTCAAGTAGGACTGACACTGAGCCAGAATACAGACCCCACGTATACTCAGCATGCTCAAACAGCTCCAGCTGGCAGCTCTGATGACAAGCCGCCTAAGAAAGGATGTAGGCAGCTAAGCAGACATCTGGGAGCCGGCACCGCTCACCTATACCCTGAGCTGGTAACCAAAAACATGGAGAAGCAAATGCTAGCCTCATACCCTGGCCTGCAGAGCCTCTGTGGCAGCCCGCCTGCACCTCCAGCTCTGGCTTGTAGGATTCTGACTCACTCCACATGAGATGGGCAGATGGGTCTTGTCTGTGTCCAGTGAAAATCCCACTCATCGCTACTTCAGGACCTCTGCGTTTGCTCCTCTCTCTGCCTGGAACCCAGCTCTTCTCATCATTCAGGTCTCTGCTCACAAATGCAGGTGCTCAGAGACCTTTCCTGACCACCCCCCGCCTGAAATTCCAGCAGCGAGTATTGTTTTATGGATAGGACTTATTAGTATGTGGAATTACTATCTTCTCCCCCAATGTGGGTGTAAGCTCTAGGAGGGCCAGCCTGGATTTCTGTCTGTTGTGTTTTGTACTCAGGACAGGGCCTGGCATGTCGCAGGCACTCACGATAAGTCACAGAATGACTGGACAAGTGCACACCTTAATGACAATAGAGATAATATGGTAGCTACACTCTAGTAATTGAGCAGAGGCCACAGGCCATCCTTATGGTGTGCAGGACCTGGGGTCTGAAGCACTAGGCATACTTAGGAATGACATGACATGACATACCTTACACGTTTAAGTCTTCTGAACCCCTACTTCTGGAGCAGCAACAATTTTCTCTTACTGAGGGCAGTGTTTCAGTCCTGAGCCATGCATGCCTCCCGTGACTTTGCTTTATCCTCACCACTGCCCTGCCAGGTGGGAGCTACGATGCTCCTGTCCACATTCCCAGGGTCTGGGAGCAGCAGGGCTGAGATTCAGACTCTAGTCAGCATGAGCCCAAGGGTCATGATTTTAACCTTCATATTAGCTTATGCACTAGGGCTCAGGCTCCTCATGTACAAATGGCATTAGTAGCACCAACCCTATCTCACCACACTGCTGTGAGGGTGACTACATAATGTACATGAAACCACATTAGAAACTCCTACGTCCCAGACATCTGAGCAGCAGAGTGACGCTGTGCCTCTGGCCCTCCCACCTTCTCCAGCTCTGTCCTGTGCCTTCTCACGCCCAGGGCACATGGATCCTCTGGCAACCTCTGAACCCACAGGGCAGGGCAGGGCATGATGGGGCTCGTGAGGAAGGGCTGATGGGTGTGCACTTCACACTGCCCGATTCTGGCCATCACAGCAGCAGGGAGGTACAGCAAGTGGAGGGCAGGGGATGGCAAGCCCAGGCTACTGCCAACACCCAACGTGCACAGTCCTGTCCCTGGTCACTAGGATGTGACTGGAGAGTAGGTACATTTTTGTGAGGGGATATTTTCCACTAGAGGTCTCATTAGAAGCTGGGGCTCTAGGACATAACAGAGCATCTGGGAGTCAAGACTCTAAATAATTTGAAACATTTCTTCGTGTTCAAATATTTAAATCCTCCCCCAGCCTGCTCACTCTTCCTAAAGTGGAACCAGGCTCCCAGAGTATGGATTCCAATCTCACTGAGCATTTTCAAGCTTTGCCTTTCTCCACGGGGGTAAGAACAATATTGTGGGCAGGGAGGGATTTCTGTGAATGCTTCGAATTCCAGGGGGCAGCCAATCTGAGCCTGGATGTTATCAGGGAGAAATCTAGTAGGAGTAGAATGGCCACATGTGGAACATTTCCTTATGGAGCTCTACTCCACTGGATGACGCTGGGCAGGGAAGGGTCATGGCCACATGGGAGCCAACCTGGTGGCCTTGTGTTAACTATAACAATAGCTGTCGTCAACCTGGGCACTGGATGGTAGGCGGTTTCCTGTCCGGTTTTGTCCACATGGGCCAAATGGACAAGTTAACCGAGTGTGGTTTAAGCAGTGACAACAGGTTTTGCCATCTGATGGTGCTAGGATAGACAGAGCAGACGGCTTTTCAGTTCTGCCCCTGGGAATGAGTAGAGCCTATTACCGGGGGCCCTGGCTGGCTCTATGTTCAAAAGGAGCTGACACATACTTGTTGAGCATCCACTAGGTGCTGGAGCTGCACTGGATGCTTAGCGTTCAAAAATCAGTGACCTGTGGGTGCTGTCCCTGAGGAGCTGGTGGCCCAGGCCGAGGATAAAGGAGTGGGAAGGTAACATCGGTGAAACCGCTAAACCCAAAGCCAGGTCAGGAGCACAGAGCCCTACCCTACCCCCGCTCGTCTCTCCCTTCCCCTTGAGAGCCAGACTTCTCAAAGGGTGTCTACACACGCTGGCTTCCTTCCTTTACCCTCATCTGGCCACTCCACATGAAGAGCGCTTGCTAGGGTGGCCAGTGGCCAGCTCTCAGACCTTCAGTTTCTTGACAAGTAGCTTTTTCTCTCCCCTCTCTTAAAATATCAGGACTCCTGGCTTTCCTCCTACCAGCTGCTGCTGCTTCTCAATCTCCCGAGGCACCTCTTTCTCTTTACTATGGTTTTAAATGGTGGCTTCCTCAGTTCTGCTTTGAACCTCCTTTTCCTCTCAACCCATACTCTTCCTCTTCTGTGGCTGCAGTCACTGTCTGTATGGCCACTACCCCTGCATCCGTATCCCCATGCCTGTGCAGGCTTATGTCCCCTCTCTAGTTCTATCTGAATGGCTCTCTGGCACTGCTCTGTGCTGAGCTCACCCTCACCTTCCCGGCCAAGCCCATTCTCCTGCCAGGGAGCCACTATCTACTCACTGACTTTGCTTGGGATGTAGAATCACCCTGGCCCTCTCCCTCTCCCTTATACCTAAATGCTCACTCACTATGCTTAATTGTCCACCAGTCATTTCTACCGCCATGGCTGGCACCACAGTCTGTGCCACTGTCCTGCCCGGATAACTGTTTCCTACCAGACTCCAGACCCCAGGCCACCCCCGCACCTACTGTTTATTTCTGGGGTTTCTATTATGCCTTTGGCCTCTTCTGAGGCCTGCTGCAGCACAGTGTCTGTCTACAGGAATGTGAGGGTGATCTATGTCCCTAGGCCCACCCATACCTGTGTCTCGGGGTCATCAGAGCCCAGGCTGGCAGCCCCCAGCTTGACCACCTCAGCGAGCTGGGTGATGGTGGCTGCTGATGACTGGGCTGCCTGGGCCAGCTTGTCTGGTGTGGACGCAGCCCCTGACACCAGCAGCTTCGTATCTTCCACCAAGGCTTTGGCTGTCTTCAGGATGTTCTCCCTGAGAAGGCAGGGAGGGAGACAAAGGGCAGAGCTTGTCTACTGGTAGTTAGGAAGCAAAGAAATCCTTCCTATGGGATTTTTTGTTAAAGGGCTTTGAAGAACAGAGAGGACAGATTTCCCCTTCCTTATCAGCGTGCTCACTGTGTAGGAAAGTGGGAAGAGGCAAGGAAAGTCAGCCCCATACCCACATAGGTAATTAACAATAAAACTTCAGTGAAAGATTCAGGCCCATCATTCTGGCCCTCTCCTCCCAACCCTGCAGAACTCAGTGAGACGTCAACTCCTTTCCTGTGGTTCCCCCCAAATACTTCACAGTTATGGGCAGCTGTGAGGGCCTGTGGGTCATCACCTTGGGTGCGCACCCAAGGGTCCGCATCCTAGAATGGGTGACAGCATTAGCAATCTCCTCCCTAGCCCAGCCCTGGGACTGAAGAGAAAGAAAGAAAGGTACCAGACACACGGCAAGGCTATGGGGAGGGCTCTCCAGCACCAGCCTCCAGGAGCAGGGCCTGAAGAGCCAGCAGGCTCAGAACCCCACTCTCCATTTATGTCAAAGCTAAATGGGCCTGTACTGGCCACTCCCACTCCCACAGGGGCTGGGAGCAAATCAGAGCCACATCTCTCTAGCTTGGAAAGTAGAAGATCAAAAAGCTGTCCTCTGCCGGAGCAAGCTGGATTCAGGCTGCCAAAGGCACAAAGCTGGAACATAACTATGTGTTTACAGTTGGCAAAGGGGCTTGTTTTGATTATGTGGTTCACTTTCTCCCCTTGAGCATCTTATTGAAATCAAAATGGTTAACCACATTTCTGGCTCCTGGGTAGACTCCAAAGTCCCATAAGGCCAGCCTGAATCTCTCCTCATCCAGAGGCCCCCAGGGTGACCTCCACTCCCATACCTGTGGTCTGCAAAGGTCTCGTTATTCTCTGCATTCAGGGTCCCCGCGGTTGCAAACATGATGGTGGTGTCCAGGTCGGCAATAATCCCAGACACAGCAGTGGCGGCTGTGATACATGCCTGAGTCCCCTTGTTCCCAGCCTGGAGAGCTGATAGCACCAAGGACACCTATAGATAGAGAGGGAATGTCAGGGTGAATGGGGGAATGGAGAACATGTAACCCAAAGGTTTTCAGATTCATATATCACTGGGGGGGGGGGGGAGCCACTCAAAAAATAGAAAAAGAGGGAGTTCTTCTAAATTCATTTATAAAGCCAAAATTACACTGATACCAAAACCAGACAAGGATGCCACAAGAAAAGAAAATTATAGGCCAGTATGCTTGATGAACATAGTACAAAAATCCTCAACAAAATATTAGTGGGCTGAATTCAAGAATACATTTAAAAGGATCATACACAACACACCAGGGATGCAAGGATGATTCCACATGCACATATCAGCCAGTGTGATACATTAATAAAGAATAAAAATCTTATGGTCATTTCAACAAGATATAGAAAAAGCATTTGACAAAATTCAATACCCACTGATAATAAAAGCTTTCAACAAAGTGGGTAAAGAGGGAACATGTCTCAATGTAATTAAGGCTCCATATGACAAACCTGCAGCTACCACCATACTCAATGGTAAAAAGCTCAAAGCCTTTGCTCTGGGATTAGGAACAAGACAAAGATCCCCACCCTTGCCACCTTTTTCAATAGAATATTGGAAGCTCTAGTCAGAGCAATCAGGCAGTTAAAAGAAAGAAAATGCATCCAAATTAGAAAAGAAGTAAAACCGTCACTCTTTGCAGATGACATAATGTATACAGAAAACCCTGAATACTCCATAATTTTTTAAAAGGCTTTCCTGATTTAAGACCTCCTTTTTTAAATTTATTTTTAAATTTTTTTAATTTTTAAAATTTATTTATGATAGTCACAGAGAGAGCAGAGCGAGAGAGAGAGAAAGAGAGAGAGACAGAGACACAGGCAGAGGGAGAAGCAGGCTCCATGCACCGGGAGTCCGACGAGGGATTCGATCCTGGGTCCCCAGGATCGCGCCCTGGGCCAAAGGCAGGTGCTAAACCGCTGCGCCACCCAGGGATCCCCTGAATACTCCATCAAAAACTGTCAGGAAATAATCACTTCTGTAAAGTTGAGGAATACAAAATCAATACACAAAAATCTGTTGTGTTTCTATAATGAATACTGAATTATCAGAAAGAGAAATGAAGACAATCCCATTTATACAATTGCTTCAAGAAGAATAAAACACCTGGGAATACACTTAACCAAGGTGGGGGTGGGGGGAGAGATTCCAAATGGATGACTATAAGACATTAAAGAAAGAAGTTGAGGAAGGCACAAATAAATGGAAAGATATTCCACGCTCACAGACAGGAAGGATCAATATTGTTAAAAGTCCATACTACAGAAAGCTAGCTACATATTCAACACAATCCCCATCAAAATTCCAATGGCATTTTTCATAGAAGTACAACAATATTGAAATTTCTATAAAACTACTAAAGACCCTGATGAGCCAAAACATTCTTGAGAAAGAAAAAGTTGGTGGTCTCACGTTCCCTGATTTAAAACTCTATTACAAAGCTAGAGTAATCAAAACAGTATGGTACTGGCCTAAAAACAGACACATAGATCAACAGAACAGAGAGCTCAGAAATAAACCCAAGCATATGGAGTCAATTAATTTATGACAAAAGAGCCATGGACACAGGAGAAAGGGCAGTCTCTTGAATAAATGATGTTGGGAAAATAACACAGCTATATGTAAAAACAAAACAAAACACAACAATCCAATTAAAACTGGGCAGAAGATCTGAATAGACATTTTTCCAAAGAAGACAAATAGATGGTCAACAGGAACATGAAAAGATGCTCAACGTCATTAAATATCAAGAAAACGCAAATCAAAACCACAATGAGGTATCGTCTCACACCTGCTGGCATGGCTATCATCAAAAAGACAAGTAATAACAAGTGTGGCAAGGATGCAGTGGAAAGGGAGCCCTCATGTGCTATCGGTGGGAATGTAAACTGGCATGGCCACTAGGGAAAACAACATGGGGGTTCCTCAAAAAATTACCAATAGAACTACCCAATTGTAGTATTGGGTACTTATTTGAAGACAAATTCTAACTCAAAAAGATATGTACCTCTCTGTTCACTGCAGCATCACTTACAAAAACTAATCAGTAGAAGCAACCTAAATGTCCAATGATAAATGAACAGATAAAAGAAAATATGGTATGTATTATCCAGTAGGATATTATTCAGCCTTAAGAAGAATGAAATTTTGCCATTTGCAGCAACATGGATGGAGCTGGAGGCCATTATGCTAAGTGAAGGAAGTCAGAGAAAGAAATGCTACGTGATCTCTGTCATATGTGGATCCTAAAAAAACAAAACAAAACAAAACAAAAACAAAAACAAAAAAACAAGCTCATGGATACAGAGAACAGACTGGCAGTTGCCAGAGGCAGAGGATGGGAGTTAGGAGAAATGTCTGAACTTTTCTATTTGAGTGCATCGAACAAAAATTAAAAACAAAACAGGAGAAAACAAAACTTAACCAACTAACCTCATAGAAAAAGGGATCAGTTTTCTGGTGGAAGGGAAGGTATGGATCAAAGTTTAAAACATAAACTTTATTACAAAATAAGTACTAGGGATATAGTGTACAACATGGTGACTACAATTAACTTTCATATATGTCACACAGCAGTGTTAAGAGTAAATCCTAAGAGCTCATCATCAGAATATATATATATATATGTATATATATATATATATATACATATATATATATATTTTGTATCTACGGGAGATGATGGATGTTAACTTATTGTGGTAACCAGGTGTAGTAACACGAAAGGAAATTATCACGCAGTAGATGCTAAACTTAATACAGTTTGTCCATTAGATCTCAAAACCAGGGCAAAAAAGTGAAAAGCTAACCAAAAGTGAATTTTCTCTCAGGGACTCAATACAGCTGATGGGTTAACACATATTTTGGTGTCAATATGTCAGGCTGAGTACCAGCATTATCATTTGCTGGCTAAACAACTTTGGGCAAGCTGTTTGACCTTAGTTTTCTCATCTATAATATGGGGATATTATTTCTTGCCTATCAGGGTTGTTGGGAGGAATAAGGGGGGGAGGGATGTTTATCAGCTCTCTAGCACTGCATAAAGTAAGTGATCAGTAGAGAGCAGATACTTTTTTATTTTTTTTTTTAAGATTTTATTTATTCATGAGAGACTGAGAGAGAGAGGCAGAGACACAGGCAGAGAGAGAGAGAGAGAGAAGCAGGCTTCCCACAGGGAGCCCAATGTGGGACTCGATCCTGGGATTCCAGGATCATGCCCTGAGCCAAAGGCAGGTGCTAAACTGCTGAGCCACCCAGAGATCCCCAAGAGCAGATACTTTTAATAGGATTATGTTCCTGAGATCACAGAGAGGTTTAGGCTTCTGTGAAAGGCGTGGCCATCTCTGCCCCCTCCAATCAGATTTTCTCTAGAACAGCCTTCTGTGAATACTCATCATTCCTGCCCTTGATTGCTTCTTGACTGGAAATTCTTCAGGGTGGACCCTATCATGGCTAGAGCCCAGAGTATTCCTGTGTATGTCACATCTCTACCCTAACACTCCCTTGAGCTATCACCAGGCACTAAATAATAATTTGAGTGACCTGAGAGTCCAGCAAGTTGACTGTATTCACTTCAGTGACTTCCACACTAGAAACCCTTTCCTTTTTTTTTTTAAATTATTTATTTATTCATGATAGAGAGAGAGAGGGGGGCAGAGACACAGGAGGAGGGAGAAGCAGGCTCCATGCGCCCTGGGCCAAAGGCAGGCGCTAAACCGCTGAGCCACCCAGGGATCCCCTAGAAACCCTTTCCTGCCACCTGCCACCCATCACCTCCTCCAGAACACCCTCACTGTTCCTAGAGACACTTCCCTATAACACAAAGCTAACTCCACCATACGTGTGGGTACAATTTTCCCCTGCTGTCAAGGGAAAATGAGCTCCCTGCACAACCAGTTCAACTTCTCTGGCCTCCCACCACATTCTTGCCACATCAACCAACTCCTTACTTCCCCAAATATCCCCCACCTCTCTTGCAGTGGGTCTGCCCCTGCCTGTTCCCCAGCCACCAACCTGCTCATCCTGCAAAAGCCAGCTCAAAGTCTCCACTGTCCTCATCCAGAAACACAGCTGTGCTTCCTGAGGGTTCCACAGCACTGTCCCTGCCCTCAGGACAGCCCATTTAGCATGGGTTAAAACAGCATGCTTCTGGCTAGTGACTGGAGACTGAGTCTGGAGACAGTCTGGAGCTGTCATATTCATCTCTGTGTGCACACACCCACCATTCTTGACTATGGCTAGCCCAAAGAAGAGTCTGAAAATACTTCTTGAATGCACTGTTTAAAAACACACTGACCAGGATGAGGAGTTACAGCCTCAGTGAGAGGCACATGGTTTGTATATTCTCTTCTTCCTGTGTTGCTCAGATCTCAGCAGAGGTGGTGGACACAGCCTAGCAGGCAGGGCAGAGCGCCCACCTCCTGAGCACCTGCTATGTCCCAAGACTAGCCCACAAGGATTGGTTCCTCTTCCTCATTTGCCTGATCCTCCTTCCCAGAGTTAAATGCCACTATGTCCCACCAGGAAGAGTTGGGATGGTACAGAGCTGGCCTGGGAACGAAGTATCCAGTTTCTGGAAAGAATTCCCAGAGGACAGGTGACAAAGGCCAAGACAAGTAATCATGAATCTGGGAGGAACGTTCTCAGCCAGACTGGAAGAAAGAGAATTAATTCAGAAACAGTGTCCCGCCTGCTACAAAAGGCATGCAAGTCAGTGTATTGAGCAGCGACTAGGCCCTAGGGGATGAGGACACAAAGGTGAACATGTCAAGGGGATCACGGATGGTGGGAAGTTATAGACACAACCAAGCCATGTAAGACACACCAGGTAGAGATGAGAGGACTGGAGCACGTAGCAAGAAAACACTGAAAAGGTTGAGTCTGGCCAGCCCGATTCCCTGCCTGTGAGCCACCAGGTGTCCTACGTCACACCAGGTGTCCTATGTCAGGGCCATCTGCTGGGACAGGCAGGAAGACTGAGAACAGCTCAGGGGGATCATGTTGCTTGGCCCCACTGGCCAACACCATGCAGCCTGGACCCCCCGCCTCCCCTCCTTCAGGTGCCAGCTCCGAGGTCTTCCTCAGGGGAACTTGGCCAGGGTAACTTCAACAACAAGGAAGGGCTTTGAAAGGAGAGAGAGATTCCTCCAGCAGAGAGATTGATTTCGTCCTTCTGTGCTGTCCCAAGGAGGCCTGGGCTGTCCTGTGGGCCGCAGAGACGGCCAGAGGTCGCTTGGCTTTAGCGAGGGATCACATATAGAGCAGCGTCTGTAACGGCAGCTGCTAGGTGAGAGGACCCCTGTTGCCAGCTTCTAAACAGGGAAGAGCTCTATGTCCTGGGAACCTGAGTGAAGGGAGGGAAAAGCCAGCAAAGCACAGAGGCTTCAGCCTGCACTCCGAGCTGCCTGCACAACAGTGGTCCTGAAAAAGGACTTGGGGAACTAAGCAAAGCAGGAGAGGAGTACACTTCAGGGGGTGAGGTTGGGGAGTGTAAGGCAGCCATGGGAATCAAGAGGCGATGAGAACTGGCTTTCTCCAGCAGGGAACCCCGTGGGAGAAGAGTGTCAGAGATGGTTTACAGAGAACAGCAGCTAGGATCTATATAATACACAGTCTGGCACTGTGCCAAGCACTTTTACACACATCACCGCATTTCATTCTCACACCCCAGGGGCCAGGCATTGTATTTCTCTGTGCTCATTCTGCAGATGAGGGCATTGAGGCTAGGAAAGGTGAAGTCAGTTGAGCCCCTAGACCCCACGCACAACACTGTGGGATTCTCTCCAACAGCTGTTGCTAGAGATCAGCAACCTCCAGCCTGTCCCTGCTCTTTTAACCAAGGTGCCGTGTGACTTCGGGCAGGGTCCTCAATGCTTCCCCCCACTTCATAGTCTGTTCTGGGAGGAAGGTTGCTACACCAAGAGAACTTCAGGCCCTTCTTAGTTCCCAGCAACTGGGAGCTTCCCTGAGAAGGAAGCTCAGGGGACAAGTGTCATAAGGGGTAGCAAGGAGGGGCTCCTGGTGCTCATGTGACTTTGATTCCAGTCCTGTCCAGTCTGTCTGCAGGAAAGCCCACCAAGGAGGTGTACCACAAACCAGGGCCCTGACTTTCATGGGATGGTCCCTCTCATGTTCTGAATTACCCCAGCCCCCTGAGGTGCCCCCTCCCTGGGGAATCCCTGCGTGAGGGAGGAGACCACCAGACCCGACTGGATCCATTTGGGCTTGGCTTCCTGCTTCTGTCCCTGCCCTGGGGCTTCTCCTTACCTTCTCTGTGACTGCGCGGGCACACTCGATGAGCTCCCTTTTGGTGTAGCTGTCTGTGGGGCACACCTGGAGCGCCCCCGCCTTCTGCACCAGGAATATACAGCCGTGGCCCAGGTCTTGCACACGAGTGCGAATCTGGAAGCCGATCTGTGGAGGCAAGCCCAGGGTGGGGAGGGAGAAGCATGATGGATTCTTACCATTGAGGTCTCCCCTGTGTGGAAAATTTTCTCCACGTCCTATGGGAGCCTGGCTAGGAAAATCCCACTGCTCTTGGGAGTCTGTGCTTGCTGGAGTATGGAATTTGGTTGATTTGACTTCCCTTTTTAGAGCCTGTAAAATGCCCAGAGTCCCCAGGAAGCAAGCCTGTGTCTCATCATCCTAGACTAATGCCTTTCTGATATTTGTTACTTTTCCTGGTATATTGTTTACTTGTATCCGGAGCCACCTGACAGAAATGGTAGTTAGATGAACTCGGGGGGGGGGGGGGGGGGGGGGAGGGATAATTATTATTCATTCCTGCATTTATTGAGTCCCTACTGTGTGTCAGGGCCTCTTCGAAGCAGGGATTGCATTTACTTTCATTTTTTTCTGCACCCAGTCCTAGAGTAATTAGAAGTTGAAAACATAAAGCTTTTGTAAGCAGCATAAAACATTCAGGTTCTTGCAAAATTGGTATGTTTATAATAACACCCCCTTCTTCAGCTGTGTCCCGTGGTGAGGGCCAGCATGCTGGGCCCAGCCTTCCTATCAGGCCAGGTTAAGTTTTCCTTAAAAAGCTACATTTTTAGAGCTAAAGGCTCAGCAGGCACGCATTCTTTTAATGACCCCTGGGGTGTGTGATTATAAAAGGTATTTTGCCTAAAAGAACCCAAATGAGCTCCACTATGGATAGGCTGCCAGCTGTCTCTTTAAGGCATAATAAATTCCACCTTCCCAAAGTTTGCATTCCTTTTGCTGTTTCACATTAATTTTCATTTTGGTTTGATCACTACGGCTGCCATAAATAATCTGCCCTCCAGCCCAGGTAAGCAACTAAAAACAAAACACCTTAAACTTTAAGTTAGTGTTATTTCCTAAGACTCCATGATAGCAAGAAGCTGTGGCTTCTCCTTCCAGTAAATACCAAGAACAGCTACTAAGATCTCAGGTATGTTGAATAAAAGCTGGGAGATCTAAATTGCTTAGGTGCTATCTTCCAGCATCATCTGATTTGAGTTCAAGGCAGGGCAGTCTTGGGGTAGTGAAGGGCGCTGCAAATGTTAACTCTGTTATTGAAACACCTAATACTTTAGTGAAAAAAAGTAATTCCCTAAGGCCCAAAGGATGCTTAAATTCACTTAAAAGAAAATTTTCCTGGCTCAGAAGGTGGAGCTTTGCCTCTTTTGGGGTGCTGCCCAAGCTTCACAATCAGGGAGGACTGCTTGTGGACCACCTCCATGTGGAATACAACACGAGGATCATACAAGCTGGCAGCTCTGCAAACCGGCCCACCACTGAGGAGGGGAAAGGCACTCCAGTTCAGCCACCCATCAGCACAAAATGTAGCTATTTGTTGGGCATGTCTGCTGGCTTAAACACAAGGCTTGGTTGAAGCAGGGTGATGCTCCATGAAGGTTGAAAACTAAACCTGGCTATTAAGGCTTTTCCGATCCATGTACTTTAACTCCACACACTTGAGGGTCAGAGCTAATCCACAGGTAAGGGTTGCATGTCAAGATGACCATAGATAGGTCTCTAAATGGCAGGCATTGCTGGGAAAGCCAGGTACGGGGCACTGAGAGGAAGAAACAGAATTTCAAAATAAACGTGACCTCACTAGTTCAACCTCCTCATTGATAGATGAAGAAATGGTGCAGGCTCAGAGAAGTGATGTGATTGGTCACACAGCCAGTGCCTGGCAAAGCCAGATGAGAACCCAGGTTGCTCCTACCAGCACAGCGTTCCACCCATCAGATCAGTGTTTACTAACTTCATTTTTTCACCACTTAGCATCAGTACCACCCTCTACTCTCCCATCACCAAATCTCTCATGGAAATGCAACATGTAAAATTGATATAATTTGTTATTAGTATACCCTTCTTCTATGAGCTAAAATTTACATCATTGGCTCCATAAACAGTCAATGAGACTAAGTGAATCAAAGTTTAAAAGTTGGGTTCACAAGATTTATAGAGCCTTAGCCACTGACTCATTTCTGTATTTTGGTTTGGCTGCAGTGTTGAGAAAATCCTGTTCTGTGTATAAAGCAAACAAGAGCAGCTTTCCTGTAGCCCTCTGACTGTAGCAGAGAGCAGCTTATCAGCCTGGGGTCTACATAAAACGACCCAGGGGTTCATGGTAAGGTGCCAGTAGGCTCCCAATGGCTTACTATGTGGCTCAGCCCAGAGTTTATTAAAAAACACACACAGATTTCCCTAATAGTTTCAGAAAGAGTTGTTTAAAAAGTGAGCCTTGAGTCAAATGTGCAGAACTTCCAAAGTGCCTCCCTGGGTCAGGGCTCTGAAGAATAAGGTGGGAAACCCCTGTGCCAGGAAGGACCAGGCTGAGAACATTCTCTGTGTCCCACTTCTACTCCCTGCTCGGAACCATGCCTGGACTTCCTGTCTGCAGAATGGTGGGCACTGGGGTAAGCACAGGCCTCTTAGATCACTCCCACCTGGAGGTGCAAGGGAGAAGGGACCTGCTGCCGCCAGGTCTCAAGCCTGAAACCTATGGGCAGACAGGACATCCTCCATGACATCCTCACACTTCTCAGCCCCCTTGCAAGAGGCCTTGCTATGAAAAACACCTCAACATCCTGGTGCTCAGCCCCTTCCTTGGAGGGGACACCATGCACGCAGCAAAGGATCCTATAAATGCTTGTGGAGCTGGGACAGTGGTCATTATGGAGGAGATTCCAATTAGGAAGGACAAAGATTAGCACCAGCAAACAAGGGTATAAGCCTAAGATAAAGCAACAGTTGTACAAAGCCTTTGGGGTTCTTGGCCAACCCAGGGCTTGGTCCTGGTGTCGAGCCTGTGCCAGAAGGTAATCACACAATTACCTCCATGTGGTTTGGCTATGCAACCCTCCTATGTGCTTGGTTGTGCAGTCCTATTAGGACAGCCACATGGGAGGGCATCATGAAGGGCATGTTGAAACAGGCTTCACTTATTTTCACACACTAAGAGGGGTGAACACAACAGGCAGGGGCGGGATCTCAGGATGCCAGCCCCACCTCTGCTCTCAGCCCTTCACCCACATGGGCAGCACCAACAGCAGAAAGGCCCATGGGTCCTACTGCTGGCCCAGCCCCCTTCCTGGCCACCAACTCCCTGGGTGAGCTGGCTAACCTCCTCTGTTCCTTCATCTATGAAACAGGACAGAACCTGCCCTACGACCCAGGGCTGATGGACCAAGTCAAAGGTTATATGTGAACACATCTCAAAGTAGAAAGCACCAGGTGAATGTTCACTGCTGTGACGAGAGGCAGCCTGCTGAGGGAAAAGCAGCACAGTCTGTGATGCCCTGGGTTTGAATCCTGATGTTGCTATGTTTCCTTATTTACTCACTCGAAACTTCACTTATTCCAGAAAGTTATTTCAAGTGGCTTCCACACTGACTCTTGTAGCTGGGTGGCCTTGGACAATTTAAACTTCCTGAGCCTCAGTTTGCTAACCTGGGAAATGGGGAAGAAAAAGGATCGTGCAGCTGTGAGGGTAATGGGCTAGCACCCAGCACGGACCTGATGCGTTGTATGGACTTGAACATCTCTATTATTCTTTATCATGGGTACATGGGCTATAGCTAAGGGGAGGCACTTAAAGGGGACAACACAAGCAACACACTCTACTGCAACTTCCCAGAACATTCTATACTGCTGGAGGAACATCTGAGAAAGGGAATGCATTTTTAAGTCTGCCAATGAAAAGGTAAAGGCTTTAAAAACAAGAACTTCTCAAAGTGACACTAAGTTTCTCAGCAAATCTGACCAGCCCCAGGGTGACTGGACTTACCGTCAGTGTGTATTATAAAGTCAGAGATATTCGACTTGGGGTTTTAAATTGGTGACTGCAGCAAAGCATGACTCGAGCATCAAGAAAAACCCTCAACTCCCTTCTTGCCCAAATAAAAGTAAAATGGGCATCGTCTCCTGGTTTTATGCCTTGGGGGGGAAATTGCAGGTCTGGCCTTTATGAAGTTTTGCATCAAGTTTCAATTGGAGGAGGTCTCAGAAATTCAGATTGTCTTTACTGCTGCAAACTAAACAAAACGTACAAATTTTTCTCAGGCTCTCAAAACAATCACATCTGAAACCTGGTCAAATATCATTTGCCTGGAGAGTTTGTGAATACTGAACAGGCAATAGTGGACGCTGGCTGACAGGCTTTACGTTTCTCCTTTGGAAAAAAAAAAAAAAAAAAAGGAAAGAACCATGAGTGCACAACAAAAACAGGGCGTCACTTGCCACCTACAAAAAGTGTGTCTTGGAGCGGAAAGTTTTAGAGAATTCTAGTGTAGACACCCATCTCATTTTTGGGAAAAGGCTGTGGTTTTTGCCACAGGCTCTTGACAAATAGTCCTGCCAGCTTTGAAGACATGAGTATTACAAGTGGTCACAGTAGAGTTCCCTTGGACACAAAGCTGTAGTCACTAGATCTTTCCCCCCAGCATTTATATTTAGCCCTTATGGCTCACAGGATATACATTTCCCTCTTTTTTAAAGAAGAACAGTGATCTTAGATTGTGCAGTTGCCTAAGGGTTTTAAACTTTTCTGAAGAAAGTAGTTTTCACAATGATGTTAACGGGGGTTTGAGTTCTCCATGGCAAAAGCAGCAGATAAAGCTCCTGCTTGATGTTCAGAGGGCAGAGCTAGTGCCTCTCCTGTAATTGTCACATTCTGGAAAAGACCAGAATGCTGACTCGGTAGAACAGCCTGCAGGACTGCAGCAAGGGAGCAGCTTCTTATTTGCCCTGGACAGAAATACTTTCACATGCTGTGATGTGGGGCCCTCTTGGATAGAAAACTAATTCCACAGTCTTGGAATAAAAAACTACATTGCTTTAGGGATCTCCCCAACCTTCTCAGTTTTCTCCTAAATATCTGTCTGGCAAATGCACACAAAGAATTTTCCTTAGCAAGCCACTGGTAATTTTATATTCTCTCTGCCCCTTTTTTGCTCCAGGTCACACTACTCTTGTGTCTGGAATGTAAAATATAACTCAGGACACAATGGTGTAAAGGGAGAATCTTAATGAAAACGTCAGCTGCTACAAACACCGGGCCAGGAACTAAAGTAATTTTGTGCTGTGCTTTCAGTGATACTTTTTCTTTCCTGGCTGCCCTGGCAATATTTTGTATTATGCTTCATGGTCTGGGTTGCAGTAAGAAAATCTGCTTGTTTCACACACAGGCTAGGGAGCTCTGAAGAACTCAGATGTGGAAAGGTCTCCATGGATCAGGGGCCTCCTCACTCAGTAACTCAGGTCGGGCAACATCTGAACCCACCAGACGGCCATAGATTCCATTCTTAAAGATTTCTGGAAACAGATCTAAATTTTGCCAACAGCCTCTTCGTTTCAGTCCCACAAGCCTAACACTTCTTCCTTTTGTTCAAACTGTTCCTTCCTGTAATGTAAGTTCCCTTAGGCTTGTTTAGGAAATTCAAAATTACACAGAATCCTGATATGTGTGGAGGGGGTGTGTGATTTTTCTTTTGGGGTAGTGACTTAACAGACTCATTACAAACACAATTTTTCATGCTGCAGCCTAAATACTCAATGGAACTAAAATCTGTAAGTGCAGGCACTGTTAGAAACCTACGTCATCCCATGCTAGATATATATGTATGCAAGTACATACATATGAAACTCCTGTTTACATGCGTTGTTATGACATGTGTTAGCAAGTGATTTTGTTTTGGGTCATTTCTGCATTATCTCTGGGGGTCTTTGTGAAGACATGCTTAGCATGGACTCCTGGCAGACAGAGCACTAAGTGACCTGGGAACACAGACTGTCACAGCTGTCTACTTCATTTGGGAGTATCATAAACAGGATTTGTGCTTAATAAAAGGCTCCCTGAATGTCACAGAATGCAATTACCTTCATCTTCCCAGTGTCCCTGCCATCTACTACACTATTCTTTATTACAGACTGAGCTCTGTGTCTCTAAGGAGTCATACGGTAGCTCAGCATGGACACCTTCTGCGTGCTAACACTGGCACGGGTGTGATTGGCCACGCACAGCTCCAGCCAGCCTGTTTGCTTCCCAGTGGACCACTTGATTACTCAGGCATATCGGATGTGAAAGGGGGCTCTTAGAAAGTGGCCTCTGGGATTAAACTTTTGCCAAATGACTCTTATGGGTGTAGGCATTCTAAGCAAAGTCTATGTTTGGCTGCTAAGGAAAGCGAGTTTAGGGAAGGCAGGTAGGTGATAAAGAGGAGTCCATAGGAGATGTAGGGGAGGGGGACAGTTTGTAAAAAGCCACCAACAGTAGTCAGGCAAGATTTTGTGTCTCAAAAGTAGGCAATCCAGCTCTTTCTCAGATGGGGCAGTGAAATTTCTTACTTGGCTCTTCCAATACTGCTGTGAGCCTTTGGAAACCAGGAAAATCACTGAGGAGGAGGATGTGCTAAGCAAAAAGAAGATGGCAGCGTGTGTTCTGCCCTGGGAGTCAGGCGATGGGCTGGGAGACAGGTAACCGGGCTGACTGCTCTGAACAGAGGGTGTCTGTCTGAAAACCCGCTTCCCCAGATGGACCTGTTGGCCTCAGAAAGGACAGTGAGCCCTGAGCACAGCCTGGGGCTACTGGGTCTGAACCTGGTTTTAGCTATCAGGCCGGAATCTTCTAGGGTGGAGCTAAGCTATGAAGAATCCCCCGGGAGTGGGTACCAGTGTGCATGTGCTTCTCAAGACAGGGGCTTATGGTGGCAGACCTCCTCTGGTTCCGCCGTGGCTGCCGCCATCTGGCCCTGGAGGGCCAGGTGCCCATAGTCACTGGTCATTTGTGAAGCCAGTCCTCCCAACTCCTCCGGGTTAGTAACCGACTTAGTCATCTGGAAAAAGAAAACAAGCAAGACACACACAACACACACACACACACACACACACACACACAGAAAAAAGCATGAGAACCATGTGTTAATACCACTGGAAGCCAAAGGGTTTCATTCACTTTTAAGCTCTGGGCTTGCATCTGGGGCTGGACACGGGAGAGGGCAATTCAAGCAAAGCCCATGCTGCAACGTGCACAACAGGCCAGGGCCCCTCTCGGGCCAGCAGGTCCTGGAGGGGCCAGTGGGTGACATGCTAGGCTCAGGCTGTGTAGAGCTCCCCCCAACAATGGTCCACCCTTGGGGATAAGTGTGGCAGCCCCAGCCCATCTGGCCCCGAGGGTTACCAGGAGACTCCCCTAGGGAAGTGCAGGGGGCATGAGCCCCGTGCAGGGCACATCCCTGGTCATATGCTTCTGCAGAGAGCTGACCTGGTCTCTGGGAACCCAGAAGCAGATCCCACATGGGCAAGACAGCATGAGGATAAGGCCTTTAAGGAAATCATGACTGAGAAGTAAGGGGTGAGCCCAATGTCTGGGTGGAAGATATTCTGAGAATACAGCTTCGTAGTAAGTTTATACCAAAGGATGACAAGGGTTCAGCCACAAATTGGTTAAGAGTACACTGTAGCCTAAACGGTCCAGCTCTTTTCATTCTTAGGAAGTTCAGTTTTTTCCACCTGCTTCATAGAAAAACTTACCTAAATTTGTTCTACCTAACTAACACACCATTTTTTAGTTTTTCTTTGTCCTCTGACAGAATGCCTCTCAGTGCTCCCAACAGCAGTTTTAACTGTCACCAGAAAGGTGTCCTCGTCCCTTCTGAGTAAAAGACTTCTCCCCTGCTGTACTTCTTCTCTCTCCTGGTGGTATTAGAAGACCTTGACTTTAAAGGGCTTAAAAAAAATATTTTAAATGGCTCCATATCCACTGAGGCTGGACGAGGATGGGTAGCAGTCTAAGGCATGTTTGCCAGGAAATGTCACAGGCTTTCAGGCTTAGGTGTGGGTTCCCAAGGAACACATGCTGAACCCCAAGAGACAGAGAGGCTGCACCTTAGAGCTGCATCATTTGCACCCTGCCATGGGGAGCACAGCGATTCTGGGGCAACCTGAAGTGGCGATGGGGATCCTTGACAACTCAGGGTCTGGGCCAGCTAACCTAAGAGCAGCCATGTAGCCCCCAGTGGGGCTACTAAAGAGAATGGACCTGCTGAGAACCTAGCCCAGGAGATGTTCCAGAAACAGGATGAGGCCACTCAAAATATTTTCATCTCCTGCTATGCTGTGCTCCCTGCTCAGAAGACTTGGCACTGCAGGTCTGCCTGATTTGACCTGTCCCTTGTCCCGGAGCCCCCTGAGCAGTACCAGCTTGGGCCTGATTCCAGCTCTTTGAGTCACTGAGATGGGCACTGCTCCTATTCCTCTTCCCAGCCCAAATCCTATTAAGCAACAATGAGCTTGGCATGATCACAGAGTTTCTAAGGAGGAGTAGCAGCAGCCAGGGAAGCCTTTGTAGTCCAAGCTCAACCTCTAGTGGACACATGACTACATGACAAAATCATCCCGAGGTGCTGGCCGGGTGGGGCAGGAAACACGCCACAGCTTAGTCTGGTGGTCCCTCCAGCTGGGAGGCTACTGAATCTCTCAACTCAGGCTCACGTGGCAGCAGCAGAGAGGCAGCTTCCAAAATTTTATTCCATGACATCTGAGCCTTGGAAGGTCATGAGGAACTTTCTTACTATGTACTCCTATTTATTCTTTGAGGACACCTTTTGTACAACTTTTTAACACATCAGATAGCATTCTCTCTCAATGCCATCTGTACCTAAGATGCATATGATACAATTCTAATGGCAATATATTTTAGCCAAAAAAAAAAGAAGGATGTTGAAAATTGCCTCCAAAGGTTTCATGTCTTCTGTAGTCAGAGATATTATCTTTATGTAATCATGCTGTTTCATTTTGCCTAAAAGACAACCTTACTGTCCAAGTACTGTAACTTGATTCCATTAGACAATCTCTGTTCTACCTCTACGACTTCTCTTGTATTATAACTTTATAGAAACACCTCAAATCCTTTGTGAGGTGAATAGGATTTTTTCTTTCCCCTTACCTCCAACTTCCTTCTCATTTTCTCTCCTTCCTTTGTTCGCCTATTCTCATGACCAAATTATAATTATCTGTAATTCCCTCTTGCAGCTTTTCCATGAAATGGGAGCTCCAGTAGACAGGGCTGTCTGGGCCACAGGCAGCCAGAGAGACCACAGATAAAGGACAGAGCTGGGGTCCAGAAGGAACTAGAAACACGGGGTAGACTCTCTCCAACACAGACCCCAAATTGAAGACTCAGTGGTGGTACTATTGGACACCAGGGCAACCGACAGTGGGTGGGGCCACTCTTTTCCTCTTACCATTTCCTGAGCTGTCACCGCAATGGCTTTGGAGTATTTAACCACAGTCGTCTGATAGTCGACAAATGTTCCCTTTGGTTCTGGAGGAGTGCCTTCATCCAGCTACAGAAGAGAGAAAATGAACCCACAAGTCAGGAGAGGACAGTTGAAGTGTGGGCTATATTTATTAGAATCGGGAACTTTGAAAAATGGAGATGCCCACAGAATTTCTTTGGTTGAGAGTCAAAAGTATAACCCAGTTTTGGTGATAAGGACTTTAACAGTCTGCAAAGATGGGACTTGGGGTACATAGGCAAGGAGACCCCAAGCCTTGTCTGAGAGGAGAGGGAGGGCATTCCAGAGGAATGACATTTCTGTCAAGTCTTACCAGAGGAGTCTGCTACATACAAAAGGTAGGGAAGGGGTTACAAGAAGTGGAATAGAGTCTAAGCATAAGGTGGTGGGCCAGGGATCCCTGGGTGGCTCAGTGGTTTAGCACCTGCTTTTGGCCCAGGGCATGATCCTGGAGTCCCGGGATCAAGTCCCACATCAGGCTCCCTTCATGGAGCCTGCTTCTCTCTCTGCCTGTGTCTCTGCCTCTCTCTCTCTCTCTCTCTCTCTCTCTCTCTCTCTCTCGGTGTCTCTCATGAATAAATAAATAAAATCTTAAAAAAAAAAAAAGGTGGTGGGCCTGAGCCGGACACTTCTAGAGAAGCACAGAATGGCAGAAGATGAGCCAGGAGAGGAGGCCGAACCTATATCATGAAGGGCTTCTCTAGGAATGGTGTAGTCCATAGAGGCCTATACCCTAGAGCCCTCGCTTCTGATCTAAATTGGGGAAGACAAGAGACTGGAAGAAGTAGGAATAATCTGTTGCTCATCTGACTGTGAGAGCAATAAGAATTTAGAGAGGTGGGAGAGGTCACTGTGCAGGGGGCAGCGGGGGTAGAGTTGGGGAGAGTTGGAGCTAGTGGGACAGTGGCTCTGTCCCTTGAAGAGCTAAGGACATATTGGTTCAGAAGACCTGTATTTGACACCTGGTTCCAGGGCTTGTGAAAAGCCCTCAAGCTGATTGCTTAAATTCTGAGTTTCAGGTCCTTTACTGGAAACTTGATAGCATCAGAAGGTTCTAGTATATACATCAACTGAGACCATACCTGGCCAAGAGCTCCACAAAAGAGGAGATGATGACCAGGATGATAAAGATGATGATAAGGTCAATGATGACTATGATGAAGAAAAATGCAACCCATCTTCACCACCATCATCATCGTTACCATCACTGTTGATTGCTGAGAGGTATTCCAGTTGAGGAGACAAAATAAGGAGAAGTGAATACAGGAAGGGTGAGTATAGTGAACAGAAGAGGGGGCTGTTGAGAGCAGTGGGAATGAAGCTGAGCTGTCCTATGAAGAAACTTGAAATCACGAGGAAAATGGTGGGATGCAGAGTATACAATGACATATGTGAGAAGATTGTCCTGGGAGATCTCTGAGAGATAGTTTGCAGTTGGGGCAGAGACTAGAGGCCACAGGGGCAATTAGGAAATATTAGATGCAGTCTTCAATCAGAGCTCCGTGTTGCAAGCAGATGCTAACTACAATATGAGTTGAGGGAACGTATCACTGTAGCCTGTGTGTGATGTAGTTGCTTAGTTTGGGACTATAATTTCCGTCAAAGTATCAACATAGACTCCAGGCTAGATTTTTCTAGGTTTCTTTATTAGGGATATAGCTGCTGCCAAATATCTCCATCATACTATGGGGGCTCTGATAGTCAAATGAGGACTGAGCTATGAGCTCATTCAGTGTAAACTGACTGAATCTTCTTATTTATTTATTTATTTATTTATTTATTTATTTATTTATTTATTCAGAGAGAGAGAGAGAGAGAGAGGGAGGCAGAGACACAGGCAGAGGGAGAAGCAGGCTCCACACAGGGAGCTCGACGTGGGACTTGATCCCGGGTCTCCAGGATCACACCCTGGACTGAAGGCAGCGCTAAATCGCTGAGCCAATCGGGCTACCCTGACTGGGCATCTTCTAAGTGTCCAATAATGTGAAGGGAGATTTCATATGAGCTGTGGCCTAACTGCAAACACACCAGGATGCCAGAACTGGAGGGCAGCATAGGACACCACCTGCCAGTCTGAAGACAATGAGAAAGATTAAGAACAAAGGGGTCAATTTTTGTGGATTTCAAATTTAGTTAGTTCAAAGAACTTGCCTTTATTCTGGGATTATAGCCTTCCTACTTTTTTTTTTTTGAGGGGGGATGTTAACATGACCTTTCTTATATGAAATAGTAGTGATGCACACAGCAGGATTTTTTGTTTCTTTAACCTCCTTCTCTGGTCAAAAAAGAAGAAAAAACTACCATCACCACCAACACCAAACAACCCAAAGAAGCAAACAAAGAAAAGGTAGTGGGTCACAAAATCCCCAAGACTGAGAACCACTAACATCACTGAATAGGGAAACCAAGCTTCAGAAAGCTTTGTCCAAGGTCACCCGGAAACCTGATTACTTCATATTAACCTATCACTTCCCAAACTTCCTGGTGCCTAAACACAGAGAGAATTCCAGGAAGAACCCCCCAGCTGGAGCACCAAAAGTGGCATATATTATGTCCAACTTAGAGTCAACTTTGGGTACACTCATTTTTTCTGCCAGTCACTCTATGCCTTTGAGAATTTCTGACAATGATGCTAACAGTCTATCAATGTTGAAACAAATTAACCCAAACTCAGGAAATGCCCAATTTCTAACATGTCACTGCTTAGGGGCTCAAAGGCCCTGGAATATCACTTAATACAGAATATGCAGCAATGGGCAGGTTGGGGTAGGCTCAACGAAGGGAGAATGGGGAAGAGGGACTGAGTAGAAACTTAAGTGTAGGTCTGGGTAGACAGGAGTTTAGGGGTACCAATAAAACCCTGGCATTCTGTATGCTCTGCAGAATGCAGGATCTTTCCTTTGTTCCTGGCCTCTGTGGCTCCTGTCATTGGCAGTTCCTAATTATTGCTCTCAGGTAATGCCAGACTTCTCTCCCAGCCTTTCCAAAAGAATCACGTGTGTCCTGGGCTGAGTCAGAGCGCAGCTGTCACACCACTGACATCAGACAGTACAAGAGCTGCTTTCTTTACTGAAAATCCCTCTTGATATGCAAGGTTCAGCGACTATCAAAAAAAAGACTTCAAGAATCTGACTTCCATATTCCAGAGATTTATGGAACTCTTCCCTATCATTAGTCATTTGGAAAAATACCTTCTCCTAGGAAGAAAAGTTGTCATTTGAATTTCTAATTTGCGTTGAGAAAACTTGAGCTCCATTAATTTAATATCCTTGGTAGACATATGGCTTAACTTTCAAAGCGCTGGTATTCTGAAAACCAAACAAACCTACTGAAACTTACCCAAAGGCCTTTAGAAAGTGGGAAATTTCACTCTTTTTCTGCCAAACTGTCCATATTTGAGGCACAAGAAGCCCACAGCAGGAATTACTAGAGTGATTTGACAAGGCATGCCTGGGGTCTCTAAAGGAACCCCTGGCATCCCCGCCCAGCTTGTGACTCTCAGTCTGAAAATGACTGCGTAATGTTTAAGGGAAATTATCCTAATTATAGTTTCAGGCTATCACCTCTTTATGGAGATATGAACCAACCAATCTACTCTAAATTAGCAATTAAAGACCACTTATTATCCTGAAAGCCATAATAATGCATTCACAATCTGACAATGGACATTTCAAAACACAAAAATCTGAAATTCTTGGCTGTGCTATCACAGAATGGAAATTAGATGTTGATGAACAATTGTTAATTCTAATGACTATCAAACTGACATGACTAGCAAAGGATTCCTTGGGGGAAAGAGCAGGAGATATTCTCTAGTCACACTTCTCTACTCCTCCAACTCAACTGAGCAGTCATTAGAGGAGAAATGATTCTCATGCTATCTCCTATGCCCATTGCTGGCAAGAGTTCACAATGGGCTTTCACATGTACTACCTTCAGTGCTTTCTACATCTGGCTCCCAAAACCATGTGGAAATTTAAAAGATCTAGAGATTCCTAGGCTCAACTCCACAGAAATGTCAATTTATTGGCCTGGGGTAGGGCCTAGGAACAGCAAGATTCCAAAGTAGCCATTCCAAAGACCAGTCCTTGGGAATCCCTTCATTATTTCCTCTTTGTAATCTGTTTTTGTGAAAAAAAAGAGGGGAGGTAAATACCTATCTTCATTTTATAAGGGAAGGAACCCATGATACCTTCTCCATCTCCAGTATTTTCCCCCCATGTAAAACGAAGGCAGGGTGAGAGTGGTTTACAAAAGTAATGAATGAATAATCAAGAATGAATAACATGTTGGACGGAGGACAGGATGTGTGTAAAATGATTGGAACCTCAGGAAAAGAGGAGGGTCACTAGCATCTGCTTTGACTGATCATTCCTGAGAGAAAAGCACCTGGGGAGCACGTGTGAGGGAAACCGAGGAGGAATTGGGGCCAAGAGGTGAAGGCAAGCATCTGGGCACCCAGGCCTACCTTGCTCATGGCCTCTGCAATGGCATCGACCATGCCTCCCACCAGCCCCACTTCACTGGCGGCTTCATTCAGTGTCACCATGATGTCATCTACAGCCTCCTTCATGAGCTGGGCAGCCTCTGTGATGGCATCATGGGTGTGCTGAGCCTAAGAAGGTAAAGGAGAAAAAGGACAGTGAGAGGTTTCCATAAGCTGAAGAAAATGGTGCTCACTCTCCTCAGAGATAACTGCATTTCTTTTAAGTATAACCATAAAAAGTATCATATAAAACTATATCCCCATTATGGAGCACAATAATGATTCTAGAATTTTCCTTTTCTGTTGGTACATTTGTTTGCAAAATCACTACAAAACAGAAAGGGAGAAAAAGGGCATCTTTTTATAGTCAAAAGGAAAAATAAAATTGTAGTATCAAACAGCATCTTCTGCAGGGCCAGTTTTATGTCAGTCTGCTCAGGATGGTAGGAAGAGAATGCCACTGATTCCCAATAACACGAGCTTACAGGTTTAATTTAAAAAAATCCTAATATAAAGGAAAAACATATTCACAACAAATGTACTTCTTGTCAAAGCTGCCTAACAGATTTCTTCCCACAAATTAGGTTGGATTATGTAAATGCAGCGACATAGAGAAGAAATCTGCAGAAAAATGAACGGGCTTTGGAATTATATCACAGGTTACACTGCCATGAGGTTGGAGGGACAAGTGAGCAAAGTTCTCCAGGGTCAGATGTTCTGCAGGCAGTCTCACGAGTGCTCGCAAGCTATCCCTGACTATAACTTGGACAAGTTCCAACACCTGCTGGAATTCCACATGTGTGTCAAGCACAGGAGAAGTGCTGGGTAAATGAATGAATGAAAAGATGAAACAGTGAAGGTGCCAGGATCCCTGAAAAACATCTCCAGTGGTAGCAAGATACAGGAGAAGGAGCCAAAGTCCTGGCACCAGAAAAGTTGGGTTCTAGCTCTGGATCCACCTCTTACTAGCTAAGTGGTCCTGAGTGTGGTTTCCTCAGCACAATGGGAATTATCATAACTGTGCTTGTAGCAGAATTCTGAGATGCTATGGATGAATGTATGGTATATTTATAATCTGAGCAGTCTAGGAGTAGGTGCTTGAGCCTAGGGAAGCTGGACCTAATGCCAGTTAGTTAGCATCAGGATCACACTGCTCCAGGCTCTGGGGACCCCCACGCAATGGCCATGGCTGTCCTGAAGAGGCCATGTGAGCCACAAGAACGGGCCCTGTGTGGAACTGAAATCCATGGCAAACCAGAGGTCTTTCAAAATGACATCTGATGAGACATGAAATATGCAGATCGTGGATGGTGACCTCGAGGCAACTGTGTCAGGATGCAAATGCTAATTATTGACCATTACAACTAAAATTAATTGAGAAGTTAACAGTGACACATAGCCTTGAGGAAGAAAGATCCCTTGACTCTTTTCTTACCTATGATGGGAAGTCCCTCATTGGACCTCTTTCCTCCACCCCCTTCCCCGGCACAGTCCAGGCTTCCATCCAGTGGCTTCCTCATGGCTCTGACCTCTCACCCTCGGCCTGCAGTAGCTGGGTCTATTCTATTCGCCTTCTCTGTTTGCCCCATGCAAATCCTAGCCCTCTTTCAAGGCCTGGCCTAAACACCACCTCCTCGGATGACTGTGTCCTCATGCTGTCACTGGCCTTCCTTTGTATTCCTACAGCCCTGAGAACCAACTCTAGAGTCAAAGAGTCATCAGAGGTGAAGGCCTCAGAAGGATGCGGGGAAAGTGAGGTTCAGTTCTGGAACACGATATAGCTTCTGCTTGGCTCTCTCTCAGGACAGCTGCATGTGAAGTCCTTGGCCTCTGTGTAAGGAGGCTGGCTGTCTCGAGGCTGTGTGCTGGGCAGACCACACAGTAAGACCACAGAGAGGTACAAAGGGCTGCTCATGGAGCCCCAGGTCCTGAACACCTCAGTGATTTTAAGTCAGACACGGACCTGGGAGTGAGTGAACGTCAGGTCACTCAAGCCCCAGCTATCACCTGGCAGCAATGGCAGGAGGGACTCTGAGGGAGAACCACCTCGCTGGGCTCAGTGGGTCTGTAGATCCACCAGAGATCATTCTAAGATGGTGTTGTTTTACGTCACTAAGTTTTAGGATGGCTTGTTTGCAGCAACAGCTAACTGTGATAGCCCCTAAGAAGGGCTCCTAAGCCAGCCTTGGGGTCAGAGAAGACTCCTCAGAGGAGGTGTCCTGGCTGAAGAGGAGACCTGGAGGAAGAATCCAGCATCTGGTAGAGTTGGCAGGGTGAAGAGAGGAGGAAAGGGAGAGGGTGCTGGGCAGAGGACACAGCCTGTACAAAGGTCCAGAGGCAGAAAGGATGCGGACTGTGACGATTAGCTGAGAAACGTACTGTGTGCAAAGTGTTGGGCATGGTGCCTGGCACACAGCTCCTGCCCCCTTGCATTATCTCTCAATGAAGCCAGCCTCCTCTCCAACAAGACTGCATGCTCCTTGCCACCAGTGGGCTTTCCTTCCCTCCAGAAGCAGTGTTCACAGGAAATGAAGGGTTTGATCAAGTCACCAGGTGGGGCTCATGTAAAGGGTGAAACATTCCCTTTTCACAGGTATTCACAGGTAATTTTTCTTTCTTCTTCTTCTTCTTCTTCTTTTTTTTTTTTTTTTTTTTACAAGGATGGATAACCTTCACGGGCTGTTGGTGCAAAATTCTCCTCTGGAGAGGTTGTGTAGAAATAAATGGAACCATCTGTTTTGATGCTGCCAAACAGGCATGGATCACAAGAGCTGAGGGCAGAGACAGGGCTTGTGGGGAAGTCAGAACAGGGCCTGGGCCTCCCTCCCTGCCTTCAAGCCCTCAGCTGGCCTCACTCAGGCTGTAGTGACCTGCTCCAGCTCTTCGGACTAGACCAAGAATCCTTGACCATATCCAGGTGAATGCAGGCAATAGAGGCCCAGGGCTAGTGTGTACTTTATACATTGCAAGAGTCAGCTGTGGGCCCAATGTGACTGTCAATCCAGTTGCAAAATCTATGTTCTTATGTCTTGGGTCAAGTATTTTAGCATTTGACTGACAATGCTTCCTCCTGAGTGACAGGCAGGGAACCAGGAACAACAATAAATATCAGAGCCAGGAATAGCAGGAAGGACAGACAGCTGCTACTCTTCCCAAGGGCCTCCTCTGCGTCAGGTACTGTGTTCATCACTGTTGTGCACATCCTCTTCATCCTCACAGCCCACCAGAAGGCGAGAGTCGGCTAACAGCTCTGCCAGGGACCCCTCTGATGATCACAGTCTGAAAATGGGAGCTTAAGCACTAAAGCTTTTGGATCTGGTGGACAACCAATGCCACTGACTGGCTGGCCATCTGCTGAACTGATGCCACTGGTCAAAGGGAAACTGAGCAGATGGTCCGATCAGGCCAAATTTATCAGCACTACTGAAGAAGCAAACCTCAACATAGGGAATATGGCATCTACCAAGGGAAGTTTCAGCCTTTCCCCCCAAAATGGGGGTACTTCTAAACAGAGTGATGGCACCTGCATGCCATGTGGCAAAAGCAAAAGGGGCCGCAGGACTAGCTACCACTCCCAAAGTTGGCTGCGCCCCCCTCATTCAGTGCCTTCCTCTGCCTCTCAGCCATCAACCCAGCCTCTATCTCTTTTCTTGGCTCCATCTGCCATTGTGCGCTCCATTCTCACCCGTGAACTTGTTGCCAGCCATGGTCCCAAATCTGCTCAGGACCTAGCCTGTATATGACTTCCAGCACCTGGTAGCTTGCTGCCACATGAGCCCAACCCTGGAAGCTCACCCAGGTTGGAATAGTGAAATATTTGGATGATCTTTGTTGTAGGTTCCTAGGAGGGAGCCTTTAAATGCTTAGCATTTCCCAAGTGATCAAGGACTGCCTCTGCTATTATTCACGGTGGGTGCCCTGAACCACACATTAGTTTAGGCTAAGAAAGTGACTCCTGGTGGCTTATGGGCAGTTTCAGGACGGGAGCTGGCCATGCTGGACAGACCAACCATGTGATTAGAGGGTTGTGGCTTTGAGCAATAGTATCAGCCTGACCTCTGGGGACCTCAGGGGACCTCACGGGGCTGTAAACTGAATCACTGATCATGAGACTAAATCCAATCAATCATGCCTACATAATGAAATCCAAATAAAATTCTGGGCGGCAAAGTTGCAGTGAGCTTCCTCAGTTGGTGATGCATAGCATTAAGCGGAGACGGTGACACATCCTTGGGACATGTTTAGGACTCTCATAGACCTTGCCTTCTGCATGTCTCTTCTTTTGGCTGGTTTGTAGCCTTTACAATAACATGGTGAAAGGAGTGCAATTTCTCAAGTTCTGGGAGTCATTCTAGCACATCATTGAACCTGAGGGGGTAGAGAGAACCTCTTGAATTTGGAGTCACCTGGTCAGAGCGAGGATGGCCTGGGAACTCTGGAGCTTATGATTGGTGCCTGAAGTGAGGGCAATACCTTTAACCTGGGAAATCTAACCTAACGCCAGAATTGCACTGCCCCAGGTACTGCTCCCCTCCCACCCCCCTCGCAGTGGCCACAGCTGTCCTGACACTCCTCCGGGGAGATGACCCTTCCAAAGTCCTGCGAAATTACACCTTCACTTTGGTAGATAGAAGGTAAGGAGGCCACTGAGGGAAGGTAAATGGCAACTCTTTTCACTGACTAGCTGAAAAAAAAGAATTCTAAGGGGGAGGCTGTGTGAGCCACATGAACTGACTCAGTCTGTGGCACTGAAGAGCCATGGGAATCAAGAAAAGGCCTTCCATACAACCTCTGATGAGATGTGCATTGGTCAGATCTTGGGTGGTTGTCTTGAGTGTGTCAGGAAGGCACAGCTCACGCTCTCAGGGATGTGATGGAGGAAACTGGTAATTTAGGTTGATTGCTGATTTCATGGTACAGAGAAGGTAAAACATAAAATGTGCAGATTGCTTTATTTTGATGATGGAAGTCTGAAAGGTGACATTTCCTGCACATTACCCTCTAGAGAGAGCACCTCATACAAATATTGATGAGAAAGGTAAAATTGGAAGGTGTGTATTTCTCTAAATTCCACTTCAATAAGATGATCACTGGTGGCACAAAAATGTCAGCAATTCTATACATCCATATTAAAGCCAAGTGCACATTTCCGGAGAGAAGTGAGTGCTGCTTGCCAAGTGTCTGCTATCCTATATGGGCTGAGCTGCTATTCTATATGGGCTGAGGAAGGTACAAGAGGCAAGTTCTGGGGGTGGCAGCATTAAACCACAACACTGCTCTCTTGACTCCCTGGAAAATGTAAAGGACACTTTCTCCACATCGGGGCAATCCAAACCTACAAAAAACACATCCTTGCTCTTGGCTGTCCCAGAAACAATGACCTGCCCATCTGCTTGTGTAACCTGCTCTCCCTTCCCTCTGCATATTTAAGTCACAGATCCTTAAAGGGTCAGCTGAGAGTCTGTGAAGCCTCCTCCCATAACCCCAAGCCTCTCCCAGGGCCACTTCCTCCAACTCCAATGGCAAACCTCACCTCTACCCCACAGCCGCATCCAAATCACACATGCCGGCCACCTGAGCACACTAGTTTCAGACACCCAAAGACACAGTAGGCGCTCAATTAAGTCCTGCTTAAAAGCCCAACAGCCATCTGGGAAGTAGACTCAGAAGGCTCAACAATGAGGTCATTATTTTAGATTCTGGAGGGGCTCCTTGTTACTGCTCCTCACAGCACAACCCAGGAGAAAAATCAAACTCGGTTCTTTTTTGGAAACATGTCTGAAGTCTACCTCCAAGGGAGCCTTATTTCTGGATTATAGTGCTTCAACTACAAAGCCCAGTAGAGCAGACACAGACATCACAGCAATTTGGAAAATGGGAGAAGGCTACAGGGGGCTGGGGGACACACGTCAATGTGAGCAGAAGGGAAACAAAGGCAACCAATAATTAGAACTGCCCAACAGCGCACAGGGCTGTATATCTGCTGCAGGAGAAGAAGGAGGGGTCCTTTAAGGAGGATGTAAGAAGGAACTGAGTGGGATAGGGCTGAGTGTGGAAGGGAGGTCTCGGGGGGTATAGAATGAGCATAGAAGGGGGCTCAGTGGGGTGAGGGTTAGGCTACGCAGCAAATGCCTTGTAATCATTGGACTCATTAACACCAGACTCTGGGGCTGTCACTTTTTTCTTTTTTTAAAAAATACCTACTGTGTCAGGCACATTATCTCAGTCAATCTCTATAACGACCCCTGAGAGGTATTCATTATTAACCCCACTGTTTAGATGAGGAAGCAACGAAATGAAGTAATTTGCTAGCAAGAGACAGAACTGGGATTTGAGTCCAATTACATGGATTCCAAAGCTTATCCTCTTTTCTACCACATCAGAGCCAGCGATGATCATTTAACTGCATTTTCTTTGCAAACAGTGACACACAGCATCTAACACATACATACACCTAAGACCTAGCAAGTAACCCCTAGGAAATGTTTGCCCAAAGAATAGTACCCATGGTGATGGAGTCTATGCAATAAGCCTCTTAGGAAAGGACCTAAAAACCTGCTTGTAGTGTCCCAGGCATCCCTTGTGAGGAGCCTGTCAGGGTCTGCGGACAGAGTGCAGGTGGAATGCAGGATGCCAGGGAGGGGAGACACACACATACCCGTCCTGCCTTCCCTCATCATGTCTCAGCCTGTCCCCAATGCGTCAGGTCAGTCATGGACAACTGGCCCACTCTCGTGTTCTGTCCCCACTTCCAAGCAGAGGATGTCCTCTAAAGCTTATAGTGCGGGCTGCACATGTTCCCAAACCACGAGTTTCGTGGTATAAAATAGAGCTCCACAAGGAGCTCTGACCTTGTGGTCTAAGCAGATGTGCTAATAGCTAAACAAAACAAAACAAGACAAACAAAAAACCCAGGGAACTCCTAATCTGGATTATTCTGCAGGGAATGAAATTCTCTTGGGTCAGGGTAGAGGAGCTATCTGGCACTGATTCTCAGAAAAAAAGAGACCCTTGAACTGGATCCAGAAGGCAAGTCCTGGCTCCCCAAGTGTGGGGCAGGTGCAAAGTGGGCTGGGCCTACTTGGGCACCTATCTCTCAGCTGTCAGCCAAAAGGCCACTCTCGTTCTTGCTGATCAACCTCCCCATTTCAGCAACAAGGCTTCTTTCTTTCCGGGACACTGAGAACAACCTGAGGGCACTGGCTGGCTCTCAATATTTTTAGCATTCCAAGAGTTAGGCTCTTAAGAGCTGCCAGATACTTGGCTGGAAAAACTGAACACAGAAAATCCAAGTCTAAGACATCATTCATGCCGCTACCAGAATGGTTGTTTCTCAGCCCTGGATGGGTTGCCGCACTGCTGACAGTAAAGCCCAAGCTCCTTAAGAGTGTGGGAGAGGAGATCTGTCACAACACAGCCCTATCTATCCCCCCACCTGCTGTCCCCACTCTGCATGCTCCACACACATTGGATGGTGCGCTGTTCTCTAAAGATACTGCAATCCTCTTACAACCCCATGTATACCTCTGTATATGTTATTCCTCCTTGCTGGCATGCCTCAATCTACCCTTAATGTGCCAAGTAACTTCCTTTTCTGAGACTGACTAGTCACAGGTCACCTCTTCCCTGTAACTTTGCTTGACCTCCCTCCAGCCCTTGCTTCGGGCACTGGGCCAGTGTTTCCATAGGGTGCAGGTTCAGTCCTGACTCCACATCCACTTGTCCTGCGATGTGCAACAACTTACCTAAGCAGTCGCATTTCTCACATCTGTGCACTGGGAACCTCCTTATACCATGGGAGTTTTAGGAGATTAAATATCAAGAGGATATAAGGTATGAGAGGTGGTGCAGAACCAGGACTCAGTAACTTTGAGCTCTCAAATTACTATCTTGTGATTCTGGTTCTTAATCTAGAGTCTTCTCTGCTGTACCATGTTATTGATGTGTAGACCTGAGAGCTGCAACAAAGCATGCTAAAAAGAATACGTACATAATAGGGATTCCTATTGCTTATAGGCAAGTATCCTGCACAGATTGTTCCAGTCCGTGTTCCCGCAATGTAGTCTGCTTAGGTGAGGACCCAGGGAGTTTAGATGGACTATGTGGAGGCACTTGCTAGAAGGTATAAATAGCAGGAGGAGCCTCAAACCTCCTCTCAAGGTATCAGAACCCTGGGGGAACTTAAAGCACAGAGGGCTTCAATAAGGGAAACCATCACTCTGACACAAGTATCATCCCCAAGAGAAAATGGCATGCTGTCACCATCTTCGGCCACTTCAAGTAGCTGGGTGACACATCAGGCTGAGGAAATGTTCTACCTGCAAACTAGGAAGGGAGATTTTCATATTAAACTACTGATCCAAGACAAGAGAAACACATGCCATGGGTGGCCTTACACCATGTTTTGCTTTGAACTTGGGTACCAGGAAAGGAAATGATATTCACTGGAAAACAACTGAGCTTTGCTCTGCACAGGCTGGGTGTCAATGCTGAGCAAGGTGCCTGGCAGGTATGAATTTTCATTCCTGCAATAACTACACAATGTTTTTCTTTCCCAAGGACGCTTGCCTCCAGATTCTGTCATGGAAAAGATTACAAAAAGACTTCATTATGTCTATGTCTTGACTTTCTTCTTAGAGATCCCCAGGAAGGCCAAATATTATTTCCCACCTTTTGAGTGGGAAGTTACATAAGGTCAACAAGAACTAGAGGATTTTCCTTGGAGGAAACTCAATATTTGATGACCCCTCGGTGGCCCTCGGTGAGTCCCTGGGATTCTCAACTGTACCTTGGGGTTTCCACCACCTTCTTTGGCTGCGTACAACATCTGCAGGGCAGATTCTGCCAACGTCTTGGTCTGGTCCAGCACTGTCATCTGCTGCTGATGATCCAGGATCTTGGAGGCGACTCCAACGGCTGCTAAGATCAGGGGCTCAAAGTAGCTCGCCAGCTGTGTCACCTTTCAAGACAAAAAAGCCACAGATGTATCATGTAAATACATGTATCTCCTTTAGGAGCCACACCGGTGGGGAGGGGACTGAGAAAGGAATGGAATGACACACAACGGAGAGGCAGACCTGCTAAAGTTTACTCTGCTTTACTCACTGGCTAAAATTTACTTTTGTTTTTTTCAATTATTTAATCCACAATCATGAGTTATTGCCATCATGTTATACATGAGACCCTCAGACCTTATTCATCACTCAATCTTACTTTATTTATTTAATTTATTTTTAAAGATTTTATTTATTTATTCATCAGAGACACAGGCAGAGGGAGAAACAGGCTCCCTGCAGGGAGCCTGACGTGGAACTCGATCCCGGGTCTCCAGGATCACACCTTGGGCCGAAGGTGGCACTAAACCGCTGAGCCACCCTGGCTGCCCTCAATCTTACTTTTAGAAGTACTTGCTCATTAATGAACTCTTGCTCGGATTTTACTTCCTCTGGGGAGATCTTTGTCTCACCTCTCATCATGGCAGAAGTGTTACAAAATTTGTTCTGTGATCCAGAGTTGGGTGTGAGAGCTCTACAAATTTTAACTTCATAAAAACAGTAAAGCTTTTGAAAGAAACAAAGATAAGCATCTTATGAATGTAGAAGGAAGGGGGATGGGGATGGGCAGGGGAACAGGGCAGTACAGAGAAGAAGCCTGAGAATAGAGGCTTTCAAGAAAGCCAATCCAACTGCCTTCTGCCCTGAGCATGTTGACCTGACACGGATTTGCAATAAAAACAAAAATGATTTCACATCAGTCTAGATGTTCCATTCATGACTGGTCCAGCCCAGGAGAAGAAACAAGTCTATCCAGATGGCTCACCACAGTTTCTCACTTAGGCCTCCCCAGCAGGTGACAACATGGTTACCTCTGTGCTCACCAGAGCCCACCAGCTGGGGCCACATGTCACACACATATACTGGGTACATCTCACACACCAGGCTTTCTGCTAGAAGCTTACCATGCTTCATCTAATCCCCACAATTCTAAGAGGTACATACAAATGAAGAGCCTGAGGCTTAGGTGGGTGAAAGAACTTTTTCAACCCCAAGCAGCCAAGATGTGGAGCGGTGACAAGAAGCAGGTGTCCTCATCCACAGCCCAGGCTCCTGCCTTCTCTTCCACTGGCCACTACTTCTCATTTTCAGTCCAGCTCCACTATGGTTATAATATTGGGTTTTACAAACGTTTATTATTTGGTTGTTTGTCTGTTGTTCTGTAAAGTATTCAAAATAAAGTCCAAGAATAATACAATAATACCCATTTACCTAGCATCTAGAATGTCAGATTTTAACGTTTTGCTATACTTGCTTCAGATACCACCATCCAATCCCACTAAGACACAATGACCCTGATCACACTTTTCTATTCTACTCCTATGTGTGCCAATTACTAATTGCTTAATTATTTCCATCAAGTGTATTTAAGTTCAAGCCTTTGGCCAGCAATTCCCCTTAATGCTTCTCATCGTGTGGAGGAAGAATGAATGTGATGGGGCCATAGGTAGGAAGGCCACTTCACATGAGCTGTGCAGTCAGTGGGTCAGAAATGAAGCAGGGGGCAGGAATCTGTGGGGCTGGTGGTGGTTGGGACAAGGTGGGAGTCCAAAATATTAAAGTTCATTAGAGCTAACAATGAGACAGACCATCAGCCAGCAAAAAACGTACGTTTACTCTTTTATCCTCGAATACAGTTTTCTTACAGATGGTTTCAAAGCACTTGAGCAGAGCTATTGGTGGCCTTTACGGTGCTTTGTATGAAATTTATTTTAGTTTTTAAAGATTTTATTTTTTTATTTATTCATGAGAGAGAGAGAGAGAGAGAGAGAGAGAGAGAGAGGCAGAGAGAGAAGCAGGCTCCATGCCAGGAGCCCGACGTAGGACTCGATCCCAGGTCTCCAGGATCATGTCCTGGGTCGAAAGCAGGCGCTAAACCACTGAGCCACCCAGGCTGCCCACTTTGTATGAATTTTAAAGGGGCTCCCTATCCCTGGGGCAGACATGATTGATGTCAAAGCACATGACTTGGCTGGATTTTGGCCTCAGTCTCTGCTTTGGCCAAACACCTTTGTGTAAGACCCAGCCTGCACAACTCCAGGTATCAGCCCTTACACATCTGCCTTGGATCTCACCCTGTTTCCCTGGAAGGGTATTAGTGTCGCCACCAAAGGGAACCACAGTGCACTGACGGGTTATAAGGGCTCAGGGCTCAGGATGGGTACTGACGGGTTATAAGGGCTCAGGGCTCAGGATGGGTACTGTATGTATTAAAGGAGTTAAGACATTTAATGTACTAGAACCTTACATATTTTCTAGATTTGTTTTTTCTCCCAAAGGTTTAATTAATTAATTTAGAGAGAGAGAGTGTGCACAAGTGGGGGAGAAGTGAGAGGGAGAGAGAGAATCTTAAACAGATTCTGCACTGAGCATGGCACCTGACGTGGGGCTCAATCTCATGACCCTGAGATCATGACCCGAGCTGAAATCTAGGGTCAGATGCTTAACCGAATGAGCCACTCAGGAGCCCCTCTGGATTCATTTTTTAATTTTAAAAGTACATTTCACCAATGCAACCATAAAATGTCAAGGGCTGCTGTGCGCTGAGAATAATCAAACACAGCTAAGCTGGTGCCCTCATGGAGACATTATGGCTGGGTGATGGAGAGGGAAAGCTCTAGTTTCAGAGCCACTGGATTTGAATCCCATCTGCCAATTCCTTAATGAGAAGTCTTAGGCAATCTGCTTCCTATTACCAAACTTCAGTTTTCTTCTCCACAAAATGGGGATTAATAATAGCACTAAGATCCATAAGATTGTCAGAAGGATTAAATTAGCATACATAAGAGTAGTTGGCACAATGCCTGCCATGAAGTAGGCACTCAATAAATGCCAGGTGTTACTATTCTTCATGTATTATGGGCAAAAGTTTTTGAGAGGATGTGCTTTTTCCTCTATTTAGGGGGCTTAGCAAAGACTATAACAACTTCTATTTCCTAGACATAAAAGAATAGGAAATATCCTTACCTGGGTTAGCACAGAAGTTTAACAAAGAATTTTGAGTAAGTGGTACCTGATCTTGTTTCCCTAGGCCTAGGGTGGCAGAAAGGGTTGAGTGGTAGCCCCCCTAAAAAGATTTGTCTGCGTCCAAATCCCTGGAACCTGTGAATATGATCCTATTGGGAAAAAAAGATCTTTGCAATGTAGTTAAGGCTCTCAAAATGAGATCATCTTGGATTACTTGGGTGGGCCCTAAATCTGTTAAGAAGTATCCTAGTAAGAGACAGAGGAAGGGAAGACAAACAGAAAAGCAGGAGACAATGTGACCACAGAGGCAGAGACTGGCATGATAATAGTGAAAGAACAGTAAGGGCCACCAGAAGCTAGAAGAGCAAAGAATGGATTCTCCCATAGAGCCTACAGAAAGAGTCGGGCTCTGCCAACACCCTGTTTTTAGACTTCTGAGAGAGATTCCATTTCTGTTGGTGCAAGGCACCCAGTTTATAGTAAAACTTGTTATAGCCACTCTAAATAACTAATACATGTGGTCTGAGAATTTGCATTTATCAGTTCCAGGTGATCTCTGGGCCCCCACCTGAGTGTTGTAATAAGAAATGGACCAGGTAGGTATCAACTCTCAGTCCAGGGTTCTTCTGGATGGAGGGGCAGAGGCTTCCTTTGTCCAGAACTCTCTTTTAGAAAGTGAGACTGGTTTAGCCAAAGGGCCAAGAGTAAATTTGTAACTCACGTGACACAAATATCTTATTTTTCTTTTGATGCCACCCATTGACATAGGAATTAATCTTCCATACTAACTCCATATGGACAGGGACAAGGATTGTTGCTCTAGAAATCTAGATATATTTTCTTACAAAATGCTTACTGGAAACAAAAGTAACTGCTGAAATGAAGTCTGGCTACTCTGGCAGACTCAGTTCCCCACAGCAGGCACATGGGCAATGCTCCAGCCCACCTGCTGGGAGAGCTCTGACCTTCAGGCCAGCCCCCACATTCTCTAAACCTCTTCGAACAGGTGGACAAGCCCTCCTCTCTCATTATAAAGGAACTCAGCTGAGAAATGAAATTTGCCACACTTGAAAGCATACAGATACACTGGTCATTTTACATCTCAAAAACCTCTCCTTTGAACCAGCAGGAAGCTTAGTAGGCCCTTCAGCTGTTCCACAATGTGAAAAAGCAAGAACATTGATTTTCTAAAATCAATACCTGCTGAAAAGATTTTGGCCACTCGGTTTTCTTGATATGCACATCAATACTGATGTCTGCACTGATAAATGTTAGGAAACTCTGAAGGCGGTTAAAAATCCAATTTTTTGCCCTCCCTCTACTGAGGCACAGGCTGCTAGACAAGTCAACTAGCCTTGAAGGATTTGTAAAGTGAACCCCAAAACAGGTAAAATATTATTCAGTACTTCTACAATGTGGGTATGAGCTCACAGTTGAAGGGTTCCTCTGGAGTGGCCCAGGAGGTCTGGTTATCCAGAGTGCAGTTTGCAAGTTTGCTTTGCTCCTTTATATGTGAAAACAGTCACTGTTAGAAACCATGGAAGAACAATGTACCCCTAAACATGCGAGAATGAGGCCAGCCAGCCAGGGACAAAAGATGGAAGACAGCAGACTAGCAATGTCAACGTTCATCTCTGGCTTATTCAGTGAAGGTCAAGGGCAGCAGATGTCTTGTCTTGGAAAATCTGACTATAACCAGAAAGATCTCATTCCAGTTTCTGTTTGAACTCTGGGTGAAAACTGATCCTGAAGTGGTCAGTGATCAATATCACTCACCCCACATTGTTCACACAGATCCTCAGCAGGATCCCCTTGGGGCACATTACCTTATGTCCCAGCTGAGCTGCTTCTCCCCGAGCTGCTGTGGCGATGGGATCGATAAGGTGCCCGATTTCTTGGACCACTGAAGTTAGCTGCTCTTGCAGGGCCTGATAAGGAGAGAGAGCTGTCAAATTCTTCCTACGGCAATTCACCATGTAGCCACATTGATTTAAAAATAAAAAGGCCCACGCAGAAGACAAGTAGGCCATGAGAAATGGATACCAAAATATCTACTATATCCTTAATGGATAATCCCTCTCTTGGGTGAGCCACGTAGCTACCACTCCACCCTGCCTTTCCCAGGGTCCCGGAGTTCCCCTGGACTAGAGGCCCCACACTTCCACCCATGAGTGACAAAAGGCAGGTCTGAAGAATACTCTTCCTCCTGTCTCCTCACTCACACCAACCACAGTGTTCAGTGATGTCACCAATATCCTTACTTTGAGTTATTCAGCATAACTACTGGAAGTAAGGAACATTTCCCTTCCAAGGAGGGAAGAAAACTTTGTTCAAACAGGGAGAACTAATGTGGGGTCTGGGGGAACATCCAGGTGCCTGTGTCCTCAGAACTAAGAACCCTTAAGAAAGGGGAGGTGGGGTGGGGGAGGAGAGAAAAGGCTGATATAAAAAATGAGATAAGCTTTTGGAAAGTAGGACCATTTCCCAGACAAGCACACTGTGAAAATGCCCTGAACTCAACTCAGGTTCTAAGCGCATTGTATTGTATTCAGCGATGTGGATGCAAATATTAAAAACTGCACCCCCCCAAGGTATTTCTTTCTCAGATTTGAGAGAAGAACTGTACTCATGCTGTGAAGAGGCCAACTATCTGGGTGACACTGGTGCATGAGGGAGATGGAGAATTCCAAGGTGGACATTAGTGGCTAATAGCAGAACAGGCCAGATCCTTTGTGGGACTCGCCCTAGGAAATGTGCTTGATGGATTCAGGATTAATAGATCACCACCATAGACTAGCAAGGAACAGGGTAGTTTCTGACAAAGTGACACTGTTCTGCTTGTCAGTAATGAGACTCTGGCCCGTGCTGCTTTCCCTCTGAACAATGCTGTATCCAAGCTGGGGTTTCTGAGCAGAGGTGACTTAATGAGAAGTTAATGAGAAGAGCAATCTAACATGCCAAATGGAAAACAAAATTCTGTGGATAAAAAGGAAAAAGAGAGACAGAAATAGAAAGATGGAGGAAAGCAGAAACATCCACACTTCGAAGGATCTCATTTAGTTCACTATTGTCTATCTGCTCGAGGTGATTATAGTCAAGAATGCAAGAATATTTCAGCAATGTTATTACAGATGGCTTATTAAAATGAACATGGTATAAGGAGGAAGCACACATAGTTCAAAGGGAACTCCTCAAAGGGAGAGATTTTCTTCCTAGGGAGGAAGTGAAGACAGAGGATGTTTTGGGAGGGCAGGTGAAAGAGTGGGGGCCTGAGCAGGTGTTCCGAGGTGCTGGTCATCTTTGCTTCTTGATCTGGGCACTAACTAAAAGCTGTGTTTGGTTGGTGATAATTCATCAAGCTCTGCACTTAGGATATGCACACTTTTCTGTATGCATGTCCTGACTTTAATAAAAAGTTGACAATAATTCTAACATTCTGCATAGGATGAGAATATTTCTTCTTTCTTTTTTTTTTAAGGTTTTATTTATTTGTGTGTGTTTGTGTGTGTGTGTGTGTGTGTGTGTGTGTGTGAGAGAGAGAGAGAGAGAGAGAGAGAGAGAGAGAGAGAGAGAGGCAGACACATAGGCAGAGGGAGAAGCAGGCTCCATGCAGGGAGCCCGATGTGGGACTCAAGTCCAGGAACCCTAGATTCACAACCTGAGCGGAAGGCAGATGCTCAACCAGGTGCCCTTCTTCTTTCTTTTCTTGACAGTGGGGGAAGGGAGCAGAGCTGGAGTAAAATTGGCAGCTCTATTAATAAAAATGAGCAAGACCAACTCTGGGCCTATTGCTTAGAGACCGCGGCAAAGTTCACTGTGGATGAATTCGTTGGTGGTAAGGGACATGTCAGTAAACAGACCATCCGTATTTATTAAGCACCTCCTGAGTGTCAAGTTCTTTCAACAGAAAGAAGGAAGTATGAATCAAGGGCCTTTGGACAGGTTAATTGAAAAAATTGGCAAAAGAGGGCCATGGCTCTGAATTAAAAATATAGTGCAAAAGGTTCCCAGCACTGGATATCGGGCAACTTAGTGCAAAATCCTTTACCTCTGAGTAGACCAAATGTGTAGACTTTAATGCTAAATATGCCCATTAGTCAAAAAATGCACTGATAAAACATGACAAGGAAATATTCCAAAATTTACATGTCTTGGTCGCTCTACTGATGTTAGACTGAATACGGTAACCTCACTTTACTGACACACTCTCATCTGACAGCGATCATTTCCCCCCAAATTTCAGCCATGTTTGTAATTTCCACTCCAGCAGTACATGTGTTCCTTCACCAAAGCCTTTCTACTCAGCATCTGCCTTATTCCCTCCACAAACTTCCCAGGTGGGTTCCAGGGATAAAGGTAATTCTATGATGAAATGCCAGCATCAAAAATGTGTTTGGCCCCATTCCCCAAAGCTGTGATTCTTAAGTACTTTCAGAGGCCTCTGATTCAGACACCGAGCCCCGGCCTACCTCCACAGAGATGTCATCCCTCGTGGCCAAACTCTGGCTGACAGCTGCCAGAGAGGCCTGCTCAATGTCCCGGATGCACCGGTTGATGCCATCGATGGAGTAGTCACACTCTCTCTGCCCAGGGGCCTTGTCCCTGGAAGGACAGGGCAAGTCAAACAGATTCCTCAGGGTTCAGGTCTCACAACTTGCTGCAGCAATGGTGGGCCAGGAGCCCCTATCTACTTTCTACCTGTCTGATTGCTTATTTAAGGAGTGAACCCCTGAGCCTTGCTTAGGAATGTCTCTCTGCAGAGCCCATACATTTCTTAATTTAACACTCGTGTGAACTCTATTTATTTTGAGTGAGAAAGACATGATGCTGTTCCTCATCTCAGGCTGATGATAGACAACCACTCATCAAACTATTTAGACTTCACTGACTTCAACATAGGACCCTTATTATTTTCTTAAAAGGTCAGAGCTATTTCCTATACAAACATACTATACTCTCGACATTACATATTATTCACAAAGTCCTATGGTAGGAGTTAAAATATCTAGTGGATTTTTCCTTGTAAGGCATTAGGTGAGAGAACGGTGGGGCTGAGTTTCTTTTTTTTGGGGGGGGGGGGGCTGAGTTTCAAAAGCAATAAAAAACCAAAGTATGGCTAAGGAAAAGGATGTATTCCACGTTGTGGAGTACTAACTGGTCAACTTTAGAGATGTTACACTAACTCTGGAGATTTTTCAGGTTCATGTTATTGCCAGGGAGTTCAGAGATGCCCAGAGTTACTGTGGGACCTAGAATATTCTTTTTGCCTTATTAACAAGATAAAGTAACTTCAAATCCTGCTAAATAAACACTGGTGTTCTCTGCCTAAGCTCCTAGGTCTAGACAATGGTTAGGAGTGGGACTAGGCCATCAGGCCTGGGGATGATCATGAGAATACTACCTAAGTCCTTTCTGAATGAATTCTCTCATCAGTTAAATGGTGACCATGGCAGTGTTTACAAGGCTGTTGTGATGATGAAATAAAGTAATATAGGTAAATGTTCAGAACAGTTTCTGACATAGAGTGAATGTTTAGGTTAGTTATTGTGTCCAGAACTACCACTGGTCCCAAAAAGCCAAACAAAAAGATGATAATGATCAGCTACATCTATCAAATCAAAGTCCTATTGGGCTTATCCTCCTTCCACCCTGATTAGATGTAGGCTCCAGCAATTTCTGGAGGAGAAACTAACCTGATAGAGGTGATGAGACTCTTGATAGAGTCAGACACAGTGTGGGAGTGTCCAGCTAGCACAGACCAGGTGGGCGGATCTTTGGGGTTGATGGCCAGTGAGCGTGCAGTACGAATGAGGTATGATGAACTCTCCAGCATGGTCTTAGCTGAGACCAGGATCGGTTCCTGTGCCTGAGAACCCTGGGAGCAAACAGCAGAAGAGTCAAGGGCAGGGTGCACAGATTAAGTGAATGAGTTGGGCTCTAGAAGGTTCTATTCTTTGCCAAGTCGCTACCTGTGTTCTTCAGAAAGAGACATAGAGGTTAGGAAACCATGGAGGCTGGTTCACATAGAGCCTGGATAGCAAGGACGTGGGTCCATGTTCACTCTTAAGAATCATTTTCAAATATCATTTTCAAATAAGAAAAGAATCAGCCCCAAACTTAAGTACAGAGCTTGTGTTCAACACATAAAGCTAAGGCATTAGCACTTAAGATACGTGTATATCTTGAGTTTCATTAACTCTGTGCATGTATTGTCACTGACAACAACGTTCTACGAGACAGAACTTTTGGAGTTCTTAACTGTTCATGTGGATTTGGTGCCACACGAACTAGCCAAAGACCCCAGTATTATCTTTGCTGCAAAGACTCCCTACCTCAGAGCTAATCTGGGCAGGAATGCTGACAAACTCAGGGTTGGATGCGAATGCTGTCAGGTTCTCCACAGCTTCGATCAAGGGTGCGGTGGCAATGCGACACTTATTGCGATTGTCTTCGGAGAAATCCCCATCCAGGGCCTGATGGAAGAAAACACAGAGACATGATCCCATTGAAATGCACAAACCACTCCTGGCCAAGGTAATCATCTCCTAGTGGAAGTATGTGGTTTAATGCGAATACTGAAAATGTTTGTTGAATTCATAAAAAATAATTGGAGAGATCAAGCCATTAAGCAGAGCGCCTCAGCAATTATAAGAAATAAAGTTTAATATGTGGTTCACAGGGCAGCTGACCTCAAAGTCCACCAACTTCCTGCTCATATGACCTTGCAGCTGAACCATTTTCTTCCCCACTTTTCACACCATAATCCTTGGGCTCTTCCCCATCCATTTTCACTTTAAGTTTATTCCCTCCCAAATTATAAAAATACTTTACATTGCATAGCACTTCCAATTTTTCTTTTACTTGGATATCCCTGCATGAATTATGGAGGTAAAGTGTCCATATCCACCATTCTGAAATGAGAAAAGTGGAATGAATCCAAAGGGAATGAATGGACGAGAACTACCCCCAGTAATATGGACAAATCTCACATAGTATTTTAGAGGCCAGAAACAAAAATGTACCTACTGTATGATTCCATGTGTGCCAAGTACAAAAAGAGGTGAAACTAATTTAGGGTGTTGGCAGTCAGGTCATCCTTCAGAGCAAATAAGATGAAGGGGCACAAACGGGGCTTCTGGGGGCTGATCATGCCCTAGATCTTGATCTAGCTATAGTTACCTAGGTGTATTCAACTTAAGTTCACAGAGCTCTACTTATATGATGTACGTTTTTGTCTATGCATCTTATGCTTCAGTATTTTTTTTTTTAAATAGCAGGTGGCACTGAGTGATCACTCTGTTGACTAATGGCCTAGATGAGAAGAATCCAGGAAGACATCCTGTAATTCATGAAAGGCTGCTTAACAAAGGGTTAACCCTTGGACTTGTGGTTCCCCAACACCTGACCCCACCTTCTGAAGAAGACTGTTAGAACCTGCAGACTGTGTGGGGAGGGGACACACTACAACGACAGGGTCCCTTCCTCTCGGCAAAGGGTTACATTTGAGAAGGCAGTTATATCTGTAGAAGAATATAAATTTCCCCATTAAATGACCAATTAAACTTTTAATTCAACTGTTGTGAGCAATATATAAAAGCCAATTTAGACAATTAGTGAACAAAAAACCAGGGCGCCAGCATTATGAAACAAACCAGATCTGAGATGAGAGCGTTATTTTTCAGTTAAGCCAAGAGTAGGCTGGCACATGTGCTCTAACGGCTATTTCTGAATAACAACTACATTCCAATCAAGCTGTGGCAGCTTAGTACAATAATTATACATCCCACCATGCTCATATTTTCAGAGGAATTCCCATGAGCCTGGCTAATTTATCATCTTCACTAATACCATGCATGGCTTGCCTCTACTCCTCTGTAGGCACTGACCTCTATTCTAACCTCACCAATTCTGCCATTTTTCCAGACCCAGTGGCAACCCTATGTGCTATTTCTTGCTCACACATGGCCTCCATTTTGACCGTCACTTTTGTGCTCAGTAAATGGGGAGTTAGCACATGTCACCCACATGGCATCTTGTTAGTCTAATCTTATTGCACTATGAACATCATGGATTCCTTGAGGTGAGGCTTCAGAGCAACCTGAAATATGCTGGGAGGCAGGGTGGGTACTATGCAGCAGAAACCTGACATGAGTGGCCCTGACATGGGCACACCAGTAGCAGACGGATGGCAGAAATGGACTTCGGTGTCAAAGGAACTCAAATCCCAGTTGCACCAGTGGCCAATCACACTCCCTCCAGCAGGGATGATGAGACTTCTAGCTCAATGGAAGATGACAAGCCTCCCTTTCATACCACTCCTTCCTCCTGTTCTTATCTCCTTACACTCTTCCTGTCCCCTTTTTCTACCTTATACAGCCCTCTTGGCCTATTAGGAAGGCAGGCATCTGGTCAAGCCACCAACCTTTACTTGAACGTTATCAAAATGAAAAGATGATTGGTCAAGGTACATCCCAAGGAATGGTTTTCTAATTGTGCAGTTTCATAGACAGTGCCAATAGATGAAGAAAGGATATATATATATTTTTTGAGCCTGGGCACTCAAATCACGTATCATGCAGCCCATTGCTATTTATGGGACAGGATCTTGAATGTGGAACACAACACCAAAGCTATTATCAACCACTTTTTTTTTTCATTTTCAAAAAGGAAAAGCTATTTCCACTAGAGGTGGCATCAGAGAGGATGGTTTACACAGATATTATGTCATTTCTGAATGCTGCTTCCACTCTGGGGATGGTGGAGCCACCCAGGTAAACTGAATATGCAAATCTGCTCATTGGTCATCTAAGGATGACCAAGATGACATACCTATAGTCAAGTCAACTTCAATTAACAAGAGCTAGATCTGGTATCTTTGGTATACCATGGGTATGCTTAATCCTAAAACTTGAGCTTCATCTGCTGTTAGAGGCAAGGCCATGCTTCAACTCCTCACAAAAAGAAAAGCTGTTGTACAATTTCTACTTGGTACCCAAACCTGAATGAGCGCACATTTGAAATAGCATTCCATTCCACACATGTGATTCGAGATTAGTAATGAGCTGACTGAAAAAAGAGAAGCAGGTGACCCTGTGTGGAGTGACCGGCGGAAAGACAGCAGTTGTGGGTAGGGGTCGTGTGCTTCTACTACAGCTGGCATTTAGGGCAATCTGTCAGCCAGGGAGGAAGGTGAGGATATTTATTCCTGCTGAGCCAAGCTTCGGGATTTTGAAGACTGCTATCGGTAGAGGTTTAAGAATCTTTTTTTTTTTTTTTAAGGTTTTATTTGTTTATTCACAAGAGACACAGAGAGGCAGAGACATAGGCAGAGGGAGAAGCAGGCTACCTGTGGGGAGCCCAATGTGGAATTCAATCCCAGGATCACGACCTGAACCAAGGGCAGATACTCAAACACTGAGCCACCCAGGTGCCCCGAAGTTTAAGATTCTTGGGGGCACATATTCTAATGGTCCTGATAACCTACTGTGAAGGTCTGTTCCCTGGTCTTCAATGTTCCTCTGGCTGGGGTCCCTCCTTTTTTTTGTGTGTCTATAAAGGTGTGGCAGCTGGGATTTAGGCAGCGTGGGCACATCCTCATGGTTAAAAGCAAAAAAAAAAAAAAAAAAAAAGGACTAAGCAGCCTAAAACTTAGAGCAAAATGCAGCTATGAGGGCAGTAGTCTTAAACATTGAAAGAATTAAATATTCATTTGTTTTGTTCTATGATAGGATTTTTAACCAATTCATTGAAATAGGAAGTCTATTCAGTATACAGTATGGTGAGCTACAGGGAAAGGACTATTACTGTCTCCTATTAGTAAATTAAGAACAAGGCTCATTGTCCCTGGCAAACCCTGCCACCCAGTGAGAATTGAAAAACCAAGCACACTTCAACCAGTCGAGGGGCAATAGGTTCATTTCTGTTCCTTGTGCATAGCTGCTGTTTCCCAGGGAGCTCATAGAGACGACGCCTTCATCTTCCCCACCTAACAATCACCCGCACCCCTCCTCTGATGTTCCTGCACAGGCCTATCGTTCAGGCCATCACAAGAGCTCATTTGCCGCCGGGAATTGCAAAGAGGGTTTGACACCGTGAGGAGAATCTGAAAAGGAGAGGAGATCGTAGCAGAGATGCTTTATACAGAGATAGGTCAGGACTTAGAGCAGGAGGAGGCACAAAAGAAAGGTTCCCAGGAGTTTCTATAGAACAGGTTTTTTTTCTTTTTTTTTCCCCCTCCCTTGCTCCATCTAAATATAGTCTGTTTCCTAACGACCAGAAAATGGCCAAGTGTGACTGAAGTCGGTTAATTATACAGCAACCACCCATGTGTGATGTCATTCCCTTCAACTGTTGTTGTCTTTCATCCTGGCCTCCCCCAGTTTGCACACAAGGAGTGCAAACACACCAAGGTGTTTGGTCCTAAGTTAGTCTGGATTTGGATAGCATGGCAGGGTGAGAGCAGGATCAAGAGTAGAAAGGGTGGGGGTTCTGGAAGCTGGGTTTGAATTCCTATGTGTTACTGACTGGCTGGGTCTCCTTGGGAAAGTTACTTAACCTGCCAGCGCCTAGTATCCAGACTGTAAAACAAGGATGACAAGCACAGGGTGGTATTGTGAACTGGGATGAGTAATCTACACCAAACATTTGGAAACGAGCTTTGTACAAACCAAAGAGTTAAAAATGTAAACTTTGTTAATTTTGAATACTATGAACGATGATGGTAATTAAGGTGAGCAGCCACCACGATCCCAGGGGCACCTGCTCACTGGCTTTAATTTATTTCCAACCTATCTTATTATGGTCTTCAAATAGGCGGGCTTTACTCTTTTAAGGCTCTTTGTTTAAACGGTAAGAAACTGCTGACAGGGCTAACCGTCCTGTGCTTTCACCCACCAGCTCCTAACTGCTGCTGGACTACGTGCTCTCCCCTAGCTTCCGCCTCTGGACTGATTTCTCCACATGACTCAAGTGCTTTAGCATCATGCAAGGAAAATGATGCGTGTCACATGCTATCTCCGGAGAGGACAGAGTAGCACTACACGAGGGCCTGCCCAGTAACAAAGCAGATCGCCCCACCTCAACGTGTGTGACAATCCCTAAATACGCGTTAACCCTCCATTGGCCTTCCCCTCTCAGATCTGGGTTTACACAGAGTTGGTAGCCTGCCTTCCGTGACACACTGCTTTGGAGGCTTGGAAGGGGGTTCTGGGTTCCTTGCCTGTGGCCTGCTCTCCCAGGTGTGGCTGTTTCCTTTTGAGGTTAGCTGCCAGCAGCTGCCTGATCCCTGCTTGGGGCAGACTGGGTTTGTGGCTTTATCACCCACCTATACCTACTCCAGGCCAGCTGCTGCAATTCCTTCCTCACAGGGTACCTGCCACTTCCCTCCCCCAATCAGTCCACGGCCTGTAACACAAAGATGAACTTGGTATGAACATGGAATGCTCTGTTTTAAAAATCTGATGCTCTGTTTCAAACATTCAAGCAGCTATAAACAGAATAGAAATCACAGGGTAGATTAAATTGATTTTTTTCAAGTGATTTCCCCAAAGCTTCCCATTCCCTTCTCCCCTTCACCTTTTCTCTAGATCCAGATATATCTAGCAACAATGGCAGACCCCCTACCAGCAACTCCCTGGAGCCAATGAGCTCAAAATCACTCCGTAGCAGCAGCTACGATAAACACAGGGTGTCTGCTATCCAAACACAGTGCCAAGCAATGCCTCATAGCCAACCTCTTTCACATTTCTGCCCCCAAGCTTCTCAAGTACAGAATTTGGCAACCCTGCTCCCTCCAGTTTAAGAAGGTTAGTGGAGACCAACCAAGGCTGTTGGTTTTTCATGATAAATATCTCAATGATTTCTATCAGGTGTTAGGCTTCACGAGACACAAACCTGAGGAGAGCAAAACTGAAATCCTGCATACTTCCTTCCCCACTGTAACAGGTGACACAGGGATCACCTAAGACCTCTGTTCCGTGACCTACCTTGATGGTCTTCACTAGGTTGGCAGTGCTATTGGCAACTTCCTTGGCTGACTGGACAAAGTGTCTCTTGGCCACTGGGTTGGCCGTCTTGGACGAGGCAATGCGGCAGGCGTTGCACAGGGCCGAGGTGTGCTTGGCGACAATGGTGGCCGCTGACAGAACCTACAAAGCATGGAGCTGGGTTGCAGCACCCCATAGTCAGTGCAGAGGGGTGCAGGTCAGAGGAGTCCACCCTGGTCCCGAGCCCCGTGTTCCTCTTCAGCTCACATATCTAGGGCCCATGTGATTACAACATGCATGTCTAGCTCTGCTGCCCCAAAACCATGCCAAGAGAGGCTAAGTAAGAGAGAATAAACAAAAGGAAAGGAGGTGCTGCTGGAGTGGGAGAGGGCTGGACTCCAGATAGTCTGAAAGGAGAGGGGATCAGCTCTGCTTCAGGATCCCTGGCCAGGAGGCACATGGTCGAGGGTCTGGGCCAGTGCTGCCTGACGGAAGTATAATGTGGACGACATATGAAATTTTAAATTTGCTAGTAGCCACATTAAAATAAGTAGAGAAACAAGAGAAAGTAATTCCAATAACTTCTTTTATTTAAATTGATAGATCCAAAATATTCCATTTCACCAGGTAATCAATTTAAGAATACTGAGATCTCATTATCTTTTCTTATCATATCAAGTCTTCAAAATCCAGTGTGTATTTTACACTTACAGCCCATCACAGTTTGGACCAGCTACATTTCAAGGGCTTAATGGCCATGTGCAGCTCATGGCCACCACACTGGAGTCCAGGTCTAGATGAGGAAAATAAACACCAACGTGCATCAGTTCCTTCCTCACTCACAGGGGGACTGCAGGCCCTAGTAAGGGGTCTGGGTCCAGCATCTCCCGGGCCCCACCCTTAACCCCAACAACTCTCTTGAACCCACCTAACCCACTTTACTGAGGCTGGTAACACCCCATTGTCTTTAACTGGACAGAGACGAGTGTCAGGTGCCCTGACATCTTCCACATCAGCTCTCAGGCTGGAAGGCAGGTCAGAGGGTCCCTCTAGTGCCTCCTTAACTTGGCTCCTCCTCCTGCCTAAAGAATGCTGGTCTTGGGGTTCACAGTGGACATGGCACTCACGGGCTGCCTCTGGTAACCCTACGGGCCAGTTCTTGTTCCTTTTAGCACAAGCTGCTTAAACAAGGCTCCCTGCTACTTGGATATGGAGCGTTGCACATACTGTTTAGTCTTAAAACGCCTCTGTGGGTCCTTTAGGCACTTTGGATTCTAACTAGACTTTGAGGCCTGGCTCAGTGCCACCATCTCTGTGATGTGCACCTTGATAGCTCCTCATATGTTCTCTGTGCATCCCTGGTGCTCTATCACATCCTGGCAACCCCCATCTTCCAAGCTTTCTCCAACAGAGTTAGAGCCAGGGCCTACATGATCAGGTTACTTGTGTTGACCCTTACTGCTGAGCACAGAACAAGCCCTCCACCCATGTTCTCTGACCTGAATGAAATCATGAGACTCCCGATGAATCTCACAGTAATTACTCTACTCCTACTGCCTAGCAGCACCTCATCTGAAAGCCCTGACACACTGCCACGCTTACCACATTTTGTAATATTCCCCCCTCAAGTTGTTATCCACAGCACTGCATTTAGCTGGCTTTGCAAGCTCTGAAAGAACAGTATTCCTTACTCATTTCTCACAGTCTCCCACAAACCACTTCCAGGAGCTTAAGGACTCACAGACCTCACACTCTTACCCCGTGGTTACCTGTGACGGGCTGCTGCCAGGGTCCACCAGGTTCTGGCATGCCATCTGGATAGCCTGGTTAGCCCTGGCGAACTGGATGGGGTCCACGAGGCCCTGGTGGCCCGCCTGGCTATTTGGATCGGAGATGCCCACCAGGTATGCAGCCTGAAAAGGGAGGAGGAAAGCACAGCTTAGACCCAGATGAGCCTGTAGGGGACGAGGGCCTGGCAATGCGCCTGCAGCATAATCAGGAGCTCCTTGGTGTAGGTTTGGTCAGGGTAATCTCATCAGTAAGGGTTTAAGGACAGACGAGCTGATGGCAGCAGAGTCTCCTGCAGGCTTGTGAGAACAAAGTCTCTCTGTTCTTAAGAAAGCCTCAAGCAGCTTTCCAATGGGGCCTGAATAAGGATGAAAGCAGCCCTGTGTGCTGCTGGCAGCCATCTTGGGACCATGAGGGTACCCAGGCTCAGTGTGAGGCTGACTCTCTGGCTGGCAGAGACAGAAAAATGTGAGTGGAGACCAATGGCATAGAGCTGCTGGGTTGGCCAACCCTGGAGCCTGCCATGCATGAAAGTTTCTCATCTCATAGCCAACTGCTTCCTTATTGTTGAGGCCAGTATATCCAATAGTAAGTAAGGAGAATGAGTATGATGGCTCGGGTGGGGGGGGGGGGAAGGTACTATTTGGTCTCGAAGAGGACAAGAGGCTGTAAGAGAAGGTCTTCTCTTTTAAGCCCTGTGGATGTGTTAGTCAAATCAGAGGGAAAGAACGAAACTGTTAATGGGAATTTTAACCTTAAGTCATTCCCGAGAGATTTGAGGGGCAGGATAAGAACAATTTCATCCCCCAAACTAGGGACGTTTCCCTTTGGTTCAGTAAAATCTCTCAGCCTCGGGGTGACTGTCAAATGGTAAATCCTTCAAGGTAAATGCCGACAATTTTTGAAGCTTCAGTCACATGACCCCAAGAATTATTATTAGAGATGCAGAGGACAGTGGCACCAAAGCAAGGAACATGCCCGATTATGTCTCTGCAGGATGGTATCAAAATTTTTCTCCCTCTGATCCTAAAAAGAGCATGACGAAGATTTTTGCAATTTTAAAGCCTCAGAGAGAATGGGAATTATGTAATATTCATTTTTCTCCTCTGTAAAAGTGGTCTTAAAAGAAAAACAAACCCTAATCTGGTCTCTGAACCCTTATGATGGGCCCACAATGTTCAGAATCTCACTGTCCTTATCAGGCTGTTCTGCTCCTGGGGGGTAACTGGCTGTTGCCTTGTCTAAATGCCCCAACCAGCACAGGAACCTCTGCTTTACTATGGTTTCTATGATGGTGGCTGGGGAAGAAGCTTCAGTTGGAGCTCACACATGCCTCTCACCGGGGTGTGGTATTCCTGGTATCCTCACTCTAGCATAGGACAGAGGCTGGAAGGCCTACATCAGGGGCCATGGGGGCCTGGCCCTTACCTGGGCTGCAGCCTCTGTCAGCCCACAGAGGGCTTTGGACGCAATCCCCACACACTCCCCAAAGGCAGGGAGGTCCCCAGTCTTGGCGTTCTGCGAAATCCCTGCCATCGACTCGCCCAGAACCTGCAAAACAACCAAGCAGTGACACTATTAAACCCCAATTTCTTCCAGCCATGTTGGAAAAGGGGAAAAGGGAGCCATGCTTCCAACTTTAACATTCAAGGCCACTTAATATACGATATTTGCCATTATTTTTCTTTATTTGCATTAAGAGGATATTTAAGAGAATTATAACATTTCTGCTCCAGAAAGAGAAATGCATAATGAAAGTATGAACCTTTCATTCAAAAGTTATCTCTATCTTGGGGCACCTGGGTGGCTCAGTCTGTTAAGTGTCCAATTCTTGACTTTGGTTCAGGTCATGATCTCAGGGTCATGCGACTGAGCCCTGCACTGGGCAGCTCCACGGTCAGTGTGGAGTCTGCTGAGGATTTTCTCCCTCTCTCTGCCTCATCTCTCTTAACTCCCACCACTGTCCTGCTTGCTCGATCTCTCTCTCTTTTTTTTTTTTTAAAGATTTTATTTATTCATGAGAGACCCAGAGAGAGAGAGAGGAGAGAGAGAGAGGCAGAGATACAGGCAGAGAGAGAAGCAGGCTCCATGCAGGAAGCCCAATGTGGGACTGGATTCCGGGACTCCAGGATCATGCCCTGGGCCCAAAGGCAGGCACTAAACCACTGAGCCACCCAGGGATCCCATGGCTCTCTCTTAAAAAAAGGAAAACGGTTATCTTTATCTCAAAGAGGTACAGTTAATATACACAGATGAATAAAGTAAAACCTATACAGGGCATCCCACAGGTGAAATGGTCTCAAGTGAGACCTGTCAGATCTCAGAATATAAAAATTAGACATGTACACTGAACTGCGGATAGTCACACCTCAGAAAGCAGAAGACATACCTTAGCTGATGTTATTCATTTACTTGATAGTAAAATTTAAATATGTCTTTGTTAAACAGTGTGTGTGTGTATATATATATATATATATATAGATAGATAGATAGATAGAAACAGATAAGTGATCTGAACCCTAAACCTATTTCCTAAATTTTACAAGTATTCCCCTTATTTTGAAAATCATTGATGTCCTTTTTTTCCCCGGAGGGCTTTAAAATAACAGTAGAAAGGGGGGGATCCCTGGGTGGCTCAGCGGTTTGGCGCCTGCCTTTGGCCCAGGGCACGATCCTGGGGTCCTGGGATCGAGTGCCGCATCGGGCTCCTTGCATGGAGCCCACTTCTCCCTCTGCCTGTGTCTCTGCCTTTCTCTCTCTGTCTCTCTAGGTCTATCATGAATAAATAAATAAATCTTTAAAAAAATAACAGCAGAAAGGGATTTTTAATATTTAGAATTCAACCCAGAGAAGTCAAGCAGAAGGTCACATGGGCAGAGGCAGGACACCTGCCCCATAGCTGGTGCTCTGTCTTCTATGCCCCAAAAGCACAGGTCTTAGTCTACTTCCCAGCGTCACAGATGGTGGAATGGAAGATGTTGAACACAATCCTTTAGAGAGACTAGGGCATTGCCAATACCTAATTCTTTTTTAATAAGCCATTCTGGATAGAGAAAAAAATTCCCTGAAGTTGCTTAGATAATACAAAATAGTCCAGCATACACGAAAACTTGCAAAGTGGGGAAGTTAGAAGATATCTGTATGCACAGTATTGTCCTTCCTATTACCCTGTGTCCCTCTTTAAGAAGGAAGAGTTCCTTTGGATCTCAGTATGTAAGACACGTACACCCTTCCCTAAGGCAACCCAGAATTCCACAAAGGATCCTAGACAGAGCAAACTCTATCTTAGCCCGATGCAAAGCATACTCTGCCTGACATCATCAACACAGATGTGCCCCCAAAGCTAACATCAGAGTGATGTGCACAAACATGCACATGTGCTCCAAGTACAAACTTGGTATTGGCAATTGCTCAATATCCACTCATCTCACTTGTATTTAATATTAATTTGGTTTTGAATCATTCTCAAAAACTTGGGTATTGGGATCTCTGGGTGGCGCAGTGGTTTAGCGCCTGCCTTTGGCCCAGGGCGCGATCCTGGAGACCCGAGATCAAATCCCACATCGGGCTCCCGGTGCATGGAGCCTGCTTCTCCCTCTGCCTGTGTCTCTGCCTCTCTCTCTCTCTCATAAATAAATAAATAAATAAATAAATAAATAAATAAATAAATAAATAAATAAATAAAATTAAAAAAAAAAACTTGGGTATTGCCATCATAGGTGTTTCTTGACTTAAAAAATAAATCATTATTGCTCCATTAAGGAATCTTTTTAGTCTCACCACCCTCAATTGCTACCCACATCAAAGTAAACATGAAGAAATAAGATATTATTGAGCAAGGTTAAGATTTGGCAGGACACAAACCATTGCAATATTTACATCTTCTCATTCTTCCCACCTCCCAGAAGAACCCCCAATTTTTCAATTCCCTTGAGAATGATGCCATTAATAGATGGCAGAAAGAATACATGAGAGGGTCTTATAAAAGCCAACGCCACTGATGAGCTTTCCCTTGGAATTCAGTCCCAAGAGAAATAAATCTATGACTTGATTTACAGTAAGACTCATCTATGACATGGTATAAGCACTGAATCTCGAGGTGTTACTTCTGGATGGCATGGCAGGGATCTGGGGACTTGTCAGAAATGTTCAATCTCAGCCCCACTTAAGATCTACTGGATCAGAAACTCAGTGGTAAGGTCCAGCAGTCTGCGTTTAACAAGACTTCTAAGTGATTCTGATGCACAGTCAAGTTTGAGAAACATCTAAGCAAAGGGCGCCAGAGTCAGGCTTTGTAATAGATGCAGCCACACAGACTCGCCATAGGCAGATGCACGTGGAGCAGGTCTAGATTTTTCCCCACAATGAGGAGAACATTAATAGCATAGACAGGCTTACCTTGGAGTTTTCCATCACACTCTCAATGCAATCAAAGTAAGAGAGGTCACTGACAGGTTCATTAGGATTGTCCAACATCCCCTTGACAGTCTACAGAAGGAAAACACAACTTAAAGAGCAAGCAAGTGTTACAGAACAAGAGAAATTCAATGTAAAATACTAACTATTCGCTTGCACTCTACATATAGCATCCTGGTCATGATCATTCATTTATCCACATCCTTGAGAGGAATTTAGAGGGTTTTATGTGTGACTTCAGATTTCCTCCTACCAACATTAACATTGATGGCAGGGAGGAGGATGTCTCAGGTTAGCTTCGACAGAGAATCTCCTGTTTACAAATGTGAAGGAGAAGCATGGTATCCACAAAAGGGAGAGATTTTTTTTTTTCCTTAAGAAAATCTAAAAGCTAATGCAAGGCAATGGTCAACTAGCATGATTTCTCTGCTGGGTAACTCTGAGGAGTTTACCTTTCAAGGATATGTTAACTTATTTCTACGTGAAGAGACCCCTCAGTTTTCAATTCTGGAATCTTTTAATGCATGGGCATGAAAGAAGGTAACACCCCCAAATTGCCCACTGGGATGGTTCATTTGTTTTTAATTTAAAAAGTACAGAAAATATTCAGTCCTCTTTAGGAGTAGCAGGGTATGGGGCTTGCCCCATCGTCTCTAGTCCACCAAAAATCTCTCTGGGTCATATGTTGCAACATCTCTAACAGTCATGTATGAGGGAATTTGCCAGGGGAGCCATCCAACCTTCTCCCCAGTGAGTGAGTGTGTCCACCAGGACCCAGCAGCTTTTGGGGCACAGTCAACAAAAAGACACAGTCATTTGAGTTACCAAGGATTGGGGGAGGTCATGGTGGAAACTGCTGAGTTAAGAAGTTAAGGATCTCAGGAAAGAAGGCAGCATAAAGGAGTTCATTTCACTGAAGAACCTCCTCCCACCCTTCCCACAATCAAAATGGTTTTAGTAACAGTCCTGAAAGAGTCATGATTTTGGCAACCAAGGGTACCATTGAAGGACAGAGTTTTTGTATCTGGGCCTATAGATTTGATTTAGACCAAAAGCCCACATATCATGCTTGTGAATGTGAACAGACCAGGACAGGATAGTAATTAGCCCAACATAGGAAACAGCCTCCACTGTTTTCAGAATGCTTGAGTCCTGTGGTAACAAGCCTCTTGTTGCCTCCAGCTGTGCACACTGGCCGATAGCCACCAGCAGACAGGGCCTCAATCAAGCCCTTCAAAAGCTGCAATCAGACCCCCTCTGGCATGGTGGGTATTCCCGTGCTAATCATCCAGAAAACTAAAGGTAAGCCAGGCACAACCAATCTGTATCTACTGAGATATCTATTTGGCTATTTCAATACAACCTGTACTGGTTACGACTGCTTTGCATACAAGTGGGTACACTGATTTTCTGTTTACCGCATACATCCTGTGGGCACAGACGAATTTTCCATTATAAATAAACCTTAAGTATGAATGTAAATTGAAAAGCATGCACACTGTGTTCTGGGCCACTACAGGTCGCATAGTCACCTTGATTGTGTAGTTAAGTGTTATTCCTAGGTTTCCACTAATGTGCCCCCTACAGTGACTAAAATAAAACATATGGGAAAATCATTTTATTCAAAAAGAACATCTATCCTGGCTTCTCCCAACTGCCCCAACACAATGACTCCAAAACTTTTTAGGTAGAAATTGCTCATCTTCAGCCTACACCCAGGCCTCTTCCTATTTGAAATAGAGGCCTTTAACAAAATAACTCTCATCCTAGTGGTAAAAGGGGAAGCAGAGATGATAAGACAATTCCACCAAATCTTTAATATCTTTCCACTAGGATTAAAACTTTGGTTCCCAGTAGTTTTCCAGTAAGGATATAAGGCAAAAACAGAGGAGAAGAAACTGACCCTTTTGGGAAGGATAGAGTCAAACCCTCTTAAATCCCAGTGACCTTTCTAGGAACCTACCTCGAGCTCCCGCAGAGCATTATCACATTCTTTCTGGCCTGGAGCTTGCTGGGTGCACAGAGTAATGAGCTGATTGATACTCTCTGTCACAGCTCTGTAACAGAAACAGATAAAGAGTTTTTGTTTTATTTTATTTTGTAAAGATCAACAGTAATTTCCCAAACAATGTTTTGTAAGATCACCAGAAATACAAGGAATTCACTATAAAGGCTGAGGTCCCCATAGGAGCTCTTCGACCCGGCTCTGAACAACCAAAAATAAACCACAACCAGCAAAGACAGAATGAGTGTCCCCACTTTGCCTGTGATTACTCATTTGGTTTCCCTTTAAAGGGTACTAATGGTTCTTTTAGGAAAGTATGACTATCTTTTAATATATTCTTAGGAAAGAATTCACAACAAAGTTGCAAATAGCAAAGAGATCCTATTAACACTGTTTTTAAATATCCTTCATTAGCAACCCATAAGGAATAAGATGATCTGAGGCTATTTTGGATAGCTTTTGTATAGCTTGGAATGTTTTATATATTTTAAAACATAGCAGGCATACATACAATAAACTGCTCATGATTTTAAAATCTCTTCTTTCCATGAAATTCTACATGATTTGCTAGTTCCTAGAAGCTATCCCCAAATTATCTTTAAAACAGCTCTTTTAACATTAATAGGAATTAGAGACTCATGATTTTATATATGTGTCTATTCTTCTTAGAACTTGGGAGGCAGCTCAGAGTTTTTTCTCTATTGGCAAGGATTCCACCTCTCCTAAGCAGCCTCTGCTTAACTCCTGCTTAGGTTAGACTACAGATCATTTAGAAAGTCATGGTCCATTCTGAGTTAATTCTTGTATAAGGTGTGAAATATGGGCCCAGGTTCTTTTTCTGTGGGTATGGGGTGGCTTATGTAAGTCCACTTATTCCAGCACCCTTCATTTAAAAGGCTATTCTTTCTACATTGCATTGCTTTTGTAACTTTGTTGACAATCCCTGGGCCATGTTTATGTGGGTCTACTTCTGGACTCTGTTACATTGACCTATGCGTCTAATCCTTTGCCAATACCACAGGTTTTTTTATATTCTTAAAATTGAATACTCTTGTGTTTTAGAAATGGAAAAAAAAAAAACACAACAAACCAAGAGATAGGAGAGAATTTTCTAAGGGGATGCTACAAATAAGAAGCAAAAACCACACTTGAACCCATGACTCTCCGACTCCAAAGCCAGACCTGTAACCATTTTTCAGCACGATCATAACTTGTCTATATTCCGGCAGGGCCCTCACCTCTATTCATAGATCCTAACCACTGCAGCTAACCTGCAACTTCAAATAAAACAAACAAAAACAAGATCGAGCACACTTGCTGTTAATCATTAGCGCTGCCTGATATAAAAGAGGCCTCATTTTATTAAATTGGCTTTGCAGCTTCCCACAGAATATCAAATTAGATGGAAAATGATGTTGCCAATGTACAAAGGCAATCAGCTTAATTATTTGATGAGGAGATACTGCTTTGAATTTTAAATTTAGCTAAGGAGGATGGGAAGAAGAAAAACATTCCTGAACTCAAGAAAGAATCCCAAAATAGTTTTTGTAAGATTCACTCTAGCAATTCATTTATTTGGAGCAAAGTGCTTAATTAAGGTGTCAGAGCAGCACTGGATTCTTTGTGGTGGAAAGCAAAACAGTAACAACTGAGATAGCAGGACAATTCTGGGTATCTTGGAGGGTGTAGTCCCTGATATATTCTCTAGAGGGGTCCCTCAGAGAGTCCAGGGCCTTGTTCCATGTGATAGGCTTCAAGACACACCTCCGAGGGGGCAGGCTGGCATATGTGATGTTCATGTACGAAGGGAGCCAAATGCCCTCAACAGTGATGACACAACACATAAGGATATTTCCACGTATCACACCAGTGTTCCATTTAGTTTATTTCTTTCAATGTTTCCTGTGTATCTGCATTTTTTAAAATCTAGTTTTTACATAAGGATTTTTCCATTAAAAACTGTTTATAACTGGAGAATCCAGAGACTTTATAGCTGCTTATTGTCGTCATTTTTAAACTATTTTTTAGATGTGAAAAATTTTCAAATAAAAACTTGGGAGTAAAAAAACCTCAAAAGACTAGCAGTTTGTGGTTAGACAATCCATAAAAGTGCCAGCACAGCACTGATGTCTGAATGAGTCACTTGGGTAATAGTGATCCATGACTAGGGAGCATGATTTAGGTATTATTTATCCTCATAACTCATTTTAGAGTCTGGATGAGATAGACAATAATAAAATAAGTGGCCCAGAGGCAAGAGGTTACGTAGATTTGACAATGAAAAATAGTGTTTTTATGTTTCAAACTATAGCAGTTGGTTGTAAAATCAAAGGATTAGAGGCGACCCAAATATGCAATGACAAAGGACTGATTAAATAAATACATAGCCTACAATGCTATTCTGGGTGCCCATTAAAAGTCATAATGCATAGTATATTCCTACCACAGAAGAATACTCATGGTTCACAGTTAAGTAAAACAAAATTTACAAACATATATACTCAGGAAAAAAAAATGACAGAACAACATACCAAATGTGAGATTTATAATATTTTTAAAGTAATTTTATTTTTAAATAGAAAAATTTAGGGCAGCCAGAGTGGCTCAGCAGTTTAGCGCCACCTTCAGCCCAGGGCCTAATCCTGGAGACCCAGGATCAAGTCCCTGAATGGAGCCTGCTTCTCCCTCTGCCTGTGTGTCTCTACCTCTCTCTCTCTCTCTCATGAATAAATAAAATCTTTAAAAAAATAAATAGAAAAATTTAGGTAAATCGAATAAAAATTATGATTTGGTCAACTTACATTGTCACAAAGAGAGACCCAAAGAGAGTATCCTCCTCAGTTCTATATGAATCTAAATAAGCCTGAACAGCAGTTTTAAAATATTTTTCCACAGTTTTTTTTTAAATGATTAAAGCTACACAAGTTTTTTTTTTAATACAAAAAAGTTAAAAGTAATTCCCCCATCCAGAAGTAGTGTTTTCTTGTGTTTTGTTATCTATCTAGGCATATCCAGCCACTCTCTTGTTTTTTTTTTTTTTAAATCGGCCTTAGATCTTAAAAAGGGCTTTCTAACGTACAAATTGTTTAGCGTTCAAAGATTCTGACTGAATTGACTCAACTAGTTTGGGAGCTCTGGAGGGAAATTCTCAATAGATATGGAAATGGATGAGGGGTGAGAGAAGAAGGTCAACTAATTTGTGCTTTTGATGATCTGTTAAGTATAAATCATCTGTTAAGGAGCTTGGTGGGGAAAACATTGATATCAGACATTTCCCTTCCTCAAGGGAGAGCCTCCTTATGCAGGCAAAAAAAAAAAAAAAAACAGCACCCCAAATTCTACCCACGTGTATTCCCTGGGTCCTACTCTGTACACGGTATGGGAATTAAAAAATAATATAGTTTGTCTCTCTAGGAAAGCAAGGTGATTACAATCTGGTTGGTTGGAGAGGCAGGATAATGAACAGATAAGGCACAAAGAAGGTAAGCCAAAGGAAGCAGTGAAGGCGGTAGGTTGTCAGACGGGATCCCGAACTTCCAAGATGCCTGACAGATACATTCTGGGCTTGCTGGGAGCACAGACAGAGGGCACAGGTTCAGCATGGGAGAGCTCAATGTGCACCGCAACAATAGGAAAAGCCAGTGAGGGACTGATTTGGATAAAAGGAAGACAACATTCTAGAGGAGACCAAGAGACAACCTAGTTTATATTTTTCTGTTCTGTAGTGTGGAAGTGCTGCTTGCTGGGTCATTCTTTTTCACCATCTTAGGAGACAGGAGGAAATCTTCTTGGTAGGAACCTCAAAACGAAGGGCAGCCCAGGAAGAGGAATCACCTGCAAAATTCTAGGGAACCCTCAGGAGACAAAGTAGCTCAAAAACTGTCTGGGTCCCAACGCTGGCAGCCATGGGCATGAAGACTTCTCAGCCAGGGAGGCCTTCTGGGCCAGCGTGACTGTTGTGTGAGCAGTGATGCAGAGGAGGTGCTCAGGGGTAGGCCACTCCCTCCTTTTTGCAACTGCACCTTGGTTTTCTATTTCTTTGACTAAGTTTAGGGAGAATCAGGCCAGCCCCTGGCCAGGGAAAAAGCTGAGGAATAGCTGGCAAGGAGTCTCCAGCTCTACGTAACTCATCAGAAGAGAGCCAGAGCTCAACAATTACACAGGAAGAAGACAAACAAGCTGGGCACTCAATATGCTTCGTCCTCACTAAGTACCAGAAACCAAAGGACTGCACTCCTTAAATGTACCTGGGCTCTGATACAGAATGAACAGCAGAGGGAAAGGGGATACTCAGCTGCTTCAGAGCAGGAAGAACATGGCGACTGTCAAGAACAAAGGATTCAAATCTGCTGACATAGGAGACAATGATGGGCTATACTGGTCCAGGTCCCGACAATGGCATCCCGGGGCCTCTGGGGGCCATCCACAGGAAGCACAGGCAGGGCTTGGCTGTCTCAGGAATAGAGGGCAGTGGGACTGTAGATGAGAGTCAATGGCAGTCAGATCCCTGCCACTCCAAGGGTGCTCATGTGCAGGGCTGCCGCGGTGTCCAGATGAAATGAGGGGAGCATGCTGTGTGAATGTATGCGCTTCCCCTGCCCTAACACCACAGAGCCATCTCTGTCTCATCACAGTGTGGGCCTGCCCAGTACCCAGTGATGGGCCTAGCCTATTTCGGGCATGTGATAAAAATCTGCCAGATGAATGAATGAATGCATCCTAGCTGTGCAGAGAGCTTCACCTCTGAAGAGCAGCTTGCCTGACTCACTGGACCTGTTTGGAGCTTCCACTGGGAAACCACCTCAAGGAGCAGAGCTTCCCAACATGGGCCAAGAAACGAAGGAGAATGTGCCAGGATCTTCTGGCAACAGTTCTGTCCTGAGACAAGCATTTCATGTGATAATTTTTAAGGACGTACTTGGCTGTGAAATCATCAGGCTGGAACTGCCAGTCAATTGCTGAAAGCCAGGACAGAGGCACAGGAAGCGTCACCTGTCTCCAGGCCCCTTCCTCAATGTCACCACCAGGGGGCCTTCAGACACTCACAGAGCTGTGCTACCAGCCATTTTCTGTCAGGGCTTGTGTTTCCTCCCTTACCTGGCTTTCGAAAGGCCAGTTTACACTTTCCCCTTCTTCCATGATTTCAGAGAGTGAACAGTGAGTTCTAAGTTGGCAACTGTAATTTTGAAATGATGCACAAAATTGAAGATAATGAAAAACATCTGAGTTTAGATACCTGGAAACATCAATTGCCTTATCCAAAGGCTGTTTGTAGGAAAAAGAGGAATCGAGGAAGGGTTTTATATGAGAAACAGCTGCTCAATAGACAAGCCATCACCCCTCCTTCCTCAGCCCCCACCCCTCGGAGGGCACACACTGGCACAGTCACAAAGCATAAGATGGGGGCAGGGGGATGGGAGATTTTTCCAATCTCCTAGTGGCTCTTGCTATTGTTCAAAGCTTAAGTATACACACCTAGGAATAGCTACAGAAACTCAATTGTTTCCAAGGGACCTGCTCTAAAATGATCTAATTCCACCCCCTACCACTTGCAAATAAATACATACATACTTATATACATACATAAAATAGCACTCCAGGCAAAAGGGGACCACAGACCAGTTTTAACCATAAGCACAAAGATATCTTGTGTACTGAGAACTAACAAGAACTTAGAACTTAAAGATGATGTAGCACCCATACCCATTTTGCAGATGGGAAAGTTGAGACAGGTTGAGAAATCCAATCAATGTATCTCAAGTATGTCAAACATTAAAGCCTGGACTAGAATTCAGGTCTCCTGACTCTGAACTTAACTCAAAAAGACAGCCATTGAGCACCCAGGGGAGAGAAAGACAGGAAAAAAAAAAAGCAAGCAAACAAGCAAAATCAAGTTAAAAAAAAAAAAAACCTGAAAAGTAGAATTCAAGCTATGCATTTTAAAAATCACTGATCATTTTGAAAAGGTTTCCAAATGCGCTATATATCCTTATTACCCACACTTCATCTCTGACTGCTGTTAGCTTTCCTATATATAGAGTGATGTCAAGTAGTGCTAAGAAAACATGCCTACAGCACCAGAGAAACATAAAACATCCTACGCCCTCTTGGTTCAGGAAAACGAATGTGGGATTGCTAATACAAAATCTTCCCAGGCTGTCATTGCAGTTTCTCCACATACCAGCATTCAATCACTACTTATTGAACTTAATTGCCTGAGTGGCCCCGGAGCAGACATTGTATTGTATTAACTGCCTCCTCAGGTGAAAACAACAGGAAAGGAGGACACTGGTACCACCCAAAGCTTGGATTCATGTTTTAATATATTTCCCAAAACAATTTATTCCCACCACTACCCCATTCATCCTAAACTGGAACCTTTCTACATGTGACAAATAGGATACATTTAAATTCCTCTAATTAACCTTGAGGCCAGGCACACAGTAAGTGCTCCAGAAATGTTGAATGGCTCGTTGGGTGTCATGAATTTTTTTTTAATACTTTTCTGGATTTTCTGATTTCTTTCAGTGAGCACATATTACTTTCATCATCTGAAAGATACAACACTCCTTTAAAAACATCCATTTGTGCCATCCTGTTTATAAATCAATAGCAGCCTTAAGTGTAAGCAAGCTGAAAGGCTATAAGAGAAGACAGAAAACATATTTAGTGGGGGAAATCACATGAAGATGAGCCAGTTTAATCAAATGTCAGAGTTGCGACTCTGCCTCTGACAACATAAAAACAGCACATCTTTGCTCAGCAAAAGCAGCAGGATGTCAGGCCTATTTCTCACACGCTGACATTCTTTAACCACACATGAAAGCACGTTTTGTTCCACTCTTACCTTGCAGCAGCTGCCAGGAGATTTTTTGCATTGGGGGCTCCTGGATCTACAGATAGAGACTTGGCAGCTAACAACAGCTTGCTGGATGCCATAGAGATATTCTTGAGGTTTCCTATCACTTGGATCTGGTCTTCTTTCGTCTGGAAAGTCAAAAGGAGGCAGAGTAATTAGGGCAGCATTCAGAGAGCTAGGAGAAGCATCTTGAAATGGAAGCAAGTTATCTATAGAGACTGCATTAAAGCCCAATTCGTCTGCAGATGCCTAACTGGTAGAGACACCGCCCAGCAACTACCCTTCCCCAAACAGATATCCAGACCAAGATGCACACAACAGGACAGAAATCCATCCCCAAGTGGGTCAGCCAAGAGCTGTGCAGTCTCACAAGTGCAAGCATTAAACGTGGGGGAGGGAAGGAGATCACAAGTGCCCCAGTGCACAGACCAGGCCAGGATTCCAGCATCTTGCCTAACAATGCTGGAGTTGTCAAGAAGCTCACACATCTCAGCCTGGCACAAATGACCGGCACTGTCTAGATATTCAGAGCTGATTGCTGCCACGCACCACCCCCCCCCACCCCCCCGCCAGAAGTTCCTGACTCAGGGAAAGACACATTTCTCACTTGGCTTACTTCCTGTCTGAGAAACAACCATGTGTAGATAACACAGCAAGACACACTGTGGGAGTCTCCTTTAGGGAGTTCACAGGAGCTAAGAAAAAACAGCTCTGCGAGCTGACACCAGACCAGTCATGTCCCCTTGTTCTGAATAATGGGTTTATCTGTTCATCTCAAGGAGGTAATTTTTAATCATTTGACACTTGGTATTAGACATGGTTCCCTCAAATGGGCCCAATGAACCCCAAAACCACGGGTTTTTTTTTTTTTTTTTTTTTACTATATTATACCACATATGAAGTAGAGGACACAGAGCTGCCCTCCCTCCAAAAAGCTTAAGGAAACCATGAATCCTGCTGGGTGATCGTGGGAAAAGTTATCCCTCATCTCTAAGAAGCATTTCACACATCTTTAGGAATGCCAGTCCTGTGAGGTCAGAGCTTTCTAAGCAGCAAAGGAAACACAACAGTGTGACCTGCTGACAGGTTTCCTATTTGTTTGCCCAGTTCCTATTTGTTTGGCCTTGAGGGCAGATGGTCTACCAGAATAGACAGGCAAGCGTCAACTCTAGTCAGCTATCGCCACACTCACCTGAGCTTGGCCTGCCATCTCAATGCCAGCATCAAGGAATTCATCAAAATCGTCACTAAACTTTCCAGAGGCTGCGGCCAGCTCTCCGCTCTGGCCCCGGGTGGCATGGACCACTTCCCCAGCAGACTGGTTCAGATCAGCCGCTGCTTGGTTTAGTTCACTCTGGGCTTCCTGGAAAGGTTTCGTGCTGGGAGGTAACTGCAACGGAGAGAAAAGGCAAACCCCTTAAGACATTTTACTTCGAATCAGGGAAATGAAGGAAGGTCCTGTGGAGGGAAAAACTCCAGGGATGCACTGCTGAATCATCTTGATTCAAAGACTCTGGGTGGTCTGAGCCCACTTCTGTTAAGTCTGACCTTTAACATACAGACATTATTTCATTCACTTAAATTTACTCAACACCTATTCAGTGCTAGACATGGTGGATTTAAAAATCCACCTGAGGGGGCTACAGGCCCCTCAGTAGCAGAGCCAGGATTCACACCTGGGCAGTCTGACTCCAGGATCCATGCTCTGAGCTACCACTCCATTTTGGATGGAACCTCTCAAAGGTTTAGCTTTCTAGAAATAAAAAGACAGATGCCTTTAAATGTCAAATCCTATTCTTCCAAACTAAGAGCCATCAATTTTTAGTAACCTTTGCTAACATAGCTTTTGGGTGGATCAGAAGTGTCATTGGTGGGAGTTCCAGAGAGTGAAGCTAAGCTCTATTAGTCATATCATGTACTCTGCTTGCATACCTGGTATGTTCCTGGCACCAGGCAGAGAAGAAATGAGTCCGAGCCTGCCGCTGAAAGGGGCTCACAGAACATGGAACAAGCTCCAAGAGCAAGTAGATTCCTTAGGCTATTCACTCTAACGTCTTGGAAACACATGTCCCTCCACCAGCTGACTGTCATCACCAGAGATGTCCTGGTATTAAGTCACATGATTGCATACCCACCTTTCCTGTTTTCACTGGGATGACCAGAGCGCCAACAGCAACAAGGACTCAAAGAAAAAGTAAACACCTAGGAACTTTGCTGATGGCAAAGCAAAATAAGGAAAGGGAAACTGGGAGACAAAACAGGATTCCTGAAACAGGTTCGCTCTTCAGAGATCCCACAGAAGGGAGAAGATTCCCTCTCACACCTCAAGTGAGCCCAGTCCCCCAGATGCCCCTTCTCACTGCAAAACCTCTCACCGAGTCCACAAGCAGCTTCTTGCTGGACTCGCCAATGCTCTTCAAGGCCACGTCCACATCCTTCTGTCCAGGGAGACAATTCACGCAGTTATTCAAGGAGTGTGAGACGGCTTTGGCCACCTGAATACACAGAGGGAGAAAAGCTCAGTAAGAGAGCAGTTTCGGTGCAAACAGTGTTGCAGATGTGTGTGGAACCAGCAGTGACAGTATGCAGAGCTGGAAAGGATGGGGAAATTATCTGCCAGCATCCAGCTGACACCATTTACCATTAAATCACCTCATCAGGGCCTCTCACTGGGGTTAACATTCTGTCTTGGCAAAGGGTCAGGCACAGTGATACGGTACACCTTACATGCACCCCAGCATCGGGCTAAGCACAACTATGTGACTCAAACACAAAAGTCTCCAATATTACATCAGGTTCTACAACAAAGATAGCCACCACCAAGAGGATAGAAAGGGCTCCCTTCTTGAGAGCCCTGTTGGGGACACAGAAATGGAAGGAGACCCTGAGTTCCTCAGGTCAGAGTTAGGTATGATTCTCTCTGTGACACTCTGGTGCCATCACACTCATACCATACCCCACCCAAGAGCAGGTGGCTTCCAGACCAACCTGGGAGTTGCCCACATGCTGCCTCTTTAGGACGTATGAGGGCTCACCATTTGCACTCTTCAGAGTCCTCAGGTAAAGGGTAAGATCTTTGGAAGTGGGCTGTGTCATTTCCTTTAACCTAAACCATGTTCCCAGCTTCTGGTCTAGAACTTTGCCTAGATGGTCTCTAGCCCGCTAGTTTCATTAGGCTGGCAAAGACTCATTCAAAGAGGCAGTAGAGCGAGTATAAAACTTTGACCAGACTAAGTATATCTACCTCCCCTCCCAAACTAGGAAGAGGAATATACTTAAGCATATACGGATCCCAAACAAACTTGCTGTGTCCTGGCTCCCAAAGTTCCAAGGACAAATTTCAACAGAGCCCCCCCCCCCCCATACTCTTTGTTGACTCAATTAAGCAGATCTATTATGGGGAGTACCAAGCAAGATTTATAGAAGTGGGTATTGTGTATGGCCAGCATCGGCATAGCACTTTGGGAGGTTTTGAAAATACCCACTGATTGAAAAATGTTCACACCAGAGAAAGAATGCCCAGGGGACGACAGCCTGTGAACATGACCACCTTACTGACGATCATAATTGCCAATTCTGGGCCTCACCTGGGCTAGTCTCTGCTGACTCTCAGCATCCCCAGGGGCAATCAGGGCCTGCTTGGCTTCTTGGATGAGCATGGCTGAGCCTTCCATCACGTCTCGAGCAGAATCTAACATGGCATGGGCAGCTGCAGGATCATTTGTGGATGCGGCCACTCCACGCGCAGCCTGGGCCAGTGTTTTTAGAGCTTGGGCTGTTTCTCTTGCGGCCACTCCTGGGGATAAAAGTCCACCACACTTTCTATTAGATTCCATCTAAAAGTCATACTGTACTTGAAAATAAGCCTCTAGAACACAGCTTCTTAGAAAGGAGAGAACCTTCTGAGACATCTTACTTTTCATAAAATTTGAATTGCTATGCTTCTCAAAGTAGCAGCCTATACCACTGGCTCTGGTCCAATCTAAGACATGCTAAACAAGTGCCTTGCTAAAAATGACTTTGCTCTGGCTCCCCTCATACACTCTGCCCTGCAGGTCTGCAGACCTAAAACACCATGTGCAGGGGATCAAGTACACCGAGGGATTATTCAGATGCACTTTTCTTCCCAACTGTTTTTATTGGGGCAGGACTTACATACAATAATGTGAACAGTCCACATGTGCAGTTCAGTGAATTTTTACACATTTACAATCACATAGCTACCATCCAGATGGAAGACAGAGGAGTTCCATCACCTGTGCCCATCCTCAGTCAAGAACCTCTCATACCAGAAGTAGCTTTTTATCACCATTGACTAGTTTTACCAGTTCTCCAATGCCTTGATGATGGGACCTCAAGCATGTATTCTTCTGTGTCTTGTTTCTTTTGCTACCAGAATGCTAGGAGATTCACCCATGTTGTTATATTCATTCTTTTTTCTTGCTATGTAGTATTTCATTACACAAATGCACTATTTGTTTATCCACTCCTCTGCTGATGGACATTTGGACTGTTTTGTGTTTGGTGCTATTATGAATAAAGCTACCAAGAAAGTTCCAATATATACATCTAGGTGGACAGATGGAATCATTTCTCTTGGAACTGAACTGCTGTCATAGAGCAGGTTTAGCTTTAAAGGACACTCTAAAAAGTTTTCAGAATGGTTTTACTATTATACACTCCACCACAACGTATGAGCGTCCCAGTTGTTCTACATCCTAGCCAAAACTAGCTATTGTCAGACTTCTTGTTTTAGCCATTCTGGTGGGTGTGCAATTATAGCTTACTGAGGTTTAACTCTTATATCCCTAAGGAATTATGACATTGAGCACTTTTTTATACACTTAGTGGCCATCTGGATAGCCTCCTTTGTGAAGTGCCCATTCATCCTTAAATTCACTTCTAAGGATGGTGGGATTTGGTGATAAACTATGAACATAAACTAGTTCTCAAAAACTATAGCACCACCCCCCACAGAATGAACACAATCTTCCCGACATGGTACCCAGTGCTTGGCATACCCAAGAAGATGAAGGCTAGAAATGCCAGAGCATTTCATAACAAGAGAATCTGAACACCCTGAGAAACACAGAAGAGCCCACCTTAAGGCGTATCTCACCAAACTGCTTCCTAGATGAGGTCCAGCACTGAGAGGTATCTTGTCCATGACACACTTTCAGAGGCAGTGTCAGAGCTAGGATCTGAGGATCCTTAACTTCTGGATCAGACTCTGCACAGTGCTCTTCGGGGTAGAGAATTATGACAGATTCTTTTTTTTTTAATTTTATTTATTTATTCATGAGAGACACAGAAAGAGAGGCAGAGGGCCCAGGGATCATGACCCCAGCCAAAGGCAGACGCTTAACCACTGAGCTACCCAGGTGCCCCACTATGAGGGATTTTTGTTAGAACATATACCATATGAAAATGACACATTATTTCTCTCTCAGCTTTGAGGTGACTTGTCCAAAGGCTTCAGCTGGATGGTCTCTGGGCGCCAGTGAGACCACCTTTCACCAGCTGTTGCTTCTGCTGTGTCAGCAGAGACACAGCAGGTGGTCCTCTCCTTACTGAGGACAAGGCACCATAATACAATTATGTGAAAGGCCCCCCCATCCATAAAACAAGACAACTCTGCAGTGCTGCAGATTGCTAATCTGTAAATATTTAGTAAGTCACACAGCTGGGACGTAACTCTATAATCTAATCAGGGCAAATTACAAAGCTGCCAATCTACCATTTATCACACGGCACTTCTGAATGGAACATGTGGGATGGAAGAATTTTAAACAAAGTGGTTTTTTTTTCTTTTTTATGGCAAAGGGGAAGCTCAGGAGAGAAAACACAAAGATAAATAAAGTGAAGGTGAAGGAGAGAAACAAGCTGAGCAGAACAGTCAATTCCTTTTTATGTCTGAGCTTCTGGCACAGAGTTGAAAGATGCCCTTGCTCAGAAAGGCACCAGATGTGGTTAAGACCTCATCTAGCTCTGGCTCTGCTGCTGATTAGCTGTGTGGCCTAGACTGCTGCCTTTTCCCTCGGGGCCTCCGGTTCCCACAGGCTTTAGGAGAGGCTGAGATCACTGCTCTGTTGAAAATTCTGGGTGTGATTTCTAGACATCTCTTGCCTTTCCATTTATTATACAGTCTCCTGGGGCCATTTCTATTTGAGCTGTATATGACTTTGAAAGAATAAAACATTTATCATACACAATTAGAAAATTCATGTTTATGCAAAAATCATTTACTGAAAAACCTTTTATAGAGCCAGACAATTTTTTAAAAGGCAGAAACCAGAGGAACTGAATGCCAAAGCTTAGGCTGATTTATCCCATGTGTTTTCCACTGAGGACTCACTAGGAAATCTCAAGGCACCTCAAGGATCCTCTTTGGAGGGATCAGGTTTCCAAAAAGAGGAAGCTACACCATCAAAGAATGAAACAAGATGACTAGAGGCCAGGGAGCCCAATGAACATCTATGGCTGTACACACAGCTCAGTTCAGAGCAACTTCTCAATGGTAGTGATGATACTCATATGGGTCAGGTCTCCAGGCAAACACCAAATGAAAATGTTCCTAGAGTCCATGGTACATTATAAAGCCAGAAATACCAGTGGGAAATACAAAAGCAGATCACTGTGGCAATAACCAGTGAATAACCACAATTCTTTGAAGACACAGATTACTTTCAGTCTTCTGGACCTTAAATTATGTTTAGGAACAGAGCCTTAGGAAGATAGATCAGTGATATGCGATGTAGTGAAATGCTCTGTAATGGTGCTTATTGTTGATTAGCATTCATGTAGGTTGTGTACAGACAGCACTAGACCACCTGGCAAACTTACAAGGTAAAAACCTGGTATGACATAGGTTTTTAATCTGTTACACAGAATCTGAAAAGGGGTCTATACACAACTGTATTCAGCCAAGCAGAAATGTAGTTTGAATACTGCCCTGGCCAAACAAAAACACATCTATGTTAGAATCCAGCCAGTCGGCAGCTCACATGTAACTCCTGAATATCCCGCATACCTCCCTTGAGGATGCAAGGAGAGCTGAGGCCCTGGGGAGAAGATGTCCACATGTGCGCTCTCTCCTTGCTTCCAATCTATTCGCCAACTTGCTTCACTTGCCTTCAACAAGAAGAGTGACTCTGTTTTCCTCAAAATCAATGGATGCTTCTTCCTAAGTCTCTCAGACGACCTTCTGGGTAGCAACCATCTCTCTGACTCTAGAGATATCTCTTTCCCAGTTTCCTCGCTCTTCTCCAAGGTTCTATATGTTTTCACTTCTTTCAAAGATTTCTAATGCTGCTTAGATTTCTTCTTCTTAAATATTTGGGTTCTGCAGGGTTACATCTGACAACCTTCTTCTTACTCTACTATTCCCCCAGGCAAACTTATCTACTCTTCCACAGTTTCAATTATTATCATTGTATTAACATTAAAAATCGTTATCTCCAGCCCAGCTTTCTCTATTGAGTTCCAGAGGCAAATTCCTAGCTGCCTAATGGGCACCTGGACTTGGGAGATCCTACAGATGCTTCAAACTGAATGCATTTACAGGTGAACCTAGCATCCCTAGACTCTAACCCATGCCACACCTGCCCATGGCCTGATGTTTTCATCATGGTAATAAACACACATCTTCATTTGGCCCAGGCCAAACACTTAGAGCTGTCCACGTTGCTTTCCCTACTCCCATTCTGGCCAGTTCCTGACCAGTCTCTAACAGCTTTTAGGTCTCTCTTTTAATCCATCCCTTCATTCCTGCTACAGGTCACGCTCATCTCTCACGTGGATGAAGGCAGCAGCCTTCACACTGGTCTCACTGCCTTCAACTTTGTTTCCCTCCAATTTATCTGCATACACGAGGAAGGGCAACCTATTTAAAAGACAATCTAAACCATGTCCATGGATGAAAACTCTTCTATGTTTTCACATGCTCGTAGATTAAGTTTTCAATGATTTTAAGTTGGTTTATCTGATCTAGCTGCCCTTTCCAGGCTTAATGTCTTGCCTTTTACATGAATCCTCTTCAGATCACTTTGTCAGCCTTCTTTTACCTTTGGAACTTACCACTGTTCCACTTTCCCAACCACCCATTCAATTCAGTACCTGCCAAAACTAAATGGGACTATTTCTAGGCTGCTTTTCACACACAGACTAGACAGTCTGTCATCCTGGATGTTATCAGTATGAGATGATGCAACCTGTAAAGCAGCCTTCCTTCTGCTAAAGAGTCACTTCATCAGCTACACCAAATCTGGCAAGATTCCAAAAATGTGTAGAAATTTTTGAAACTCGTACCTCTCATGTGCCCTCTGTTTTGTAGGAATTTATAAATACTTTTCCTTTTCCTTGAATGCTAAACGAACACTAAGCAGTTCTTAAAACCCTGATCAGATGGCCAGTTTACTCTTTACACTTTCCCTTACTCTCCTATTAGGATAAAATTCTTATTACTGCAAGTATTATACTCTAAAGAACCCTTTTTGTGCTCCTATTGTCCCTATTCTGAATGTAATAAATATACACAGAGGGATAAGATTTAAAAAAAAAAGAAGAAGAAGAAGAAGAAAGCACAGGGTTGGGGAGCAGATACAGGGTTGCTTTTTCCCCTAAAAGCATTCCTTCATTTGTACACTGTTGCCCAGAAGCTGAGCAAAACCTCCTGCAGTCTCATGGGGATAGGAGGATTAAAAGTCACCCTTCTAATAAGCCCATGGAAGAGAACAGCCCTGGTAATCATCACAGATGTTCTTATGGGATACACAAAGGGCTATGCTCTGTAAAACCAAATGGAAATAGCACAATTTCCAACCAGCACAGTCCCTGCTCATATTATGTTGATCTGCCTAGGTGTTCACTACATGCCAGAAACAAAGAATAATCCTCCACAGGGAAAGAAACACAATCCAGAGCTTCAAACTATCTCTTTAGTTTAAAATACCACTGTCTAGCATTAAATTAAAAAATATCAGAAACACCAGGAGGAAGACCAGCAGCTGAAAACTAAGAGGAGAGAAATGACAAACCAGGAATTCAGGCCCACAGGTGATCCCGACATCAGAATTATTGAACCAGGACTTTCAATAACTCATGGTAACTATGTTGAAGAAATTAGATGGCAAGATAGAAAATCAGCAGAAAAAAGGAGGATTTAAGAAAACTATCAAATGGCTATTCTCAAACTGAAAAATAGGACATTTTAAATTAGAACCTCAGAAAAGGGGCACCTGGGTGGTTCAGTGGTTGAGCATCTGCCTTCAGCTCAGGTCATGATCCTGGGGTCCTGGGTCCTGGGGTCCTGGGATGGAGTCCTGCATTGGGTTCCCCTGTGGGGAGCCTGCTTCTCCCTCTGCCTATGTCTTTGCCTCTCTCTCTGGGTCTCTCATGAATAAATAAATGAAATCTTAAAAAAAAAAAGAAGAAGAGGTTAAAAGCAGAATAGACATGGCTAAAGAGGCTAAAGAGAGGAACAGTGAGCTTCAGACTGATCAAATGAGAATATGGAGGATAAAGTATGGAGAAGAAAAAATCACAGCAAGTACAAGAAAGATTAAGAGACACACAAAACAGTGGAAATGCCCAACATATATGGTAACTGGAATCTACAGAGAAGAGAAAAAAACTGGGGTGGAAACACTATTTGATAATTCAGAGCATGAGAGTTTTCTAAAACTGACCTAAGACAACAAATCCCATTTTCAAGCAGTACTACAAACCAAAGCAGAATAAACACCCAATAAAACTTCTAAATGCACAGTGCTTTAAAACAGACTGAAAAATTTAAAAAGCTAGTAGAGGGGAAAAATAAAACCATATTACCATCACAAAAGGAGACTGACACCTGACTTCACAACAGAAATAAAGGAAGCCAGAAGACGATGGAATAACATCATCAAAGTTCTGGCAGAAAAGAACTACCACCTTAAATTTTATAAGTGAAATTCTCTACCAAAGATAAAGGCTAAACAAAGGCAGTTTTAGACAAACAAAAATGGACAGACTTTGTTACTGTTAAAGTCACAACGAAGGAAGTGAGGGGACTTCTTCAGGCAGAAAGGAAATAATCCTTGCTGGGGGCACATGGTAAGAGAGTAAGCTTAATTAAAGAACACTGAAAACGGTAAATGTGGAGGCAAATCTAAAGGGATACTGACTGTATGAAACAATATGGAGACTGTATGGAGACGATTAAAACATCTGTATTATAGTACACAACAGTGACAACACAGAATGAGCTGGAAGAAAGGTAAAGGGAGTTCAAGTGTCCCAAGACTTTTACACTGTCCAGGAAGTATACACATACTAACTTATATTAGACTTCTAAAAATCATAGAATAGTCAATGAATATAAAACTAACAAGCTAATCAAGGAGAGAGAAACAGAACCTAACAGATACATATGAATCTGAAGAAAGGCAAGAAAGGAGCCCAGGATAGATAAGGCATTCAGAAAACAAAGGGTAAAAGGATAGATTCAAACTCCAATGTATCAGTAATTACATTACAGGTAAATGGAACAAATATTCCAATTGAAAAGAGACTGAAGAGCCTCAGTGGCTCAGTCAGATAAGCATCTGCCTTCAGCTGCAGTCATGATCCTGGATCCTGGGACTGAGGCCCATGTTGGGCTCCCTCCTCAGTGGGAAGTCTGCTTCTCCCTCTTCCTCTGCCACCCGCACCCCCCACTCCTGCATATGCCCTCTCTCTTTCAGATAAATAAGATCTTTAAAAAAATTTTTTAAAGAGATTGTTGTATCAACCTCTCCCTCTGCAAAAGAACTACATGATGCCCACAAGATACAAGTTAAATAAAAGCATATAGAAAAACTGAAAATGATGAGATATATCATGTACATTACAATGAAAACAAATGTGCAAACTATATGCAAAAAACTATAAAATATTATAAGAAAAATCTAAGTACGTGGAGGGACATGCCATATTTGCAGATAAGAAACCTCAAGAATGTGAAAATGCCACTTACTCCCAAATTAATTCAGTGTAAATCCAGTTAAAAAAAAAAAAAGAAAAACAGGAGAGTAGAAACTAACAGGCTGATTGTAGAATTTATGTGGAAACACAAAGGGCTAAGAATAGTTAGCACTACTTGAGAAATAACAAAGTCAGAGGACTTACATAGCCAGATATTAATAGTGAAAAATTGCAGTAATTAGGAAAATGTGCTACTAAGGGAGGGACAAGCAATTAAGTTACTGGAAAAGCAGCAAAAGATTAAAAACCAATTTTCATGTAGATTTCACTTAGCAACAAAGCAGCATTGAAGACCACTGGGAAAGTGAAGATTTCTTCAGTGAGTGGCGCTGGGTCAAACAGATATCCAAGGGAAAAAGCAGTAAGGACCCTCTTTGCTCATATACAAAACCCAACTGCAGATGAATTGCAGTTCTAAGTATAAGAAGTAAAACAACAAAGCTTCTAGACTGTAATAGAAGAGATTACCTTAATGATTTTGGAGAGGCAAATTTTTTTTTTAAAAGACAAAGTTAGTAACCACAAAGGAAAAGCATTATAAATTGAACTATATTAAAATTCTAAAAAATCTGTTCATCAAGAAAAAGCTTTGAGAGTGAAAGGTAAGCCCCAAGACAAAAAAAATACACATAAGTGAAGAATTCCTATAACTAAGACAAAGGTAACTCAAGGTGGTTGTTTTTTAAAAGAAAAAAAAGCAAAAGGCAGGAACAGACACTTCACAAAATGTCCAAATGGCCAATTAATATGTGAAAAACTCCTCAATTGCATTGCTCATCAGGACAATACAAATTAGAGCCAAAATACGATACTACTACACACTCAGCAGAACGGCTAACAACATTGGCTGACAACAAAAAGTGAAGACAAGAATGTGAATAATTGTAATGTTGGGCAGTCCCAGGTGGCTCAGCGGTTTAGCGCCTCCTTCAGCCCAGGGTGTGATCCTGGAGACCCGGGATCGAGTCCCACATCGGGTTCCCTGTGTGGAGCCTGCTTCTCCCTCTGTCTGTGTCTCTGCCTCTCTCTCTTTCTCTCTCACTGTGTGTCTCTCATGGATAAATAAAAATAAAATTCTTAAAAAAAAACCCTGTAATGTTCACACATGGCTGGCAGGACATGGGTGGACATTAGCATAGTCTGGGACCCAACAATTCCATTCTAGGTATCTATTTAGAAAATGCTTATCTATGTTCACTAGATAGCATGTACTAGAACAACTCATAGCTTTATCCATCGATGGTATAAAGAGTCACCAACAGGTATATATACATAATGAAATATTACAGTAAGCAACACAAAGGAAAGAATTGTTTCCTACATCACATGCATCGCACATCAGAATGCCAGAGAAAGCAGTGAAAACACACAGACACACCTTACACAATTCCATTCATAGTTACAAATAGGCAAGTCAACTTGTGCTGTTACAAGTCATGGGTGTTTACCTCTGGGGGACAGGAGGAAATATAATGATTGGCAGGGAGCACAGAGCATATCTGGGTGCTGAAAATGTTCCACTGCTTGATCTTGGTGGTGTTTTTTTTGTGTGCATTCAAGGTATGATAACTCATGAAGGTATACATTTAGGACTTTAACAGCTCTCTTTTAGATGCTTACTTCAGTAACAACATATATTTTAAGAAGTCAAACAGTACTACTGTATAACAAAAGCAACAATCTAGAACCACTCCTTCCCATCCCATTCCCCTCCTAGAGCCACTCCGCTCTTTGAGCTTTCTTCTGACACATTTCCTATTTCCAAGTAATGGGCCTGTAATGAAACTTCTCAATGATTCCATTTTAGGTAGCTAGAGTCTTCCTATTATACCTATTTCCTACTAGGAAGACATTTCCCTATATAACCTGGTGTTTTTCCTAGAGTTGATAATTATACGATCTGTATCTTTTATAGCCTCATGTTTAGGGGTGTTTCCTGTCCATACGGATAGCTCATGTCTCCAATACTCAAATCCCTCAGGGTTTTGCAGCACATACTAGATTGTTTCTTGTGACTGTCTTATCCCTGGAGATCTTTAGTTTTTGTTCCCTGGCTCTATCAGCTACCACTCATGTTTCCTCCCATCTTCACAAATTTCACTGGCATCTTATTTGTTGCCATCTTTTTCTTTTTGACTTTTAAAAAAAAAAAATTCCTTTAATTTAGTGAGATTTCAAGAGTTATACAGAGATAGTCCTAGAAGTCTATAATTACAGTCTCTTAGAGTCTAGAAGGGGTGACCCACAAATAATTTGGGGCATTCATATTTTATTCCTCTTTGTATGCTTAGTATCAAGCCCAATAATGAAGCACATGAAAGTGCTTGAAAAAATCTATAAATTGCTGTTGAAAGACAAAGTCAGGTTCATGGTCAAACCAATGAACTCTAGCTGCTGACCCCCAACACCCACCCCAGCAGTCTATATCTGACCACAGGGCAGCACAAAAGGTGTGAGTCTCACCTGTGTAGTGCTCATTGCCTTGGGCAGCACAGGTCAGGAGCTGTGCCATGGAGGAGCCCACTGCCTTGGATGTACTTCCTAGGTCTTGAGCGCATTTTTCCAGCTAGAAGAGTTTTCAAGGCGGAAGACAGTTTAGAAGAATGGCAACATACACTGAAGTCTTAGCACACAAACAATGCACGTCAGACCGTGGCTCTTAGTTCTTTCCCACCTAAGAGTAAATAGTGTGACAGAGGGGAAAGAGCCCATCCTTCATAATAAACAAATCTGGGTTCATGCCCCTGCCCTCTGCTTCTTGCTCCCAAATGCTAGCTGTCAGAGACTGGGCAGGTTGCTGAATCTCTCCATGCCTCAGTTTCCTGAGGAGATCCTAATACTTCAGCTCAGAAAGTTCTGAGAATCAATGACAGTACTCAGCAAATGGTAGCTATTAGCATCATGTCTTTAGAAGCTAATTTAGAAAGTCTGCAACAAATCCTTAGTGAGAATTAATTATGCCTTGGCAGGAAGTGGGCAGACATCCAGCGGTACCGCCTTCCTGGCATGTGGGACCATTAACATTGTTCATTTCGATCTTTATACTTCGAGGAGTTCTAACCAGAAGGAAATGCAATAGAAAGAGAGGTTTGCCGTGGTAAATGAGATTATGAAAATGGGCAAAGTGCTTGCTTCCCATGAACAGCACGTCATCTTGCTTTATAAACTGAATAAATAATTCAGAGAACAAAGTTACTGAAAGCCCGGGGTAAGAATAATTATTTGATTACTAGATGAGGGCAACATTTTGGAACAGAACCTCCAGGCATACCGTGAGAGGCAGAAAGGCATCAGAGAATGTGTTCATTTTTTAACTCTACAACATGCTTCCCAAGACAGGCAGTGCCTTCCAATAAGAAAGAACCTGTAGCCAACAGCATGTTCAAGCCAACAATCTGTTCTAACATAGCACATACATTCTTTTGGGGCAAACAATTTCCTTAGAAATTACACGGGCTTTCTTGTATTCTAATGGACCAGCGGGTTTCTGTGAAGGCAGAATTCGTGTCCTGTCAGCCTGTCTTGGGGTCCCTGGAGTACAGGAGTTTGCCAATGGACACGTGGACTGCATTACAAAGCTGCTGGCCCTGCAGCCAGTCCTGACTTTATCATTACTGGGTGACCTTAGGTGACTTGGCTTCTCGGAGCCTGAGTTTCATCTTTACAATTAGCAGTAGCTTGATTTCACAAATATTTTCTGAGGGCTTCCTATGAACACTTGTTCCATGGTAAATTAGGTACTCCATAAGTCTCTTTATATCCTACAAGTTTGCAGTTCATCCAAAGGGCAGCAGTAGTCAAAGTAGAAGCTCTCAATGTGAAGGATCAAGAGCATGGGTTGTGAAGTCCTGTTGGTTTGGCTTTAAACCCTGGCTCTACTATCAGCTGACAGATACTACCTCTTCACCTCTGTATTCTCAGCTGTAAAATGGGATTAACAAAACTCGCTCATCAAGGTACCATCAGGATAAATTACACTGATGTGCCTTGACAGTGCTTATGAGATACTTACCAAGTGGTGGTATTTATTAGCAATGTTCAATAATGTGGAAAAGGTGGTACACACGAATGAGAAGAATTGATAAAATTTTAGCCAAGAAAACCCTGGCATAGGCATCAAGAGGCACTATAACATGATCAGATTAGAGCGAGCTTGTTACCACCATTCCACTGGCTATGGTGGTTGTACTGTATTAAAGTACCTTCCTTTTGTCCTTCCTAGTTGTCTTGCACTAAATGTTTTTTCGAAACATGACTATTGAAAATATTATCTATGTCTACCTTTATAACCTTATTGCTATCTATTTAACAGATAAAATATCTGAGACACAGAGGAGATCCAAGACTTGTCTACAGCTAGTTGAGGATACAAGCTAGAGCTAGACTCTAGAACTCCTACTTTTAAAACTAGCTCCTCCAGCCACACCAGACATTCTTTTCAAAAAATGGCTGTGGGATCAGAACTGGCCTCAAACACTAGGATGTGTTTTGTTTATGAAAAAGAGTGACAGACACTTGTTCACCCCAGCCAAGCTTCAGGAAAGCAAGACACAGAACTATTACTAGGGGCCCCTTCCAGGACATCTTTATCTCAACACAGTTCTTAAAAATGGGGCTATTCTAGGGTTTTGCCTTCAAAATGTGTGAGATTCAGGCATATCAACTTCAGCTTCTAAAAAATGCCTCACCATGATCTTAACATGAGGCAGAGTTCCACCCTGCAGTGGGCTCTAATATCTCTTACCGTTTCCCCTGGAAGTGGTTTCAGCTGACTCTCCACAGCAGCCATCTTGGCATCCTGCAGTTCATTCTTGAGTGTCTGCACGGTGCTCAGGGCAGAATCAATTTCCATAGGACCACAGGCTTCGTGGGCCTGTCAATAGAGTTGGGAATATGTGTACAGTCTGCCTGGGAAAAGTGTTCCTAGGACTTTGCAATGTACAAAATGTCTTTCTGGATGTCCCCAGTGATTCTTCAACCCTGGCAACAGAAAGCAAGTGGAGCGAGCATTTCCTGAGAGAGCAAAACCAACCTCAGCCAGTCCTAACTTCTCTAAATAATCAATTATGTAGGATTCATAAGTACATATACTTAACGTCTCCTTGAAGCTATTTTTATCCAAAATGCACTTGTTGCTCAGACTAAGAGGATCCTTCTTCACTGTGTGGGCACATAGAAGCTTGAGAAGCACATGGTGAATGGTTGAAGAAGGAATGAATGAACGAACCCAGGACTATGGGAACAAGTCTTTCTCAATCTTATTGATTTTCTACAAATTTCTAGACTATAAACCATTGTCTCCCCTAATACTGAAATTTACAAAAGATTTTCTTCCCTTAGCAATTGTTTTCAGAAAACGATTGCAATTCTCTTGATCATTTAAAATATTGACCTCGGGGATCCCTGGGTGGCTCAGCGGTTTGGCGCCTGCCTTCGGCCCAGGGTGTGATCCTGGAGTCCTGGGATCAAGTCCCACATTGGGCTCCCTGCATGGAGCCTGCTTCTCCCTCTGCCTGTGTCTCTGCCTCTCTCTCTCTCTCTCTCTCTCTCTTTCTCTCCCTCTCTCTGTGTCTCTCATGAATAAATAAATAAAATTAAAAAAAATATTGGCCTCCAAATGCTTTGATCACATACCCTGATATACATGTTAATAAATTATATGTGTATAATTATTGATCAGTATTGTCAAATATTGGTAAATCTTGATTTCTTCTTTTTAGGTGGCAGTGACAACAGCAGCAGCAAATACTGACTCATTGCTATGTGCCAATATTACACAGTGAAGAAACTGAGGCATAGAGTTAATTAACTTGCTGAGATCACAAAAAATTAGTCAATAGCAAGGCTAGAATTTGAATGCAGGTAGTTTGATTGCAGAGCCTCTACTCTTAACCCTTCTACCATATAAAACAACATATTTAAAAGCTCTCAGTATCTTCTTACACCCAGTGGACAGTCTAGCTTGAGTCCCACTTTGAGGCTCATTGCTTCAGAGCAATTGAAGGGTGCATGTCTCTAGGACTCATTTGACAAAACTTGTAAAATGCAGATGTTCAGGCTCTATGACCAGGCACTCTTAGTTGCTCAGTGGGGAGACCTGGGAACCTGCATTCTGAATGCTCCCAGGTGATTCCAGTGTAGATGGTCCTTGGACCTCTTACTGAGAAACACGGCTCAAGATTTTTTTTTTTTAAATTGAATATAATCCTAAAGCTCTGGATATTGTTCTTTGGTGATATAGTACACTGTTCATATTAAGAATTCAAATCAGCTTCTAACCTTCTTCCCTTCCTCATGTATGAGGCCTCTTGTTTCAATAAAGGGATCACTAAAAAAAAAAAAATAAATAAAGGGATCACTACAATGAGGAGAAATGAATTCATGCCAGAACTTCATGCTAATAACATATCAAACAGTACAGTAATGAGGTCCATTGGTAATTAATAAGTGCTAGAGGCAGAAACTCATTAATCCTGAATTCTGTTCTATTGAGGATCTCGTTAAGGTGAATGCTTCCATGTAGGATGGGAAAAGTTTTCAGGGTGAGAAAGATAATATAAATGATCCCTCCCCTGAATAAATCTGCTGCCTAAATAATTTATTAAATTCACAAAATAATACCTGGAAGATACGATCACTTACTTTGGCCTACAATTTACCTGGCATCAAGGAACTGATGACTGTCTCCCCTAAGACTGTGAAAAACAGACCATTCCTTGTCCTGGGGTATTGAAGGGGAGCACGTAACCTAAAATAGTTTAACAAAAGTCATGTGTAACTGGAAGGTGATAAACTAAGTCTGGGAGATAGTGGCTTAAAATGGTAAAAGCTAATCTTATATATGGGAATCTTTTACTGATCAAGGAAATGGAACAGACAACTCTGCCCAGAAATAAGCCTGGCAGTATTCAGGTCCTGGGTAATACCCATCCCAGGTCATACCCAGTAGTAAGGCTTCCAAAGCTCTGTTCCGAATGAGCTAAATGCTGTGATAAGGGTTCACTTGCCTTCTGCGAGGCAGTACGCAGCTCCGCCAAGCTGGTGGCAAGGTTCTTGGCACATTGGCTCAGCTGCATGGCTGCAGCCTGGTCACTCACAGTGGGCACTGCTGCTTTAGCAGAGGACACCATCTTGCTTCCAGGCTGTAAAGAGATGAGTGGAAAGTGAATGGCTCCTGAGCAGCAGAAGTCAGAGAGTAGAGATGCAAACAGCAATGCTGCAAATCAGCCAGAACTTACTTTGCCCTGAAACAAGGAATATTAAAACCATCTAGACCACCCTTGAAAATCACTACCCCAGATCAAATACTCTAGGGCAGTATTTTCTAGAAATGTTAAGGAAAAAAAAAAAAAAGATGTGTGTCATTGAGAGGGGCAAAATTAGGATAGGGGCTTGAAATTCTCATTTAAAACAGATTTCAAATGGGCAGCCCAGGTGGCTCAGCGGTTTGGTGCCGCCTTCGGCCCAGGGCATGATCCTAGAGACCCGGGATCCAGTCCCACGTCGGGCTCCCTGCCTGGAGCCTGTTTCTTCCTCTACCTGTGTCTCTGCCTCTCTCTCTGCCTCTCATGAATAAATAAATAAAATCTTTAAAAAATAAAAAAGAGATTTAAAAAAGTTTATTTTTTTTTCAAAAAGTTTATTAAATATATTTCTTGTGTTTCTTAGAATAGCTCTTTAATGTGTCTCAGATATATCCAACAGACTACTTTAAAAAACATGGGCAGACAAAATGAAAGAAAATGACCTGTCACATCACATCTCACTACTCAGGATAATCTCACCATGCATGCATGGATGTCTGTGTGCATTATTTCCAAAAATAAGATCATATTATTTATTCTATTTTTCAAACTTCCTGTCTCACATATTCTATATTTTTAATAGCTGTGTAGTATTCACACCTCTTAATATTGCATGAACCAATATCGTATGCACCTCTTAATATTTCTCAATCCTGTTTTGTTGGGCTATTCCCTTTTCAGTGCATTAAATAGTATGATAAACAGCTTTGTAGCTAAAATTCTCATTCATTATTTTCTTTATATAAAACTTTAAAAGTACAACGTCTGGACCAAAGAATATACATTTTTAGGAGTTTTAATATAGATGTTATAAAACTGCTCTTAGTAAAGTTGAAACAACTTAAGTGTCAGAAAATAAACATTAATGACACAAGTTAATATTTTTAATATTTAAATAATACATGAGAATTCATTAAAAAAAAAAAACAGCCTGAAATGTGAGTAGATAACCTCACTGCATAAAAACAACTGAAACATGAAAATATTTAACATTGTGATAATCAAGGAAATGCAACATCAAACAATAAGAACTTCACTGAGAAATTGCCAACAACCTATTTTTTAAAAGCTTGATTCCCTAACTTGGAAAAGATGTATTAGAAAATGTGCTCCAAGCATTGCTGCATGTAAATTTAGATTCGTTCAGCCTTCCAGAAGAGCAATTTTGCAAGAATGAAGCTTAAAACCTACCAGTTTTTTTGGCCAATTCCATTTCTACTTATTTCTAACTCTGTCTTATAATTATCTGATATGTCTGTGATAGCAAAATTAATAGGATGAAAGAAAAGGATAAGTAAGAGTAGGGACAGAGTGGACTCTGGAACATGTACATGTCTGCATGACTCTATCATAATACCCCCGAAGCCTGCCAGTGATGGGGACAACAAAGCAGCTCCAGGCCTTCTAACCACCTAAATTAAAAGAGAAACACCTGTCTAAGCCACAATTCTCAATGTCCCAAAGATAAAAATAAGCCACTCGCAATCCTATTTCTAGGAATTTATCCTAATAATTCAAAAGGCGTATGAACATTTGAGCACACATAAGGAGTTTTATCCTATCACAGGTTGTTTATGATGGTAAATAATCGAAAACAACTTGTATGTCTACTGGTGAGGGAATAGCCAGAGTACAGCTGTACCCATATGATAGATTATTCAAAATAATAAATGCTCCTTATACAAAACATTAACATGAGAAACAGAGCCTACACACAACAAATCCCAATTTAGAAAAATCTATACATATACATGTATGTGTGCATGTAGTTATAATGTGAGGAAATAACATTAAAATGTTCATGTCCTATGTCTGCATGCTGGAGCTACAGCACTTGGACAATTAGCCCAACAGATGTATCAGTGAGTCCTGTAACCATAGATTCAACTAGAAAAGGATGAGGAGGAGTATCACTCCATCACATGAACTGTTCAGGAGATACAAGTAGACAGGAAGTGCCACGGGATTTGAATACAAGTAGTATGTAAAAAGGGAGTTTTCCACCACTTAATTGTCTCATTTTATTTTTCTTAAAATGAATCTATCCCTTAACTCACAAAGACTGGCTAATACTAATACAAATACTAATTATACAACTGCCACAAAAAAAGATCACACCTTTGGAGAAGATATACTTACCACTTCTTTTTTCCCCAGTTGGTGAATAATAGCATTAGACTCTCTGGAAACTGGCAAATGTAGAGCAATACCTAGTACCAGGCTGTTCAACAAAACTTGCAACATATTATACATTTTCCCTCACATAGGAGAAATAAAGATGAGACTCCCAAGAAAAAAATTATTATGGGCTGTCTCCCAGGGCAATTTCCCAGCATATTAGCATTTTGCTTGCCAAGCTAAATTCACCTCTCCTGAACATGGAAATATAATGGGAAGGCCTTCAAAGATCTGCTTACTGCAAAGACTTTGCTGTGGCTATACAACCAGGAATTCTTTTTCTTGAGGATAAAGGGCACCCTCTACCCCATGGCACAGGACTCTGGGCACAACCAAGGTGAATGCTTCTGTTACCTGGAGGAAGTTCTGGCTGGAGATGATGAGAGCCAGCTGGGCACTAAGGTCTTCTGCTTGGGCTTGGCTCCCTCTCACTCCCTGGACCAACTGGGGGATGTGATCAGCCACCGCCTACAGGAAGCAATGAAAATTAAAACAGAGTACACCCAGCATGGTGAATTACCAAAACAGGGTGGAAATGACCCCAGTGATGGATGTTTTTGGGCTGTGCTCTTCCACCTGGGCAATGCTTGTCCCAAACCTGAGATTTATCCACCACTTTCAAGCCAGTTGGTGAATCTTAAGACAGTACCTCTGGGTAGCCGTTGCCCACACATGCTCCACCCTCTGCTCCTGAAGGTCCCCACATTTTAAAGCACAGTACAAGTCTCTGTAAGGAGGTCTTACATGCATTTGCCCACTTGCAACTAATACCACCCTGGCTGATTATGGTTTAGAGCTTCAACACAAACCATTAAAGAACCTATACAATTTACCACCAGATAAACTCAAGTCATACAGTCCAATGATGGAGAAAAAAGAAAAATACTTAACTGCTAGCATCTGTCAGTGCTTCGAGTTCTCACTTTGCAGGTATGTGTTCTGTCCATCACCTTTCCTATCTCTATGGGTCTTCGTTCTCTGAGTAGCCCTCCTCATTTCTCAAACTCACAATTCCAATGCCCAGGGTAGAGGAGGGAGCAGCAGCATTTCTGAGGCGAGGCCACTTCAAGGGTCAGTCTCCCACAATGCCTTAGGAGACCAGCCTACTACCTTCTCTGTGTTTTCCCCTCTGTGGCCACTCCACACCTAACTGACCAGGTTCTCAATGGTCACAGCGCTGTGGCCTCCACTGCTGATGAAGGTCCTAAGAGTATCCCAGCATGGTGACCTATTTTTTTTTGGAACCCATACCAGCAAGGGTTAAAAAAAATATTTCCATGAGATTTTCCTCAGGACTGGCTCCAGTAATGTGGTTCACTTTCCTCTCTCCACTGTAATCTGATAAATTGTAAAGCTCTCATTTCCTGACAGTGACACCCAGACACTGAGTATCTTCAGGCTCTGCAAAAAGGGGAGGTGGTGGGGGCACTTGGGTGGCTCAGTTGGTTAAGTGCCTGCCTTGGCTCAGGTCATGATCCCAGAGCCCTGGGACTGAGCCTTGCATCAGGCTTCCTGCTCAGCAGGGAGCCTGCTTCTCCTTTTCCCTCTGCCTGCCACTTTACCTGCTTGTGCTGTCAAATAAATAAATAAATAAAATCTTAAAAAAAGGGGGGTGGGTGGGTACTTCACCCTGTAGTATTATCCTGGACACAAGTAGCAAGTACTCTCTGAGAAGGGTTTTCTGACCCATACTGGCAGCAGACTTGAGGCACCAATAACACACACCCTACAGGGGCCTGGCTCACAGAAAAACCCTGTCGTTCTACAAACAGTCCTGAGAACAGAGCCTTACTGCATCGTTGAGACTTTCCTGAGCACACTCACTGGGGGGGCTGGCCTCAGAGAATCCAGAATCAGGACCTGGGGGGCTCTGGGTGGTGTTCCTCAGAAGTAAAGCCATCTCTGAGGTAGAAGAACAACACCACTCACATGGGAACCATATCACAGAGCAGATGTGAAAAAGGAGAGATTGCAGTAAACTCTTAGAACCTTGGCACAGATACAGCTCTCCACTCAGTCCCCAGTGCTCACTGCAAAGATCTTCGGAAGACTCCAGACATACTGCCAACACGCGGGCAACGGTTATGCAATTATCAGTTGTGACTGGCACCATTCAGGGGTGTCCCGGGAGAGTGAACTCCCTGGAAGCAACAACAACGATGTTCACTGTGCCCTTTATAGCATGTTGGCTTCAACACGCTACCTAAGCCTGGCCCTTAGAAGAACAAATGCACAACAACAGAAAGCTCCAGCGCACACTGTCACTGGGCCAGACAGGATGAAATAAACCCTCCGGGTGCAATCAGCACAAAGCAGGGAATCAACCTTCCCATGAGCACACATGGAAGGCAAAGGCCCACCTTTCACAGGGAGAAAGGCACTCTGGAAATTCAATGCTTCATTACTATTTCAGAGCCCTAAAATGGCCTTGTTAATGATCCTCCTTGATTTGGTCTCCTGAACAGAAAGTAAAGAATCCAGACAAAGGAAAAGCGAGGCTGGAAAAAGTACTATACTCTCCCTTCAAACGCAGGCCATCCACTTATGAAAGAAAAACTAGATGTGTGTGTGCGTGCATGCGTGTGTGTGTGTGTGTACACCTGGAACACTGGAGCCTCAACAAACTGCATCAGGGGCCCAGATGATCAGCCTTAACTGAATTATGCCAGCACTTGGCCTTCTAATGCTATCAGTGTCATCTACAGCAGACCTGGCTCTCCGGCAGCCAGAGGCTCACCTTGCAGCTCTGCACCAGCTGCTGCTGGGCGGCAGGGTTCTTGTTGGACACTGCTGCGTTTTGGGAGGCGGCAATGGTCTGCGTGGCCGCGGCTGCAGCCTGCTTAGCTGCCACCTGGAGAGGAAAGGGACAGGAGGTGAGCCAGGCTTTCAGTGTGCCCTCACACACACACATCTCTACAAGCCCCTCCCACCGCAGGGTTGGCACAGAAGAGTTGCATGAGGAGGAAAGGGCACTCCGGGCCCAGACTCTCTGCCTTTTGAAGGCCACTGATGAGCCTCATCTAACTATGTCCTGTTATCTCCTTCTGGTTTACAATCCCTAGGACAAGCGATAAAGACAGGCACGCTTGAGAGCTCAAGTGTTCATTTGTCTCTCTCAAAAAGATAAGAGACAATTAATTCCAAGACCACGATGGCACTGATAAGTGGTATCAAGTCTAAATGATTTAGGGGATTTTTTTTCCCCCCACAAGAAGCACAAACGCTGGTATGCTCACGGCTCTCCTCTTGCCACCCGTGGGAAGCCTTGCTTCAGAAAGGCCCAGACTTCACCACCGGAGTACTCAACTGTGTGTGTTCTCTCACATCCTTCAAGAACAAGGAGGCCAGTTTTGTTCCAGAATCCCACAGACTCACATGGAGGGATTCATCAGACAGGTACATTCTCAGCCTCCAACCTCCCAAATTTTAGTGTGAGAGTCTCTCGTATATCTTTGTGACAGAACTTTATTTTCCTAGAGTTTGTGCCTATTGCTATTCCTCCCCCTTTTTTTTGCCCCAGAATAAATACAGGTTCTGAAAAACGACGAATGTGTTCTTATTCCCGCACCTTTAACCAAAGCGTGATTCCCGTTCTGCAGTATTTCCAAGTCCGTATTTTCTACTGGGGGTCCTGAAAGAGTCACTGCCTCTGACAAAATATACACATTTTCAGCTAAAGGTCCTTTCTGAACATGGGCATCCCTTAATGTCAGGGGGAAAACGAATTCCATTCAAGAATGCTAAACTCAGGAAAGATTCTGCTTACTGAAATCATGAGCTGAAGTTATTTTTCAAAGTGTCAATGTGCCACTGGACCTAAATGTACAATGTACCTAAAGGAACGTTTCAGATTGTTGAAGTACCTTAACCGTTCAACAGTATCGTTAATCTTGATTTTGCTTCCTCTGTAAGGGCATTACCTTATTAATTTGGTTGTTCTTTCAAATAATTCCTCGCAATCTAAAACAGACATCTGAGAAAACCAGCCTCTTTACCCACCTCCAAGCGGTTGACAATTTTTTTCTTGATGGCATTCTGGGCAGCGGCATTGGTTGCCACTCGAAGACCTTCTGCAGCTTCCCTCAGTCTCTGCTGCTGGTCCTCATTCTCTGGATTGGCTGCAGCCCCCTTGGAAAGCAGAAAAGAAAGATTCTGAGAGGTTCAAGGAATAGCATGCCACAGATGCAGAGCTCATACCTTCAGCTTTACTTTTTTTCTGGTAATACACAATATCTGGGAGAGTGCAAATGCTTCAAGCAGGATCTTTACATCATAAAGATGTTTCATCTCCCAACATCATAAAAATCTACCAGGAGGTGTTTCAAAACTGCACCAGTAAACAGGAGAAATCCAATGGTAATAAACACCTGAGATCATCACCTTGTAAATTAACTTGCCGTCAGATATCCGTGGTGTAAAGGATGTTAAGATAAATTTCACCCCTGCCCAAATCTCTCAGGGAGAATTTTATTTTAATTGGCATGACAGACACACATCACTGCAGAAAGATTCTCCTGTCTTGCAGTGCAGGTTAATGTGAATGGGCTAAGAATGTAGCATAAACAGGGGCATGGGTGCAGTGAGCAGGTGGACTGGGAACTCCATCCAAAATACTACAAGGAAGTCTTATTCAAGAAAGACCATGCTTAGAAACTGTTTTCCTGGAAAACCTGAGTTGGAGAGTAGAGCAAAGTAGAGCTGGTATTCCACTGTACCGAACTAACAAGAGATATCTCACGCCCCTTATTTTGGCAGGGAAAGAGAAAGGCACCATGCACAGCCCATGGCCACACCGTGTTGCTGTTCAAGTGTTTTAGGAATGCAAGTGTCGGGCAGCCCAAGTGGCTCAGCGGTTTAGCACCGCCTTCAGTCTAGGACATGATCCTGGAGACCCAGGATCGAGTATGATGTCAGGCTCCCTGCATGGAGCCTGCTTCTCCTTCTGCCTGTGTCTCTGCCTCTCTCTGTGTGTCTCTCATGAATAAATAAAATCTTAAAAAAAAAAAAAAGAATGCAAGTGTCTTAGGAATGCAAATGGATTTTATATAGATGGATGGAAGTAGGGAAAAGGCTAACAGTAATGTAGGAAGAGGATATAATTTTACGGCACAATAATTAACAAAGACTTAAAAGCACATCCAGTCATCCACTCCCACCTGCAATAGAAACAGAGATCGAGATTTTTCTCTCAGAGTCTGGATGTTGTAAGACTCATTCTTAGTGTAAACAGATGAATGAGTTTCTTTTCACGAACACTTTAAGGTGATAATATTTGCTTGCAAGGCGGAGACGAAGCAGAAACACACACGCCAATTATCGAAAATCAGTTTTCCAATGTCTCCACTTCCCAAATGCCCAACTTGCCAAATTGACCATTTACAAGAACCTATTTCTTTGAACTATTTATAAAAGTTATAGGAATTCATCCTGGCTGGAATGGTTTTAACATCTGTGACAAAAGTGTTTTGGCAATCCTTTTGAAGGGAATCTTCCGTTCTTTCAAACTGTAACCTAATAAATACTGTTCATTCCTCAAAAAAAAAAAAAAATCAAACTGTAACCACTTTAAGTACTCTTGATTTTGTGTTTCTAGCAACTAAAAAAATTCTGGTTTTGTATCTCATATGTAAAAGATTGGGAGACTTTTGTGTTATTTCAGGAGTTTAGGAAAACCATTTTATTTTCTTGGTCATCAGGTATTTAAACTACTCCTAATTTACCCTCCTTTGGTATTTTGGGCAGCACAGAACAACCATTCCTGCACTTGACTCTGAAGTGGGCATCTGAATCCTTCCTTAGCAACGTCTCTTTCTGTACATTAGATAGGCGGTACTAATCCTGGCCTGGAATCTTAGTTACTGATTATGAAATGTATTTTTTTCCTGCACATTAAATCTATTTTTTGAGCTCTAACCATCATAGGCTCTTCAACTTTCAACAAAATCCAGCAAATTAAAATACTGTCATGAAGTCCAAGTGACAAATTTTAACTAAAAGAATTTATGAAACACTTAACCATTGTCCCATCTGATATAAATAATCAAAAATAAATACTTAAACAAGTTTCTGGGGATCCCTGGGTGGCGCAGCGGTTTGGCGCCTGCCTTTGGCCCAGGGCACGATCCTGGAGACCCAGGATCGAATCCAACATTGGGCTCCCGGTGCATGGAGCCTGCTTCTCCCTCTGCCTGTGTCTCTGCCTCTCTCTCTCTCTCTCTCTTCTCTCTCTCTGTGACTATCATAAAAAAAAAGAAATTAAAAAAAATAAATTTCTAAAAACAAAAACAAAAAACAAGTTTCTGGTAACTTGATACATTCAATAAGGTCTGGTGAACGCTGCATATCTAGAAACAAATATACACACTGGCCCTGGCTCAATCTTGATTATGTGAGAGTAGGCTTAGTCTTCTTGAGTTTTAATTTGCCTATTTGTTAAATAGGGACTGATCAGATTTTACACTAAGGTTCTTTCTAATCTGCCAATTAATTTTTGTGCACATGAAATTTTGCTTAAAATGGCTATGCTTAGACTTAGAAGGGCTGGGGGCAGAATTCGTAAAAACCATAAAGAAATTAACTACTGCACAAAACCCTAGTATATATTTTTGGCTGAAAGGGATGGTTAAGGGCAGAGCTTCTCAGATGAAATAGGGCTTGGGGCATAAAGGAAGGAAGTTCAGACCCTGTCCACCCCTCCTTGGGTTTTTCTTCATCCCATTCATGAAATATCTCCAAGAAACCACAGTACCAAAGGGACTATAATAGTGAGTCAGTCATGGAAGGTCTATATGATTTGCCGCATGTCATAACACATTTTAAATGCAAGAATTCACACGCTAGGTAGCTTGAGAGGCACTGGTATTCTGTTGGAGGTCAGGGAGATGTGTGGGCTTTTAATGCATCTTAAATGCCTAGAAATACATTACACGTGTGATCTTAGGCATATGAAGTTGAAGGTGATTTTTATTTTATTTAAATTTATCTGCATTTTCTATTAATTCTACCAAAACATGTTAGGTGCATAATAAGAAAAAGAAAAACATAGGAAAATACAGCCTTCTCCATTTAATACAGTTCTCACCTAGAGATAGGCCTCAGAATCTCCTGTGGAACTGACTTGCATATACACACACAGCCTTACCAGTGACCTTGTGAATCAGGATCTTTGGGGGCAGAACTGAGACACGTGCATTTCAAGGTTTGGGAGGAGGGGCCGGGGGGGGGGGGGCTCTGAAACAGAGCCCTGGGATAAGAATCACTGGCTTTTAGAAGCAGCACGCTGAAGCCTAGCTGTCAAAAAGCAGAAAGCTGACTCTTAACTATTCATTCAAGCTGTTATATAATATTTAAAACTGCTACTGGGATTTGAAGAACAGTGAGGCCGGAAGCACTCCACTATGTAAAATCTTGATAGGAGTTCAGTTGAGAAGTCAAATGGAGGACAAAGTAATATTAAGGTTTCAGGCAAAAGAACAGGCCTAAGTGAATCCGCTGTTGAAAATCTCAAGTTTAATCACCATTTGCAATAAGCTGATGGTGATAACCCAATGGACAGAGAGAAGGCTCACTAAGCAGAGACTCTGTTGTCTATTGCTGAGTCAGTACCACTCCCTTCAAAAAGTATTATTCTCATGTTCCATGCCCTTCTCCATTGTTTCCCAATGCAACAAGGATCAAGGTCACAAAACCATATAGGTTTTAAGCAACAAAAACGCACACTCAGCTGACCATTCTTTATCTTCAGGGTACCTTCCAAATCCCAGCTCTTAATAATGTCCATTTTCAACTCAACAAATCCAATGTCATACCTTTGCAGCTTCCACCATGCGAGCGGTGGAGTCAGCCAGGAGTTTTGCTGCTGCCAGGAGCTTCTTTGAATTTTCCATATCTATTTCAGCTTCTGCATCTGATCTCATGGCATTGACGAGGTCTGAGGTAGCCTGCGCCAGGACCCGGGCCTGGCGTACCATTTCACCTATGGGACGGGATTGAGAATGCCATCTGTTTGTCTGCTTTCTGAAGCTCAAAACCAGCACAGCCAAGTCTCCACTCTGGCAAGAGGAAGAGAGAAGGGAGCCCCCAAGCTCTGGTCCTAAGCAATGCAGTCCATTTAGACCCAGGACAGAAAATAACTCCTACTGGCTACCAAGACTATTGACTCCCAAAACATCCAAGTTCCATCTTGAACTAATAAATGGGACACAACTAAGCAAAGATAAATTATTTTGAAAGGGAAGGCAGGGAACAAAATTATGTGGATTTACCATGTGATTCAATAAATATTTATTTAGAAAATATTATTTATCTCACTTCAAGAACCACTTACATAAAAGCCCTTATAATAAACTCTGTATAATGGCATAAAATTATCTTTAAAATCTGGAAACATTTGTATGTTACCTAACTCCAGACGAATAATATTGCATGATCCACTGTATTTGTGTCATTTGGCTCTCACTAATAGGAAGCACAGACCCCAGTTTCATGCTCAATTACTAAGATTTGCCTTGGCCCAGCTTTCCCTCTCAGTTTTCTGTTTGCTCACCCTTTTCTTCCCAGTACTGGTCTTGATCTTATTATTAGTAAGTGTTTGGTTTTACTGTTCCTGTGATTTTACTGATATCTATTTCAATTTTCTTTTAGAAGTAGGAGGGGTATAAAAGTAAACATTTAAAATAAAGCTACTCAAATGTAAGGGGATTTTTCCTCTCCCAAAGACCATTTGAGAAGGATGCCAAAACATTCTGACATTAAGGGGGGAAAAAAGCTTTAAAATCTCTTGATTAAATCTTAAATCTTTTGATTTAAAAATCAAAATGTACTAAATTCAAGATATCATGGATTGGATCCTAGGATGTTAAAAGGACATAAGTGGAAAAACTGGTGATATCTGAATCATGTCAGTAGTGAACAGTTAAGCACCAAGGTTAATTTCTTATTTCTGACAAGTGTGCTGTGGATTAGACAAGATGCAAAACATGAGGGAAAATGGGAAGAGTATATAAGAACTCTCTAACACCTCTGTAATTTTTCTTCAAGTGTGAAAGTATTCCAATATAAAAGGTTTGTTAAAAAACAAAACCAACAAAAATCCAAGTGTGCAGAGTATTTGTATCTTCTTAAATCATGTAAGGAGGATACAGATGGGCCCATTCAGAGTCTTCCACTGCCTCAGTGAGGAAATCTCTGACAGGGGCTGATGACAACTCGCTTTCGCCAGGCAGCCTTCCTTACAATTGTCACCACAGTGAAACCCCAAGCTGACCCGTGCACCCACAGCATCGTCCCCTCACCAGCATCGCCCATGGAGCTGAAGATGCTCTCGGTGACACACATGATGGTGTCGGTGGCCTGGTCGTAGCGGCCGATGGGCTCGCCTCGGCTGGCAAACTGTCGTACATGCTGCAGGAGGTCGTGCAGGGCCTGGCTGACCACACTGGCTGCTGCGCTGACCTGCTTCAGGAGCTCGCTGTCATCAGTGGCTGCCTGGCAGGCGCGGACACAGTTCTCCACTGAGCGGTCCACCAGCTTCCCTGCTTCGATCAGCTGCTCCTGGCACACAGGGGAGCTGATGGTGGGGCTTACCACCTAAAGTGACAGAGAAGCAGGTTTTGGGCATGAGGGTCAACCCTTGGTCCCCACTGAGCAAGAACATTTCCACCAACTCCTTTCCTGCTCTGTGTTGCGGTTCCTTACTTAGAGGACCAGGGATTAAATAAACTCAACCATCACTGCGGTTTCTCATACTTCACGACTTCACTCTATCTTGGTGACTTTCGATGCCCACTAATTTTTATCTTCATTAGTGATACGTAACTATACTCCTGACTTCTTCCCTAGGGAGAAATTTCTGGTATTTATGTCATGCCTCTTCCTTTAGGAACCTCTAAGTTGAGCTCCCTGAGCCAGGAATAATAAGACTACCTAAGGGAATTGTATTTCTTTTCCAGAGACATCTGGAATTCTGCACCTCTTGGTACTTTAAAGGACACAGTGATTCTGTCGTTATCTGTGGGTCCTTGGAGGGTACATGAGGAAAGCAGGAATAGTAACTCAGGACACCTCCACCTGACACTGCAAATCCCACCACGGGATAGGAAATGCCAGGTTAAGCCAGTCCCGGATCTATAGTACATGTTACATCATCAAGTTGAGAAAACAGACACCTCCCATCTTCTGATGTGTGAATACATACATGGTGGTGAGAAAAGAGTATGTGAAACCAGACAGGCCTGAGACTACCCTGGTTGTGGCTCTGCCACTTGTGAGTTTGGCTGCAAGCTACTTACGAACATGTAGGGGACAGCGGTTCCCTCTTTAGCAAACTGGGGATGAGGTGCTTAACAAGATAAAGTTTGACACTCAGAGCACGCACAGCCTAACTGGCAACCATGAACTTAATCCTGATTACCCTCACTCTAACACCACACAGCGCAAAAGGCGCTCTCCCAAATCGGCAGATTACCTATGAACCTATTCATGATGCTGTACTGCATTTTTGTACAGTGCAAGAACACCTTGTGTGCAGGTGTAACTAACACACAGTGAGGAGTCCAAGGGGGAGACATGGTAATCTGCAAGTAGAAATGGCAAATGATAAACGCACAATGGGGCCGTTAATGCCAAAATCCTATCGCGTCATCTAAAAGACAACACTTGAAGCAAGCTCTAAATCTCAGACAATTTTAACAAATTTTGCCTCTGTTTTCCCCCAGGGACTGGCGGCCAATCAGAGCATGTGACACTTTGAAGAAAGAGCCCAGATTGCCAGCCAGCTTACCTTGGCACATGCTACAAGTTGGGATGTAGAGAGCGCACACTGGGTAGCAGCAGCAATCACCCTGTTCTGTAGGACTGTGTCTTCAGCTACTTGGGCAACATTCTTCGCCTTTAATACCAACATGGCAGCAGCATTGGCAACAGCTTTGGCCAAACTCATTAAAACATCCTAAGATAGGGAACAAAAAGCAGGTTATTTACTTTTTTTTTTTATCACTTTTCACAGCCTAGAAATAAATGTGGTATCCACTTAAACATTTTATTAAAATCCCATTTGAACTTTTCTTTCCAGTGCTTCATAAGGATATTCTTTGCACTTATTTTTCTAAAATGTCAACTTTTTCTTAAACATAAAGAGACTTGTGTCCTAATTATATAGTCTCCTATACATTAAGTAGCATAAGGTTTTTTTTTTTAAGATTTTATTTATTTATTCATGAGAGACACACATACACCGAGAGGCAGAGACACAGGCAGAGGGAGCAGCAGGCTCCCTGCAAGGAGCCTGATGTGGGACTTGATTCCCGACCCCGGGATCACGCCCTGAGCCAAAGATAGCCGCTCAACCTCTGAGCCACTCAGTCGTCCCAAGCATAAGGTTTAAATCTAAAATAGGGTGATTTCAGGGGAGGGTTTTTATTTTTAACCACTGATTCACATTCATGTACTTCTCCAATATAGAGAGTTTCGATTAAGTCTCTTGAATATGTGGTCAATGCAGTAGATCAAGAAAAGCTGGAAATATATCCAGATGCCATAAATACAGCATGCTGCAGGAAGGATAGAATTCATGCCCTACAAGTCATCATGCTCCGCCACTTGAAAATTTCTCATTAGGATTTCTGTTTTGCACAAGGATCCAAGTTACCATCAGAAATTCAGCCACATTTCTGCCTCCAGAGGGCAATGTTGGACACGCACAGAAAATACCTACAGCTCAAGAGCTGAGCGAGCAGTGCTCTGAACATAAGTTATTCTCAGTGTTCTGTAGTATTCTGGATGGGGATTAAATTATTATGAGAAGCGGAAAGGGAGCCTGCATAAATAAACTAGCTACAAGCTACGACCTCACTGAAGATGCAAGGAGCTTTGAGCCTTTATAGATCAGTTTATGCTTCAACTCAACAAAAAGGCATTCTGTCTGCAGGATGGAGAATCCTTTGATTTAGCCCACCAGATTTGTCACCCGTCTGTGTGACCTGAAATATAACCACTGTTAACATTTAATTTGCTTCTTTGCTTTTAGTATTGAAGGTAGTTTATTTGGTTTGGAAATGCCTTCCCAAACAAATCCCAAACATACGAGCCATTTTTATTTTGAACAAACATGTCAAGGCTTTCTCCCAGAGGAAATGTGGTCAGAAGTCTTTATTAATTCATCAGATAATGAAAAGCACTTTTGATTCTGAATGCAAAGGGCACCCACAGAGTCTTTACAAGGAGATATTTTATGAGAAGATAGACTGGAGTGCTCAGCCTGCACAGCGTTACACAGAGCAGAAACTATATGCTATCCAGGCAAATCAGAAACCCATAAACTACCACATAGGCAGATTTTAAAATGGACAAAAACCAAGCAGTCTGAAAGGAACAGCTTAGTCCAGTCTTTATTTTAGGTTTCTGATGTTTATTCAATGTCCAAGGAAAAAGCAAAGCCTGAGGTGTCAAAAGCTGAAGATGCCCTTTGGGATCTGAGTGGCCACATAACTTTTAGAAAGTGCTCCAATCACGGCCTGCAGAGTTTCAGTTCTCAAACACCTATCTCAATGCTCAGTGAACACTCTCAACTTGAATGTCACAAATTATTTACAAGACTTTTAAAAATATCTTTCCAAAGTGGGTCATTGTATTCTTTCAGGTGATATGAATTCATCTTTTCACAGAGGGACCAAGATTTGGTCGTGTAGACTCACGATTGTTCTAAAGGGCTTTGTTAGGCCAATTTAAAGAAATCCTGTCCCTCCTATTAATATTGTCCAAAAAAAATACAGTTAGAAAAAGAATGTGATACTACAGCCATAGTCACTGACAAGGCCTTTGTCAAACCTTTCAACAAGACCACTATTATGTAGCCTGTGTAAAATAAATCTTTGTTAACTCTGGGAACATGCAGTACATTGAGAACCCAAGAAAAGCTCTGAGATAAGATCTCAAGAATCAGAAAAATAGTGCATAAGAAGCACAGTGTCAGTCAGCTAGGGGCTGTTCCTAACAGGAGGAGGGTGCAGGATTTACCCTACTGTACTGATGTTTGCCCAGAGATCTTACAGAAATGTTATGCATTCAAGCCAGGCCTTTCTCTGGTAAGAAAGCCTCTTTAGGACCATACCATGAACCTGAACCTGTTCTCCTAGCATGTCTAAATAGAAACAACAGGAAGCACAGAGTTTGCATTTTTATGTGATGGTAACAGTCTGTCAAAGAGAAAAAGAAAACAAAAAGTCTTCAGCAATACAAGGACGCATGCAATGTCTTCAGGAAGAACTGTGACTTTCTTTTCAAACTTTCCAAACACTCTGGGGAAAGCAGTAATATTTTTGAGGAAAGCAAGCTGACTACTTCAAGTTAATTAAGCCTAGTAAGCCAAAAGCTGAATCTCACATTTACTTTCCTAAGTAGGTGCCTGCCTACAAAGAATTACCTGCTCTAATACAAAAAGCAATTGCCAGTATAAATGCAGTTTGGGGATCTGGCTAAGGGGACCTCAGGACTGGGTCACAGTTAGCTTGAATTTAGTGGAATCTATTTATGTGGTCTGCTGTAAATTCTCTTTCAAGTTAAGTGACTGCTGGCCATCCCAGCATAGAAATGGCTTCCAGGAATACTACTACCACCCAATACGGGGTTCACCCTCCATCCTGACATGAATGTTACAGCACTGACCGTCTTAGTGCATTACAGGATATTAATGAGCCCTCGGGCCCCAGCATCACAGGTGTGTAGAAAGTAGAGGAGATACAAGGTCCATGTATCACAGTATATATAACCATGTCTTAATGTAACTGACACATCTTGTATAGATGGAGCTTGGTATTTCCAGATTAAAATAGCACACAAAACTGCCACTCATGAAGCAAGAAACTTGAATTCTACAAGTAAAGCTGAATGACCTTGAACGATCTTTTTATTCTGAATGCTATGAAATTCCCCAATTCCCTGACATAGGATTTGGAAAAGGCCGTGTTCCGGAGAACCTGGGCTCAAACTGTAAGTTTCATTAGAATGTAGTTCTATGCTACTTAAAATCAGGTCTTACGAGTTGGAGAAAGGCAGGAAGGGCATCTGCCCACAAGTACGTGAGAAGACAGGTTCATTGCAGCCTGGAGCTCCTCTCATCTGTGGTGGCTGGGAAAAGAGGCAGACAAGCTGAGCTCCTCTCTGAGTTGACAGCCCACTAAACCAGCTGCAAGCAATGGCTACAGCTGTGCACCAGAGGACAAATGGCATATATCCTTGGTACAGAACAAGAAGAGTGACAGAAAGAAAAAAATGTCCCCACCATGCTGGCTTTGGATAAGACACAGACAATAGACCCATCTCTGAATACAAAGGAGAACCTCTGCTATGGGAGTGCACATTTTTTCTCTTTTTTGTGGACTTCAGAATAATGAGGTTAAAAAATGCCCCCAGAAGATGAAACAAGACCGGCCATGAGTTGATAAGTATAGAGCCTGGACGGTAGATACAAGGGAGTTCATGTCATTATTTCCTCCACTTTTGTGTTTAATGAATGTCCAACATACTGACCAGTGAGAATAGCTACATAAGCGTTTCACAACAATGATGCATGATATGTAAATGAAGTGAGTTTTTTAATTGAAAATTAAGTAAAAAATTAACAAAGACCCCACCCCCCTAAAAATCCTCCTTGGTCTTATTCTTGAGAGCCCAACCAAGATTTAGTTTCTCATACATTCTTCCTGTTTGAGTCTAGACCATCACTTAGACTCCTTTCCAAAATTATGGGCTGCAAATATCTTACCTGGAATCGCTCATCGGTCTCATTCTCTCCGATCTGTCTCAGAAGATCCCCACTGGCTTGTCCAATGCTTCCAGCAGCAGTCAAAACTGTCTGTCGAGGCTGAAAAACACACATTGGTTGGAAAGAAAATGTATTTCCTCACAGTGCCATCAGACAGCAGTGCAGGGAGAGGAATCATGAGGGACTGGCTCTCCTGCACCTAGAATCTCATACTATCTGCCAGATGGGAGACCTAAATATCCTGATAAAACCTGTGCAAAGAAATGCCTGATGGTTCACAAACCAGTAATGGGTAGATCGATTTGAAATGTTCAGCCAATGAGTCTTGCTCAGCTGGTAGGAAGGTGATATACACTTTATGGGAATTTGGGGACCAACATGTATCCCCTTCAAATGTGTACTGACCATGTGTGTTAGTTTATGAGGCTGAATCTAATCAAGTACCCTGGGGTGAGGGGGTAGGGCAGGTTTCTTACTAACAGCTCAACTGGTCCCAAAAGTCAAACCATAGATTCTGTGTCCAGTTCTCCAAATCCAAACCCCACAGTATGATAATATGTCCCATATAATAATATGATAATATATAATATGGGAAGAACAGCTTTGGGAGCAAGAGCCCAGTAGTGCTCCAGGCTGCACCTGCCTCATCAGAACCTGAGTGACTGCTTGCCCCCACAGCTCACCTCTCCAGAAGTAGGCTGCACAGCTTTCAGCAAGTCTGACACTGCCCCTGCAAGGGTCCTCGCAGCTCGGAGCAAGTCCTCCCCACTGCCCACCTCGTCGTCCATCAGAGCGGCCAACAGCTTCACACCCTTGGACATCTCCGTCAGGTTGGAAGAAATGGTGGTGATTGCACATCCCACTGCTGTGTAGTCAGTGTCTGCAGGGTCACCTGGGACACAGAAGGGCTGTCACCATCAAAGGAAGGCAGTGAAAGGTGAGGAAAGCCCAGATGGGTGATGGCATGAGCCTTCACACTGTGGGATCAGACTACAAAGCTGCCCATGCACGGAGAGATGCCTGACTCCCTGGCTCCAAGGTGCTGCTCCTCCCAAAGTCCTTTTCCCTGGAGGCCTCCTATGCTGAAATACTGAGCACCCACACCTGTACAGTTCCAAAGGGAGCAGCTGAGGCAGGTCAGCTCTGCTCCTGAAGCACTGAAATACTGCACAGTGAAGCCGAGACATACATGGGCTCTCACCCAACAGTGCAAGGTGGGAGTCATGCTGTGCCATGAGGGTACTGTGGGATAAGACTAAAGAAGCCCACAGGATAGATCTATTCCTCTAAACCCAGTTTTAGACTGCAAGCTCTCAAAAGGGAGAAACTAGCTCCCATACACTTCGAAGTACATCTAGCAGACCAGTGAACAATAAGGAGAGCTACAAAGTGCTTGGTGAAGGATGCATGATATCAACAGAAAGGAATGAGATGTTCCCCACCTTTCTCCTGGGTCAGCGTGAAAAAGTGCCTGAAGCACTCAGAGTACCTAAAAATAGACTAGCCTCTCGTCCCACGAAAATCTGTTGTTTCAATCAAGGCACAGTAATTGTTTCTAAAGCAAAACCACAACACGGCACAAAGCCCTCAGAGACTCACCAGCAGTGAGGTTAACTACTGAAGCTGTTCCAGCTGTGATCGCATCAACCTGAGAGTGGATTTCGTGTTTGGATTCATCAACTTTATTCTGAACCCACACCCGTGACGCCTGCAAAACCAGACAAGAGCAAGACACAGTCACTGCGTGGGATTGCCCAGGACACCAGAGAGGTCGTGCCATAAAATGAGACCAGCATTTTGTCTGTACTCTTGTTACTGGGCTGGCACCAACAAAGCCTTTAAGTCATCTTAAGCAATGTCATTAACAGGCTTCTGGCTCATTCACTGATGCTGAATGGCATATAAATTCTCCATACTCCCCCCATGGCTTTTTCTTTAGGATCTTAGACAAATTCTATATGGCTCTCTTTAAGTAAATTCAATAAAAAATGAGAAGAATTAATGTCTCATAATAATGTTACATATCAGCACCAACAAGTGTTGTGAATTTCCACCTTATTTTTTTTTTCCACCTTGTTTATAGAGAGCAGGGTTAGAATGACAGCATTTCAGCTCACGAGTGCTCTGTGTCAGCACAAAGACTTTTGTTAAACACCATGAATGTGGTATAGATGTGGCACCTTTCCCAGAAGGACTAGGAGGGATGGGTCAAGACCTCTGTTCTAGATTTAGCTCTACCACTGACAAGCAACATGACCTCGAGCAAATTACATCTAGGTCCTGTGCCTTACATTTCTTCTACTGCAGGAATTCAGTGGTCCTTAAAAACTTTTCCAGATCTTATACTTTATGTTCACTGGAACCTATAAATAGCAAATTCTCTATTTCCTGGCATTTCTGGACTTAGCCAGTAAGTGATCATTTACATTCATAGTGATGACCCTATGGTAATATATGATGCTGATTTACTTCCCAAAACATCCCCAAAATATTCACTGAGATTTAGGATACATCCAGCACTAATATTTTTTTCTTGGTATACTAATGCTTTAAAAATTAGTAAAGCAGGAGTGTTAAGCCCAAAACAATAGTGCTGGATAGGGGAAGGTGTCTGCCTTATGTATTTCTACTCTGAAGGTCCCCCATGAAACATGTTTCATGAGTTCAGGTTCTTGGAAGACAAAGCACTGAGTAAAACAGCACCTGCAAGTATACAAGTACACAAATGGAAAACACAGCATGTAGGGAGGACTCAGAGGACAGTTATCGTGGCTGGGCAAGATGAGACTACATACTGCATCTTGGCCCTGGCCTAAGATGGACCCGTCTGTCCTAATGGAGTGGTGTTCAGTCCTATTTGTCTATAGAACCACCTGGGGAGATGAAAAAAAGCAGGCCCCACCCACAAAGACAGGATTTATTTGGTCTGAGCTGAGACTTGGGCATGGTTCTTTTAACTTCACAGCTACTTCTAACATGGAAAGCTGGGCTGAGGTTGGCAGTGCCAGCCAGTGTTCCATGAACTGTAATGTGCACACCAAACAGTTGGGAACGCCAAAGAAATGCAGATTCTGATTCAGAAGGTTGGGGTAAGGCCTAAAATTCCACATCTCAAGAGATCTTGTGTATTGCCAATGCTGCTGGCCCATGGGCCACAATCTGAGCAGGGAGGGGTTAGATAATTTCATGCAGAAGCACCTACAGGAAGGCAGCTAATTACCTGTGCCCTGCTGAAGAACTGACCAGTAAGGAAGTGGTTCTTAAAGCATGGTCCCTAGAGAGCAGGAGAACACCTGAGAATCTGTTGCAAATGCAAAATCTCAGGCTCTACCCCAGATCTACTGAGAAAAAAGGGGGCAGAGCCTAGCGATCTGTTTTAACAAGCCTTCCAGGAGATTGATGTATGCTAACGTCTGAAAAGCACTGATAATAACAGCTAATACTCATTGAGTTGGGTTAGGTTAGGTAGTGTGCTAACAACTCTGCACACGACTGGATTACAAGTCTTCATTAGGACCCCAGGCATGCATGACAAAATGGGAGCTTAGAGAGAGTAAGTTGCCTGGATTCACACAGATACTAGCAGTGGAACTGGGATTTGAATCTAAATCATATGACTTCACAGTCCAAGTTCTTGGCCCTTGAGAGGTACTGCTCATGCCTAGTAGCACCCCACAATTCTCTTCCAGTGGGTACACCTCACTACAAAGACTCAATATACTGAAAACAAAACAAAATAAAACAAAATAAAAAAACCCTAGTTGGATAAAGATTTCACCCAGCTGAACGCAGACAGAATGCAAAGCCTTCCTTTGTGCCAGGCCAAAACACTGAATGACAACCATGAACAATATTTACCATATCCTGGCCGAGAGGTGGCAATGAATCCAGCTCGCTGAGGTCGTCCTGGGCCTGCTGGACAGCATGCATGCTTGTGTTGATGGTCCCCATGAGGGCCTGCTGGGCTGAGGTCTGCAAAGGCAGATGACCACAAGGCAGTCATAACCCCCCTCCTGGAACCAACACCTCTCTCTATAAGAAACAAGGCCAAAGTCGAACTCCAGGCTCATGGTGTGTCTCAACAACCCCAAGCACCTCCCATTTTAAGCAGGGAGCTGGAAATAGAGACTGTATTAATAGAATGCTCAGGATGGGTGTTTGCAATAGAGAAGTTATAATCAAGAGAGTGTGGAGAGCTTAATTAGCTGACAAGACGACTCAGAAAGAGTCCTTGCAGGGGAGCTACTCCACTCTTTCAGTACTTAGGACAAAAGATCTCAGGTATAGGAACTGTGTTATATCCCAGAACTATTCTTAGTAAATAAGAAAGGATTCCACCCAAACCTACAGTCAACATGCTTCTTCAGGGTCAAATTACTTCAAAGCTTTCAGGCTTTTCAGCTTTTATCAAATTCTTCCCTGGCAGCACACGATTCCAGGCAGACCAGCAGTGCAAAGCAGTAACCATCCACTCAGGGGAAACTACGCATCACTACAGACCTGCTCTATTTCTAAGACCCTCGGAGGGGTGCCCTGGGCTAATGAGCAGCTTGTTGCTGTTAAAGCGGGGAAGCAGGGCTCTGTACCTCTGTATCACTAGTCACGTGGACAGGTCACAGTTGCCCTCCAGCCCCAGGGGATACCTGTGAGCCTACACAGGGAGTTCCTAAGACACCCCATTTAGGGAGAGCACTGGGGAGTCAGGTACTGGGACCATGCATGAAGAGCCATGGCTCAGATGGGAATGAGGGAGCATGTGCCAGGCTAGTGTCTCTCCCTGCACATCAGAGGCAGCACTGACACCCAGGGCCGGCATCGGGGAAGCCTCACCAGTGGGGCCATGTGTCCTCGGTGCATCTGCCCCACCGTGACCTGCTGCTGCGGTGAAGGCATGCTGCCCACGTTGAAGGTCTCGGGTCCACTGGAGCCTGAGCGCATCACAGCAGGCAGCGCCACTGAGCCGTGCTCCACTTTCCCAGTCCGATTGAACTGCTGCTGCAAGATGGTGGACCTGTAGGGTACAGGGGCCTGGTCACTGTGGGGTGGCCACTAGCATATGATGTAATGATATGCCACACGTGGCACAACTGTTGGTGGCTTTCTGCTGTGGAGGCCAATTCAAGAGAGGCATATACAGACCCAGCTATGAATCAGGTCCCACTAAAATACTCAGAAGAACCCTGAGATCAATCTTTTTATAAGGATGAATATAAATAACCATTACTAATCGGTTCAGGATATTGTGTAATTAGTTCCCCTCCACAACACTGTTAATGTTTCTCTAACAATGATGCTGCAGGTATAAGGAAGAGTTTTGGATACACTGATCTATGAGCTGGTAAATCCCACCTGAAATAGCATTCATTCAACAAATATCCACTGTGGGCCAGGTTTGATCTAGGCTTTGGGGACACAGGTCATTTAGTCTTGCACTGAAGGGAGAAGTATAGAAAGGAACTAAAAGAAAATCTCCCACAGCTCATTTCTCCTCCCGTAGGCCCAAGGCCACTGACCACAGAGGGCATTTAAACACCTTTGGCACCTTGATGATAGGACAGACTTTGGTACCTCCTCCAGATGATTTCAACAAAACTCTAGGAAGATTCTTAAGACATCTAGTAAAAAAACAAAAGAAAATTTCTCACTTCTGAGATTTTCTTAGGATGAGTGGTGGGGACGTTGTGCATATAAGGGTGGTATATCTACACAGGAGCCCAGAGGAAAGAACCCACACTGGGAGAGTCTGAGGGAGGTGTGTGTGTGTGTGTGTGTGTGTGTGTGTGTGTGTGTAAGGGCAGATTCGGTGAGCAGCTGCATTTTGTGGCCAGGCCTCTGTCCCAGGGTTTTCCAACCATCACAGATCACTCCCTATTGCCCAAGACAAAGCTCATGAGCCCTGTTAGATACCAGACAGCAGGCATCCATGGAGGAAGAGTAATGTCTGTGGAGGAGTTGGCACTAGGGAGGGTACATCTGGGGGCTCCAGGAGGAAGTCAGCTGCATTCTGTGATCTCAGCCAATGTCTAATGCAGGGAGAAGTGGCAGGTGGGCCATTCTTCCTGCTTGCCTTGATCAGACTCCACCATGATGCTCTAGGCAGTGGGAAGGGACTACAGAGGTAAAAGGCAGTGAAGAGTTTTTGTGCTCTGGACTCAGACACTCAGCTGCTCTTAGAAGTTCAAGAGCAGCAGAGTCCTCTAAAGGGGAACAATTTGCCCTGCCAGAAAGCACTACCTTACTGATTTCCATCTAAGGGTCGTTAACTAATTCCAAGGACTTAAGGTACTCTTCAAGAGGAAACCACGTATGTGAAACACATCACATGAGGTTCGGTTCCAAATTGTCTACCAAAATAGGGGGCAAATGGAAAAGCACCTCTGAGGTGATTATGAAGCACATCGGGGCAAAATGATAGCTTATGGAAATGTTCGAGAAGCAATTACTATGACTTAGTAAGTTCAATATGCTGGAGAACATGCTAGAAATTTCTGGCAGGGTACTGTAAGAAACATCACAAGATCTGAACTGACTCCTGGCTCTGCCTCATATGTGTGTCTAAAGTCACTTCCATGAGCTTTGGTTTCCTCAGTCATGAACAGGTGGTAACCAGTCTAGCTCTTATACTGGGGGTTGTTATTACGATGAAATGAGACCGCATGCTAGACATACAGAGTAAAGTGTGGGCAAGAAAACTTATTATCACACTGCTCTACATAACATAAGGGGAGCAGCTGCTCAGATTTCCCCAAAGTACCACTTATTAGATGTTAATTTTAGTAAATCTCAGTTTCCTTACCTGTAAAATGGAGTTAACTTGAGACTGTTCTGTATTGAAAATGATGATGAAGATGATAAGAATAGTATATACATATGATGTGCCAGGCATTGTTTTATGTGCTTTACTAATAATTCAATCATCAAGATAGAATGTATAAGGTAGTACTATCGTTATTCTCATTTTAGAGCTGAGTAAAGGGATAGAGGAAATTTGTAACGTCCCCAAGGCCACACATTAAAAAAGAGACCCCAGGTGTGCCTAGGTGGCTCAGTTGGTTAAGCGTCTGACTCTTGATTTCCACTCAGGTCATGATCTCAGGGTCATGAGACTGAGCCCTGGGCATCCCTGTCATCGGGCTCTGTGCTGGGTGTGGAGCTTGCCTGAGACTCTCTCTCCCTCTCCCTCCTTCTCCCCACATTCTCTCCCTCTTAAAAAAAAAAGTGAGAGAACACTGGAGAATTGAACCCAGTAGGTCCAAAGTCCAGGTTTTAACCACTTGTCTCTACTGCCTCATGACACATGTGGCATGAAGCAAGCGCTCTATAAACAATAACTCCTCCACTAGGTAGATGCCTGTCCCAAAAGGCACAGAATTAAACAGAAGCCCACTCTCCAGCCTTTAACCAAAATGACGCAGGTTAGGAGATTTAAACGAGCAACTGCAGAACAGGGTTCATGAACACTCACTGTGTCTGAAGACGGAGTTAAAGACCACATCTTGCTCTGTCTCCCTACAATCCACAGCCTCCTCTCCCCACAAGACACACTCAACACTGATAATGATGGTCTGGAGATCACACTTCGAGAAGCAAGATTCATTTATATTACCCACTGTTGTCTCCCTTTCTGATGGACTTCAGAGCAACAGACCAGAGTTGGCATAAGGAAACCTGCCCATTTAGGGAGAAGTTGGGTTCTCCAATGCTTTTAAAAATACTTACTTTTTCGGGGAAACCGACTCTTCCAGCATAGTCGACTCCTCATCCCCCTCTAATCCAAATCTATCTTTACTTTGTTTCTGAGGTAAAATGAAACAAAAAGAAAATTCAGCAAGTCTTGATGCAAGAACCTCTAAGATACCTTTTAAAAGGAGCTAAACCTTTTTGAGGTTTACCCAAAATTCCCTGTACTGGAGTAAGTGATAGGTGAACAAAAACAAAAGCAACAATAAAAAATATACAGTATAGAGATATATGCCTTTTGTGTTTATTACTGCATTGACTCAATTTCATACAGTTAAAATCAAGACACAGATACTGATGTTCTAAGAGAACTTGGTTATTTCAGTGAGCTGTATCTTGAAGTCTTAGGCAATCTGTCTGTATATCATGATGGTATATAACCCCACTAAATTCGGTAAAAATTCGTAAAATTTGGTAATTTGGTAAACATTCATGAGGAATGCCTGGGTGGCTCAGTTTGTTGGGCATCTAACTCTTATTCTCCGCTCAGGTCTTGGTCTTAGGGTCATGAGTTCAGGCTCCAGGTTGGGCTCCACACTGGGCATGGAGCCTACTTAAAAACAAAAATTTCACAAAAAACATGAAGAACATTTTCAGACCCTCAACCTAGGTTTTTAAAGAGGCTGGAAAGCATAACATAACTACCTAGAGAGGAAGATGCTGAGGGATTTGCTAGTCTCATTCATTAGCTAAGTGAACCACTAGTGCTCATTACCTGGCAGTAATAATATAAATATGAACTGCAGTTAAAATGGAAACTCTTGTAGGATCTTGAGATTAAAGACTGCACACTCAAGCAATCTTAAGATTAAATTAGTGAATCAAGTACTTCAAATTAGGGTTGTTTTGTGTGTGTGTGTGTGTGTGTGTGTGTGTTTCCAGGTAACAGCATCATTTAAGTCAATGTTTCAAAAAGAAAGAAAAAAATGAAAAGAAAAGAAAAGAAAAGAGAAAGAAAGAAAGAAAGAAAGAAGAAGAAAGAAAGAAAGAAGAAAGAAAGAAGAAGAAAGAAAGAAAGAAAGAAAGAAAGAAAGAAAGAAAGAAAGAAAGAAAGAAAAGCAGCTTTTCCAAGTTGCATCAGTATGAAATACCTTTTTGAGGATGATGTCAATGTAGCCTGCAATCAGCTGGGATATTTGCTCTCCTTCAGTGGTTTGTACTGAATAGTAGCTTTCCTGATACTCCCCAAAATCCTGAAAAAACAACATCAGAAGGAATATAATTATATATCTGCAGTTTTAAAGGTAAAGATAGAGGTCTAGTCCTAGAACAAGATGGCACAGACTCACTTTCCCCTTCTGTTCCCCCAAACACAACTGAATATCCTAAAATTTATTCAGCAAACAATAGTAAAAGGCTCTGAAAGTTGGAAAGGTAGACTGGGGAATGCAGTACTTGAAAAACCACTCTATGGTGAATTCTTAGGTTTTCTCTTATATCCGATTACCCCCAGGTGAGTAACTGAAACCCAGAACCTTTAACAGCCAGGATTTCAAAAGCCTGTCCTTTTCCGCCAAAGGACCAGGAGAGGAGAAGCCCAGTGAAGATCTATCTGGGAGTCTTCAACCAGCTCCACAACCTGGGCTGGCTGGCACTCACCAGCAGCTGCAGAGCAATGAAAGCCCAGCCCATCCCAGTCCCTGCTCCACAGACAGGCAAGTGACCTTGTTCTTCTGCAACAGTGGTCACATGAAACCTATGTCCTCCTGAACTCCACCCAATGGCATGAACAGAGACTGGCCCGTAGCTTCTGCTTATCCCAACAAAGGTCACCCAGCAATAGCAGGTGGTCCAAGGAAGTACCTTCACAAACAGCACCATCAAGTTTTGAGCAAGAACCCTGGCAGTGTCAAAACAATCCAGAACAGCACTGCAAGGGTTCCGAAAACTGTCACTGTAACCAAAGCCCACAAAAGGAGACCAGAACACAACATTAAATCCAAACAAGGTGACTGATAAAACAAAAGATTTAAGTAATATCAAGAGTTTCCTAACTTAAAATCAAAATGTCTAGATGTAATTTAAAAAATCACTACTCATATCAAGGACAAAACAACTATGATATGAGTAAGACAAAATAGTAATAATAAAAGATAATCAACTGATGCCAATACTGAAATGAATCAGATTTTGGAATTATCTGATAAATATTTTAAAGCAGCCATCATAAAATATGTTTCAACAATCCATTACAAATTCTTCTGAAACAAACAGGAGGTTTCAACAGAGAAGCCAGTAGAAAGAACTACACAAAAATTATAGTACTGAATAATGCAATAACCAAAATTTTAAAACTCACATGATAAAGTAGTGTGGAGATGACAGAGCATAGAATCAGTAGGCTTGAAAATGGATTAATAAAATAAGTCAATCTCAAGACTAGAAAGAATACAAATTCAACCAAAGACAAAAAACAAAAAACCCACAAACCAGACCTCCAGGGATCTGTGGGACAATGACAAAAGATGTAAAATTCATATTATCCGAATCCTACAGTGACAGAATGTGGGACAAAAAAAAGTATTCAAGGGGTGACTGGGTGGCCCAGTCAGTTAAGTACCCGACGACTCTTGATTTTGGCTCACGTCATGATCTCAGGGTTGTGAGATTGAGCTCCATGACAGGCTCTGTGCTCAGTGGGGAGTCTACTTGAGATTCTCTCCCTCCCCTACTCTTTCATGCTCTAACAAATAGATACATCTTTAAGAAAAAAGTATTAAAAGAAATAATGGCTGAAAATATCCCCAAATTAAAGATACATACCTACAAACTCAAGAAGCTGAGCATATTCCAAATGTAATAAATCTGGAGAAACACACAACAAGAACTTTAGAAAGTGACCTATTATCTACAAATGAACACCAACTTGAATAACAATTTCTAATCTGAAATCCTGAAGGCCAAAAAGAAGTGGCACATTTCTCAAGTGCTAAAAGAAAGAGCTGTCAATGTCCAATCCTATACCTGACAAAATGATCCTTTATGAAAGAAGGGGAAATAAGAACATTCTCAGAAAAAAGAAAGCTAAGAGAATCTCTTTTTAGCAGATCTACCTACCTTTAAAGAATGGCTAAAGGAAGTCCTTCAAACACAAAGAAAATGGTAACAGGAGCCTGGGATGGTTAAGAAGAAAACAACAGTGGGACAGATAAAAAATAGAAGGAAATGTAGTAATTTTTCCTTCACCTCATGAGTTTTATTTAATCATATTCTATAGTTGTACCAAAGGTGTAACACCATCTCATGTGGTGTTCAATGTATGTATTTCTTTGAACAGTTATATTTAAAAAGTGGGGAGTGTAAAGAGACCTAAACAGAAGTGAAGTTTCTACAATTCTCTTGAAATAATAAACATCCACACCTAAAAACTTATAATTAATTTCTTACATATATGGTAACATCTAGATCACTAAGAATACCAAGTAAAGAGATAATATAAAACATTATAAATGAATCAAAATGGAACTCTAAGAATGTTTAAGTAACCCAAAAATAGGCAAGAAAAACAGAGGACGAAGAAATGGAGGGGATAAATAGAAAAATATTATAAAATGGTAGACTTAAAAAAAAAGGTAGACTTAAGCCCTACCATATCAATAATTAAATCGAAATGTAAATGGTCTAACAAGGTCAATTAAAAGAGACTAAGTGGATTAAAAAAAAAAGCACAACCCAACTTTATGCACTCTGTAAGAAACTGGTCTCAAATATGAGTAGGTTGAAAGTAAAAGAATGAAAAATATATCATGCAAACATTAATTTGAAAAAGCATGAGTGGGTATATTAAGATAAAGCAGATTTCAGAGCAAACAAATTTACTAAAACAATTTCTCCATGAAGATGACCAAGGGATCTTAAATGTACATGTAAGCACCAAACAGAGCTTCAAAATACATGCAGTGAAAACTGAAAGAAGAAATAGAAAAATCTGCAACTGTTGTAGGGATAGAGAAGACTGGAACACCACCACCAACTAACAGGATCTAACCGACATTTACAGAATAATCTAATGAAGTATTCCTGGAACATTTTCCCAGAATGACCATATCCTGTGATATAAAAACAAATCTTAAAATTCTGAGACTTGAAATATGCAGAGTCTGTCCTTTGACCATAGCAGAATTGAACTAAAAAAAATCAGTAAGGGGAAGACAATAGGAAAATCTCCAGACACTGGGAAATTAAATTAAGGCTCGGAGTGGAAAGCAAAGAAATATGACATGTTACAAACTTTAAATCCAACTTTAATAAACAGCATTGATATTCATTCTCTCTTGTGCTTGAGGTACTTACTGTGACCCATAACTATTTCTTATTTATCTTTAAAACAACTTTTTATTTTCAACAAAACAGGACTTGGACCTAGTTTTAAAAGACCAATAGCACTAAAAGATACATAACAAAACACAACGGGCCCTTGCCCTGGTCGTTCCTATATTTACTTTCCATCTCTCCCATCCACAAAGACAACTACTTTGAATCCTTTCAGCAGTTTATTCTAGTATTTCCAAAAACATGTTTATATTAATTTCTTGATTTTTCTCTTTTAAGAATTATCCACAACTTCCTACCATGGAAGATGAGGACATCATTCTCTAAAAACACCCCTCCTTAAGAGCCATGTAGATAGAGCTCAATCTTCCCTCCATCTTGACTATAGGAGGGAAGATGGTCTGTTTTCTGATGATTCCTTCCAACTGGCAAGAGTCTATCCACTAATGATCAAACTAGATAACTAAAGACTCCCTCCAAATCTCCTTCCTTATGCTTTTTTTCTGATGCCCTATTATGAGATCTACCTAGATACAAGCTGATATTTGAAGTACTCACTAGACTAGAATAGCACACTTCAGGAGTGCTAGGAGATACAGAAATTTCAACACTGATTTCTCTTATTGCTCAACTTGCCCTACAAAATAACAACGCTATTGATTCCCATGTGTCAGTGTGGCTATAGTTAAGATAACAACACACATAGAGTCCACTAAGAGCAACTATTAAGGTTGGGAGGAGGAATTCAGAGATCTGTAGGGTTGAGATGACTACATCCTCCCTATTTCTATTTCCCATTTACTTCACACTGAGAATTTTATCAACATCATCTTGTTTGATCTTAGTACCTCTGTAAAATAGGTATTATGATTCCCATCTTAAAGCTAATGACATTAAGGCTTAGAGAGGAAATATAACTCTAAGAAATGGGAGATGACAAGCTGGTTTTGAATACTACCCCAAAGTCTATGCCATTTCCCTATACAGTATGCTATTTCCAGGCAGGCTGGGAAAAAACACTTCAGCAAGATGTCATAATGCTTGGGAACTTCTAAAACAACTAGAGATGAAGGAGCCTTTGACTAGCCTCTGAGCATTAGACAGTTTCCTCTTAGGGCATGCTAGGAACAGCATCGGGAACACAGAAGACTGGAACAGTCCTGGTCCTCTGGACTCCCACCATCTGTCCCTCTCCACATTGCTCTCTAAGGCAAGGGAAGCCCAATGAACTTGTATTCGCCTTCCCACCCCACAATATTGCCCAAGGCCATGTTGATCTTCCCTGTTAGCCAGTCCATACCAGGGTGAAGCTCTTGGGTGAGGCCGCCCAGCGCTTAACCGTGGTGAGCGGCCACTCCTGCAGCACCTCCTTGGTCTTCTCATCCACACGCATCACTGAATCCTTGGTGATGCCCAACAGGCGAGGCACCAACTTGTTCTTGCCTTTCATCTTTTCCTGAAACAGGAAATACCAAGGGTTAGTGCTCTCCCTGAATACATATGATTTTGCCAAGTCATGGTGTTTTATCTGAGGTTGCCTACATAACTATGTTTCAAAATAGGCAGGGCTACTAGAAAACCAGGGTTTTGGGACTAGGTGAATGACTCACTAACGATATGGAAGTTAAAACAGTGACATGAGAAGACTAGAAAAATCCACAAAGGCGCACTTCCCTTTTTTTTTTTTTTTAAGATTTTATTTATTTATTCATGAGAGACACAGTTGGGGGAGGGTGGAACAGGCAGAGGCAGAGGGAGAAGCAGGCTCCACGCAGGGAGCCCGACATGGGACTCGATCCCGGGTCTCTAGGATCACGCCCTGGGCTGAAGGCAGCGCTAAACCGCTGAGCCACTCGGGCTGCCCAGAGGCACGCTTCCCAAAAAGAGATGCTGTTTAGGAGGGCAGGTTGTTCCAAAACCAATCTGTGACAGATAGAAGGGACAGAACTGAGTAGATATCCAGAGAAATAGAAGTTAATATAAATTCCAAATATTATCACTTCTAATAGCCAACTCAGCAAATAACAAAAAAGATTTAATGTAGAATTATAACATGGCATATTAGCTATTTAGAATTAAAACTCTGCCAAAGTAGAATCTTCTCACTAAAAGATACAGAAACCTTTTCTTGTAAATCTCCTAAATATACTTCTATTTGAATTCTTTGTTTTGGTGTTTGTATGTACATCTACTGACTCTGAAAAAGCCTTTTATAATTAGCTTTAATAATTTAATAGTAATCATGCCTATTAAAATAATGGACCCCTACCTCATACTAATGGCAAAAAAAATTGAGATTAATAATTGAGGAAGAATATATAGGTGGATATTTTTGTGATTCCTGGGATGGAAATGACTTTTAAGCACAAGCACCAAAACAAAGGAAATTCATAAAGGGAAAGATCAACATCTTTAACTATAAACAGACAGACTTTGATACATCTAAAAAATAGAGGGTAAATATAGAAAAAGAAAGAAACCTCACCGTAAGCAAAATTAAAAAGCAAATGATTACGGATAAATACTTACAATAATTATGATAGTGAAAGATTTTATATACTGTATATGTGAAAGGTTATCATAGATCAACAAAAATAACTGGCAAAGAACACAACAAAATACATTCAAAATAATAAAGCAGACTTTCATTTGAGGGGGGAGGAAGGAGAAGATGGCAGTGGACTAGGAGGACCCTAGGCTCTCCTAATCCCACAAATACACATAGTAACTATCAGATCATCATAAATACCCCCAAGTGACTGAAGACTGGTAGAACAAACTCTGTAACTAAAGGTAGAGAAGAGGCCACAATAAAGAACATAGGAAGTGTGGGGATGCAGCTTGAGAGAAGTGAATCACGGCCACTGTGCTGGGGAGGGATAGGTGATCTCAGAGAAGGGTTAGAGACAGACTAGCACATAGGGGACCACACAGGGAAAAGGAATCCCCATAGCAATTGCCTTGAAAAGAGAAAGGGGCGAAAACTCATGAGTTTTTGCAACCAGTGGAGCTTAAAGCCTGGAGTGTTTTGTTTTTTTTTAAAGATTTTTATTTATTTATTCACGAGAGACACACAGAGAGAGAGAGAGGCAGAGGAAGAAGCAGGCTCCACGCAGGGACCCTGATGTGAGACTCGATCCTGGGACTCCAGGATCATGTCCCGGGCCGAAGGCAGGTGCTAAACTGCTGAGCCACCCAGGGATCCCCAAAACCTGGAGCTTTAAAGATCAATGGACATAATGGAAGAGTCTCAAGGGGATTGGGACTGATCTTGGAGAAAAGGACAGAGCAAAAAGCCCATGGACATACAGTATGGAGATAGATGGAGTACACAGTGGGGGAAGTTAGTTAATCATCTTGGAGCACATAGCAGAGAGGCAGCATTCAAAGAGAGACTCCTATGGGAACAAAAGAGCTGGCTGGTAACATTTCCCTCCCATGCTGCTCAGCACAAGCACAGTGCCAAATGTGGAACCAGTGCAGCATTAGCATAGGAAAAGGCCATAACCAGAGATCTATGGTAAACAGATATAAGTAATATGCCTGATAGAGAATTTAAAGCAATGAGCATAAGGATACTCAGTAAACATGAGAAAAGAGTGGACAGTATCAGTGAGACCGTTAACACAGAGATGAGGAATAACATAGCAGAGATCAAGGGCTCAATAAATAAAAGGAGAAATACTCTTGATGGAATGAACTGCAGGCTGGAAGAAGAAGGGGAATGAATTAATGACCTAAGAGACAGAGTAATGGAAGGTAATCAGGCTAAACAAAATAGAGAAAGAAGAATTCCACAAAATGAGAACAGACTTAGGGAACTCAGTGATTCCAGCAAACACAATAACATTCATATTATAGGAGTCCAGAAGAAAAGAGAAAAGAAGGCAGAGAATTTATTTGAAGAAATAATAGCTGAAAACTTCCCTACTCTGGGGGAAGGAAACAGACACCCAGATCTAGGAGGAACAGGGAATCCCCAACAAAATCAACAAAAGCAGATCCACAGCGAGACATTTCATAATTAGAATGGTAAAATATAATGAAAAAGAAAAAATATTAAAAGCAACAAGACAAAAGAAGACAGTTACATACAAAGGAAACCTGCAGGGTTTTCAGTAGAAACTTTCCAAGCCAGAAAGGAATGACATGATATGTTCAAAGTGCTGAATGGGAAAAACCTACATCCAGGAATGCTCTATCCATCAAGACTATCATTTAGAATTGGAGAATAGTTTCCCAAACAAAAAAAGGAGTTCATGATCACTAAACCAGCCCAGCAAGAAATATTAAAGAGGATTGTCTGAGTAGAAATGAATGACCAAAAATGACAACATGAAGGTAGGAAACACAAAACAGAAAAAAATGAGTATTTCTGTTAAAAAAAAATCAGTCAAGGAACTTACAAAATAAAAGTGTGTAAAAATAGGACACCATATACCTAAGGACATGGGAAGGAAAAGAGTAAAGAATGGGTTCAAATTTAAATGATCATCAAGTTAATAGACTGCTTTAAGCAGAAAAGGTTATATACAAATCTAACTGTAACCATAAATCAAAACCTGCTAATATGCAAAGAATAAAGAGAAAGAAACCCAAATATATCACCAAAGAAAACCATTAAAGACAAGAATAGATCCAAGAAAATCTTCAGAAACAACCAAAAACAAGTAATAAAATGGCAATAAATACATATTACCTTGAATGTAAATGGACCAAATACACTAATCAAAAGACAAAGGGTGACAGAATGAATAAAGAGCAAGACCTATCTATAGACTTACTACAAAAGCCTCACTTTAGACCTAAAGACTGATAATAACACAATAATTGCAGGGGACTTTAACACCCCACTTACATCAGTGGACAGATCATCAAAACAGAAAATCAGTAAGAAAAACAATGCCTGTGAATGACACATTGAACCAGATTAACAGATAAATTCATAACATTCCACCCTACAATAGCAGAATACACATTCTTTTCAAGTGTACATGGAACATTCTCCAGAATAGATCACATATTTGCCACAAAACAAGCCTCAACAAGTTCAAGGAGATCAAAGTCATATCATGTATCTTTTCTGATCATAATGCTGTGAAACTTGAAGTCAACCACAAGAAAAACTCTGGAAAGATCACAAATATATAGAGGTTAAAGGACATGCTAATAAACAATGAATAGATCAGCCAGGAAATAAAAGAAGAAATAAAAATGTACATGGAAGCAAATGAAAAGGAAAATACATGGTTCAAAATCTTTGGTATGCGGCAAAAGTGGTTCTAAGAGGGAAGTATACAGGAATATAGGCGTACCTTCGGAAGCAAGAAAAGTCTCAAACAACCTAACCCTTATACCTGAAGGAGCTAGAAAAAGCACAAGAAACAACAACAACAACAAAAATGAACAGAAAAATGAAACCAGGAGCTGGTTCTTTGAAAAAAAAAATCAATAAAACTGATTAACGTCTAACCGAATTTATCAAAAAAAAAAAAAAAGGAGAAAGTACTCAAATAAAATTACAAATGAGAGAGGAGAAACAACCAATGTGATAGAAATACAAACAGTTGAAAGATAATATTACACAAGACACTTGAATGGCTAAATCAGTTAATTATTTGACTTGAGCTCAGGTCATAATCTCAGGGTCTTGGGATTGAGCCCTGCATCGGGCTCTGCTCAGTGGGGAGTCTGCTTCTCCCTCTGCCCCTCTCTTCACTCATTCTGTCTCTCTCTCAAATAAATAAATACAATCTTTAAAAAAGAAAGAATATTACAAAAAACCATATGCCAACAAATTGGACAACCTAGAACAAATGGATAAATTCTCAGAAACATATAAACACCTAAAACTGAAAGAAGAAACAGATAATTTGAACAGACTGATAACCACCAAAGAAACTGGGTCAGTAATCAAATAACTCCCAACAAACAAAAGTCAAGGACCAGACGGCTTCACAAGTGAATACTACCAAATATTTAAAGAATAGTAATACCTATTCTCCTCAAACTATTCTAAGAAATAGAAAAAGAAGGAAAGCTTCAAAATTAATTTTGTGAGGCCAGCATTATCCTGATACCAAAGTCAGATAAAGACACCAGAAAACAAGAGTACAGCAGACCAGTATCTCTGATGCAAAAATCCTCCAACAAAATGTTAGCAAACCAAAATCAACAATACATCAAAAAAATTCCCTGCAATCAAGTGGGATTTATTCTGGGACTGCAAGGATGTTTCAGTATTCACAAATCAACATGATATGTCAATAAAGAAAGGGTAAAAACCACATGATCATTTTAATAGATGCAGAAAAATCATTTGATAAAGTAAAACACCCATTCGTGATAAAAATCCTCAAAAAAATAGGTTTAGAGGTAACATAGCTCAACATAATAAAGGCCATACATGGAAAACCAACAACGAATGTTATCCTCAATGGGAAAAGATTAGAAGAC